CGAAAATAAAACAGCTCCGTTTCAGAAATGCTGTGCGACAGCATGAGGAGAGCAAAGCACAGACACCTTTTTTAAAAAATAAAATAAAATAAAATAAAATAAAAAAAGAAAAAATATCCCGCCCAACTTTGGGTCGGAAGGAGATTTTTGGGATGCCCAACACCATTTGCCTGTGGAGCCTTCCGATCGTTTCCTGAGATTTGCGCTATTTCGACGATCAAGTCTGGCCTTGAAAATCTTTCTGGGGATGCGCCAGACAAACATTGAGACCGAGTTGAGGACAATCATCTCTTCATCAACAGGGAGGAAGCTGCGTGAATAGCGGAATCCCAGGAGCTTCCGATGTTATCGGGGACGGGGAATCAGCTGGCATGAGAGTAGCAAGCAAGATCCATACATATGAACGATTGGAAGGACACGGGGTTCTCCGGGGAAGCTATCGTTAAGCCCTCGAGGAGCCCAAGCAATTTGAAATTCTCGCTGGTGTTAGTGTTGAAGATCGTGAGATAGTCTGAGGAGAAAAATGGTGATTGAGGGATTGCGCGCGTCATCATTAAATAATATTCTGCAAATAATGGTCTAATTTACCTGCATGGAAGAGGGCTTCGTATCGGCTTATTTCGAATCGTAATATCCTCATGAACAGTGACGTGAAACAGTCGGCCGTGCTATTTGCCGGGTTGCTGGGCGGTATTAACCATGGGAATCAATGCAGATTGAGTTCAGTACCCCTTATTCCCAGCTTGAATTGCTCTTTTCCCTGTGGCCGGAGTCTGCGAAGCCAAGTCTGTCTGAGGCGGAGAACCTTAGCTTCTGCACAGCCTTTCAACGACATCATTGGTTCTCCGTTCCTAGTGGGATCCAGCTGTGGTGATCGGCTGGGTTGATCCTGGTCGGGCCTGACCAACCTTAGAGGATGATACTGCACACCTCTTCTCACGGTCGGGGGGTGGGAGTCCATGCTTGCTTGCTTGCCCCCCGGCACGAACGTTGGGGCGCGTATCGTCATAAATAATGAGCCTTTTTTGAAGGTAAAAACACATGGTATGCTAATCTTAACGCTGGAGAAATATGATTACGGCCCGCAAGGTGGTTGAATGAATGCGCTAAAGAAATGCATCGATCGCGGCTAACAAACCTTCTTTTGGGATGATTTCTTCCCGAATTTTGCTCGCTCGTCGTGCATGTCACATCCCCTTTTCCTTTCCTCTCGATCTGTTCAAAAAGGGTGATTTTGCCGGTTTGGCATACTCCGTATGTGCTCTTATCATTGAAACGCGCCTCGCTGCCCCGCGGCAATCGAACTGTGCTCGAATTGAACCCACCTGCATATCCGGTACGAAGCATCACAACAACTCACGGCTCAGAACGCCGCTCGGTTTCAGCGGTAACTGGAGCCACGAGGGGGGGCGCGTGGTTGGAGCTGCATAGGGAGTGGATGCCGATCTTTTTGGGTTTCCCACGCGGCTTCATTCGTTCCCTGGGCCGTTGTCCAAAGCCTTTCTCTCCCTTGCATAACACCGTTGTTTTCAACTGGCGGGAGAAATTGCTCTGTGCTACGGACTACTCCGTCAGGAGTCCTCGTTTCCACGAATTGAGACCGCAGTCTTGGAGGTAATTTTTAATGTTCTAGATGTTGATCGGCACCAGACGCCCCGGATGCCTACTGCTGCCCTGTTCTCGAAAAAGTATGCGAAGTACCGTTTTGATTGATGAAAGATGCCTACCATGTTGCCCATCCCAGAGCGAGTTTCGAGCATCTCAGCTTCCTCCGGCGAATTAAGCAGTCATCTGAGTAGACGGAATACATCGTCCAGAGTAAACTTGCTTTCCGAGACGCCCAATCACGACTCTCAATTGCGGAGTGAAGCGTTTCTGGCGAGGATTAACAAAAGGAATCTACAAGAGTCACATTTACCTCAACCTGAAGAAGGAGAATATTATCGAGACGGAAATGGTGATGGAATAAATGCTGCAGACTCAATAAAAGGAGGATATCTGACGGAGCGTGAACTGAGCCAACGGGCGTCATCTCCCCTGCTGGGTCAGACATACAAGCGCAACCATCATGCGGGATTATCTTCCTTTCATGCAATCCCCAAACCTCTGCGCCCATCCGAGTCATCCTCGACGCTTCGGTCCATCTATGACCACCCCAGCTCACTGCCGTCGTACAAAACTTCAGTGAGTTCCCATAGCGATGTGAGTCTTAGGAATAATTTCCAGACTGTTACGCAACCAGCCCCTGATATGATGACGGGTCATGACATAAATGCTGGCCCAAAAGAGCGTCGAAAATCGTTAAAGCCCAAACGTCGACCACCCATGATCGATCTATCGAAACTATTCCCTAGGCCACGGGATACCGCCGTGTCGCTTCTTTCCCCCCACCGGTTGACGACTTCGCCCTCTCCTGTCTCTCTCCATTCCGATGCGTCTGCTACTAAGCCCTCAAAGATCGATCGAATTTACAACGGCAATAAACTTACCAAAAGACCAAGGGCGAAAGACGCCGCAGAAATGCGCCTGAGGCTGCGGAAGGAAAAATTACAACGTGAAGAACAGGAACAGGAACAGGAACAGGGATACTATGGCGAAAGACAACGATTGTACCAAGACCAGCGGCGGGAATTGCAACCCGAGATAACACTTGCTCCCACATTGTCTCAGCGGCGGAAATACGATGGCTGGCGGGATCCCACTAAATATCGACATCGAACGGGCCCGGACTGGTTTGACGGTCCAGAGGGGCAAGTAAGCGATGATGATGAGGATTCTGTTATTGGAGAGCAAGAAGCGCAGAACACGGTGCCTGCCATGTTGGCTGCTCTCCAGGAAGTCAGTCGTCCTAGACATAGCAGTTTCAGCTCTGGTGGTCCATCTCTGTACAGATCCAACCTATCTAGAAGTTCAAGCCGAATTATGCCGGCCTCTTCAAATAGCTCGACTATTAAACGAGCGCCAAGTTCTCAGGATCTGAGCTCAGGGCACGTCTACCATCCAACTCCGATGCTCGACGGAAATCCGACGGGATCGCAGCCTGGTCGCAACGCTATTTCTGCCAACAGTGGGCCCACAAAGTCGCAGAATGGTGGTGCGGTCATGAGAAGACCAAGCAAGCTATCTTTAAACTCTAAAAACCTCAATGAGTCTAGTATGCTCTGTCTTTCATCGTCCGAAGATGACGAGGACGAGGACGATGATCGTGAAGATGCCACCTCAAGTTACGTCAATCGAACTGTGCTACGAGACAGCATTGCCACTCTTGATGAAGGTGCTGAAATCTGTACTGCGCAAGCTATCGAAACTCGAAGCCATTTCTCTATTAAGAGAGTACCAACAGGTCATTCTGTTAGAACACGGACGACCCGATCCACGGCTCCGACTAGCCAAAATAATTCCGCTGCCTCCAGCGTCATATCATCGAATCGGAGTCGGAGTGGCTCAGTAAGCTGGTCCAGCCAAATCCCAAGTATTTCGGAGCCAGCAACTTCGCCGTCGTTGCATCCATCCACAGCACAGAGTCTGGACTCTCGCCGTCCTGGTTCGAAATCTCAATCAAATAAACAAAACGCACCCCCAAGCAATCGGAGGAGTCGGTTTATGGCTGTTACTCGACAGGAAGAATATCTACTTGAGCTTATCCGGCGAAACAAAGGTAGTATTCCAACCAATCTCTTCACGGAAGCGGAGTTGAGCGGCCCTGAGCCAGAGGGAAAGGTTCACCATGCACATCGGCCGACTTCTGCATACAACTCCGACGTTTCTTTTTTGAAACTCAGCCCAGGGATTCCACCTCGTGGAAAGCCACGATTCCATGCCGATACGAGCACGCTCTCAGATGGAGGCTCGCTGGCGGTGTCTGATCCTGGTGATGCGCTAACGGAGCACTCCCGAGCCTCCCCTCGAACCAGCCTAGTCCATTCCGATACATTTCCCTCCCCGTCTACCGGGTTAGGGTCACCCCTTACGCCAACTTTGCCCACTATTCGACGCCTCCCGTCACGTAAATCTCATCGCTCACAATTTCCGACAGCAATCCAGGAGGAACGACGCCATTCTAGGACCCGTACGGATAGCAGCAGCGCCATAGTGTTTGACGGTGATGAGAACGGCGGGAACGATACAGAACAAAGTGTAGATCTACCTATCTGGGCTCTTGGCTGGAGTAACAATGAGCCTTCTAATGTCGCAGTGGTCCACTGATTCCATTTTGTCGTCGATAGGGATGGTATTTGCTGGCAATGCGTCCCTACTTCCGCCACACATTGCCCTTAGTTGAATTATAACATTACAACTTTCCATTCTCCTGTTAAATAGCTACATACATATTCATTACTCCATTTCTGAATTCGAGAACAGCTTATAGCTATCCCATTAGCATAACTTAATGGTTATTGTTCGCAATTTTTCCCTCTGCCCAGATCAAATGACTTGTGAATAATTTAGTTGAAATTCCTTGCATGTTTCGATTTGGGATTTTTTCTCCTTTTTTTGAACCCATGATACTTGGACATTATGTTGGAAGTGTTTCAGCATTGTTTACTAGGATTTGCATGAATAGCATAGACTGTACTCTGTAAGAGCGATTGTTTCTACAGAGTAGATTGAATCATCATCACATTGTGATTTTGACGGGAGTGTGAGATCCCTCAGCCAACAACCCCTGAAGGGGAATGTCTCCCCCGATTGTGATCGAGCGAGCCACAGGTCCCAACATTCCTCCGTATCCCGGGATGCAGGGAACATTCGCCGATCACCCAGAACTAGTAAAGCTGCCTGACAAACAAGCATTTTTCACAGGCCAAGCAAGGGGCTGGAAAGCTCGTGAATGCTGTCAAATTGCTTGATGACCTATTCATAGCACTTAGCTTGAAGAGGTTAAAGCTCAGAACTCTCTGCCTGGGCCCAGCGAAAAAGAAAATATCCTCCCAGCTGAACCAACACAGGAGCAAAGAAGAGATTTTTTTTTGTTATTGAAATCGTGTGACATTTTAGGATTTCTTGTTTTTGTCTTGCTTTTTTGATCATTTTGTGTTTCTTCAGCTTTCCTGCCTTTGCCTTGTGTCCTTGTTTCTGAATTTTGAGGTTCATTTCTCCCAACAAGGGGATTCGTCAAGCCCCGATTTTGCGGGGGGCTGAGGACTATTGGTGTCTGGTACGGAGTACAACTGCTGTACAACAACCTTAAATGAAGCACAGCTGATGGAAGCACCTGTAGGGCCTATATTTTGGGTCATCATCAGATATCACGCACACCAGGGAAATACCAGTTTGTAGTAGGACAGTGGGGGGGTTGTGTGCCTGAGCCCATCGTGAGCTGTTCACCATGGGCAGGGATGTACAGAAGCAGTCTTCGTGGATGGGGGTACGGGGAAGATATGTCTTTCTGGTTCTGGTATGAGAAAGCTGCCTCGCTCCCAGTGGTTGATGAATTTGCTAATTAAGCTTGAAATGCTTTGCAGTTGACGATTCAATGTTCTTCTTCGATTTTGGTAAGAGAAACCTTCCATATCCTATTTACGATGGTATCACGACTGCAGCGCCCAATGGCTTTGCAAAGCACGGGTATCGAAAAGGACGTGCACATTGCTGACATGGAAAATTGGGGAATGATCTAGTTGCTTCATTATTCTAGAGTTATGCCCGTTGTGGGCGACCAGAGATATATTACTTCTACCGCGGTTTTCCTGAACGAGGTTATCAAGCTCGCGATATGTCTGACGATCGCTCTATACGAAGTATCTAAATCCGCTCCTCCTTCTATGCCTGCGACCTCCTTGTTCGGATCGTTGGCTGCCGCAATCTTTACCGGTGATAGTTGGAAGCTTGCTGTTCCCGCGGCGCTCTACACGATCTCGAATTCCTTGCAGTACATCGCTTTGTCGAACGTGGAGGCCGTGCAGTTTCAGGTTACATACCAGCTCAAGCTCATCGCCACCGCTGTATTCGGGGCGATGGTCATGCGAAAGTCTCTGCCGTATGCGAAGTGGATGATATTGTTGCTTCTGGTTGCGGGCGTCGCGTTGGTACAGATCCCTCCGGTAGACCCGCATGAACTCGATCGTCGGACACATGTATACCTTCCCAGACGGCTCTCGGATTTGCAGCAATTTGGAGTCGCTGCAGGCCCGGTCTTGCGAAAGCGATCTGCTACCTATGAAGGTATCCAGGACGATATGATTCAAGGACATCCGGTGTTTAATGCTAGGACGGGTCTCCTCACGACCCTGGGTGCATGCTTTGCTTCCGGGCTCGCAGGGCTATCCTTTGAGAAGGTCCTGAGGGATAGCACTCAGTCTACTTCCGTTTGGATTCGAAACGTACAGTTAGCCATATATTCGATTTTCCCGGCTTTGTTTATTGGCGTTATATTTCTTGACGGTGAACGAGTTGCTAAGCGAGGATTTTTCCACGGATATAACTGGACTGTATGGAGTGTCATCGCTGCTCAAGCGGTTGGTGGTATTGCGGCCTCATTCTGCATCAGCTATTCCGAATTGGGTTTGCTGCAAGCCGCCAGTGCAATGAGCATTGTTCTTAGCTCGCTGGCGAGCCCCTTTTTCTTCGACATTCAAGTTTCTGCCTACGTAAGTTCCATGGTTCTCTTCTATTGAAATTTACGCCCGATCTTATACTTCGCTGCAGTTCATTCTTGGGACATTGATTGTTCTAGTCGCATGTTTCGTTTACATACCCAGTCCGCTCAATGCCAAATCGGATCTACGCCCGCGTCTTCCTCCGATCCGAATTGAAAAGGCGAAATCATCCCCTGACACCGATGGGTCGGGACAGGAGCTGGCTGTTCCGCCAAACGACTTTTCTATCAAATTGCCGACCACACCCCTGATTTCAGAGGCGTCGGCTCTTACTACTTCACGTCCTGGTTCACCTTCTCCTGCGAGGCACCATGCTAGAGCCCATTCTTCTCGTGGTTATTTCGGAAGACAGCACCATGAAAACTAATCTTTCGAGGGATGTCACTGGCTAGAGATCAGATAACAACATCATGCGCTCATGCCACATGCACCTGTGTTTGAAAAACAAACTGCAGCACAACTAATTGACTGGACAGATTCTTTTTTATTTCAGTGGAACAGGAAGCGGGAGTCTTGGTTTCCGCGATGAATTCTCCTGCGATCTTCGGACGAATATAAAAAAGGTGTACAATTTTTATGACAGACGCGGGGATTTCTTTTCCCTTTTCTTCCTCCCTTTTTCTATCTTTATTTTCTGCATCAAACTCTCGGGGACCATCGGTTTGGATCCTTGTTTTATTTTCTTTTTATTGTCTTAAGAGGTTCTTTCGGGGCATTTATGTAGGAAGATGGTTGGTGGTCTTTCGAAACGGGTATTTAAACGCAGAATTGATTTCCATGAGCAGGTAAAATTGCTTTCCGATATATCTAATATCAGACGAAGAATATTACTCTTGTTGCAGTTCGTCATGTGTTTTTATCTTTTTCTTTATTTCTCTTTTCATTCGCTACTTTTGGCCGAAAAGGGGGGAGTTGCCTGATCGGGAATGCTAGCTGCCCGATATCACGTGTGGGCGGGTTTTTTTACGCCGTCCTCGACAACGTTTCCTGTCTGCTGCGGAATAGACGACGCCCTTCCAACAGCACAGGCCCCGGAATCTCTTCAGCCTCGCCCTGGTGGGGTACTCTGCTGAAAAGGGTGCTACTACAACGTTGTAGCTCTGCTACGCGATTGTGGTGCAATCTCCGGGATACCGAAGCCGTGAACCGGCTCTACCTGCAGGGATAGCCCGTAAACTCGCTGAGGTCGTCATGGATGACGGGGCTGGCAAGAATGCGCGACAACTTCTCAACACCTTCAGGTATCCTTCCGCCAACCGGTCTAAAATATCCTATGGTAGCCAGACAAGATCCAGTTCACAAATGATGCCATCTTCTCGGCCGTCATGGCCGTCGCGGATGGAAGGGCTGGTCGACTCCGACCGTGGCGTGGCTCAATTGCCATCGGAGGACAATGATTTACCCCTTGACGCTTTTGGTAGGTTATGCAGTTAAGAGGTTCATCTGTTTATGGCTAATCGAGCTTGAAAAGACCGGGAATTGCTTGCCGAATTAGAACATGAGCAACAGATACCTCCTCACACTGGGAAGCAAGTTTGTACCCTTGGAGCGCGGGCTTATACACCGGGGCCGAAGCCTTCTAAACTCTTTTGCAATTGTAAGAATTCCGTTTGCCGGTAGACCCCATTTAATGCTATTCACTAATTATTACATCATGTAGCAGCCAAAACTCCTAGTGGTCCATCTCGCGCAATAGCTTCTAGCCCTCCGGAGTTGGAGCCTCTTGACAGCCCTCTCAAAAGCGTTAAAGGTGGGAATAGACCAGCGTCCATTGCTCGAGCTAACCATCAGGAGAATATTACCTTTCATTGGCCATTGCCCATGACACTCTCCTCTCCCCGTACTCCATGTCCCTCTGGCACCGTGGCTCCCAACAACGAGCCTTGTGAGATACAGCTGAAGCATGCACCGCCAATTATACAAGGAATTCAACTAGTACCTACCCACGAGTTACCTGACCGGCTCCGGTCCATTTTTCCATTTTCTGTTTTCAACGCTATCCAGTCCAAGTGTTTCCGCCCGATTTATCTCAAAGACGACAATTTCGCCATTTCGGCGCCCACCGGAAGCGGAAAGACTGTGGTTATGGAACTGGCAATTTGCAGACTCATATCGAAGATTAAGGATAACAGGTTTAAGGTAGTGTATCAAGCACCTACCAAATCTCTCTGCTCTGAGCGATTTCGTGACTGGTGTGCGAAATTTGCCGCTTTTGATCTCCAATGCGCTGAGCTCACAGGAGATACGGAGCAGTCTCAGCTCCGAAACGTTCAAAATGCGAGTATCATTATCACCACCCCAGAAAAGTGGGACAGTATGACGAGAAAATGGAAGGACCATATGCGGTTAATGCAACTCATCAAGTTATTTCTGATCGACGAGGTTCACATACTAAAGGAGACTCGTGGCGCGACTTTGGAAGTCGTAGTATCGAGAATGAAATCAGCGAACTCGAGTGTTAGATTTATCGCTTTGAGTGCTACAGTGCCTAACTCCGAGGATATTGCAACATGGCTAGGGAGAGATCCTACTAATCAACATTTACCGGCTCACCACGAACGATTTGGGGAGGAGTTTCGTCCTGTCAAGCTCCAGAAGTTCGTTTACGGATATCAGTCTAATGGGAACGATTTTGTGTTTGAAAAAGTCTGTGATTCAAAGTAAGTCGTTCAATCAAGAGTATTCCAACAAAATATTATAGTTTTCTAGATTTACTTTAAAACAAGCCTGAACGAGGTAACTAGATGCTGATCCTTTGTAGGCTTCCTGAAGTTATCTCGAAACACTCACGAAGAAAACCTATAATGATTTTCTGTTGTACTCGTCATTCTGCGATTTCAACCTCAAAGAATTTGGCAAAATTGTGGACGGCGACAAATGCTCCTGGTCGCCTGTGGAATAGCCCAAAGAAGCCAATTATAGTCCAGAATCAAGACTTGAAAGGTAAATTAGCTCTTGTAGCATCATGTAAGCGGTTTGTTAACGAAGTCAATAGCAACTCTCTCAACAGGGGTGGCTTTTCACCATGCTGGTTTAGATACCAGTGACAGACACGCTGTCGAAATGGCATACCTCCAGGGGCATATAAGTGTAATTTGTTGCACTTCTACCCTAGCTGTTGGAATTAATCTTCCTTGTCATTTAGTGATTATAAAAAACACTGTTTCATGGCAGGACCATCATCGCAGAGAATATACAGATCTAGAGATGATGCAAATGCTCGGTCGAGCAGGGCGCCCTCAATTTGATAATAGCGCCACCGCTGTGATCTTGACCAAAAAGGAGAGGGTAGACCATTATCAGAAACTGGTGACAGGATCGGAACCGTTAGAAAGTTGCCTACATTTCAATTTGATAGACCATTTGAACGCCGAAGTTGGCCTGGGCACCGTGACAGATATCGAATCCGCCACTATGTGGCTCGCCGGAACTTTCTTTTTCACTCGCCTGCAAAAGAATCCAACATACTATAATTTGAAAGAAGGATGCGATAGGGCAGACGAAGAGGAGATGATGAGACAAATATGCGAAAAGGACATCAAGCTTCTGCAAGAATGCTCGCTCATCACGGAACGAGTTCCATTGAAATCTACCGAGTTCGGCGATGTGATGGCTCGTTATTATGTAAAATTTGAGACGATGAAAGCCTTTATAGCGCTACCGCCAAAAGCTAAGATGTCAGAGATTGTAAGTGGTCCATATAAATGAGCGTTCCGGACTGACACGTAGTAGCTATCTGCCATCGCCCAAGCAGATGAATTTCGGGAAATCAGGCTCAAAGCCGGCGAAAAGTCCTTATACAAAGAAATAAACAAGTCCGATGGGATAAAATTCCCAATAAAGGTCGATATCGGACTCACCTCTCAGAAAATTTCCCTGCTTATACAGTCAGAACTGGGTAGTGTTGAGGTTCCAGCCGCGGAGCAGTACCAGAAACATCGATTCACGTTTCAACAAGACAAGAGCCTGGTATTTGCCCATGTTAGTCGGCTGATTAGATGCATTATTGATTGTCAGATATCCCGTGGAGATTCGATAAGCGCCAGGCACGCTCTTGAGCTTGGTCGAAGCCTTGGAGCAAAGGTTTGGGATACTTCACCGCTGCAGATGAAACAGATAGATCAAATTGGTGTTGCTGCTGTGAGGAGACTCGCATTAGCCGGCATTAATAGCATAGAGGCTTTGGAGGCCGCTGACGCCCATCGAATTGATGCCATCCTAAGTAAGAACCCTCCGTTTGGTATGAAGCTTCTAGGGCGGCTCGAAGTTTTCCCTAAGCCTAGGGTCTCTCTAAAGATGATTGGAAAGGTAAGAGCCAGCAATAGGTCTTGACGGCTTGCGCATGTTTGCTAAAATTTTCACTGTAGGAAACAAACCCCGGAAAATGGCCTATAGTCACATTCAAGGCAGATATCGGTTTTATAAATGAGAGAATTCCAAGCTCATTTAACAAGAAGCCAGTTTATGTCTGTTTCCTAGCGGAGACATCTGACGGTAGAATCATCGATTTTCGGCGGATAAGGTATGAGAAATATCAACGTTATCCGATTCTCAGGAACTGACCAAGTGTAGCGCCAGCAGGCTACACAGCGGTCAAGATATTATGCTGAAGGCGGAGCTCACTCATTCATACCAGCACATCACATGCTATGTGATGTGCGATGAGATAGGTAAGCGTATAGAACTTATGGCGAATGTACTGCTTGTTCTAATTCTGGCTGGGCAGCTGGGACGTTGCGGCAGGCAGAATTAAAGCCAAATTTCCCAGAATCTTACTTTTCAGGAGCCAAAGTTTCACGCGCCGTTACTACTCCTTGGCCTGAAAAAAGTGTGGCCCGAAGTGCCATTGGAAACGCCACACTCACCGGCAAACGTCCCGATGAGTTCTCTAATGATGGTCTCGATGATAACGACTTAATTGCTGCCGGTAAGCCCGTTGAAGAAATCCATTCATGTTTCAGAATTCTTATTGGTGAACAGTGGACAGCTTGAATGTACGGAATAAGAAGGACGTATGGGCCAAGCAGTCGAATGATTCTACGAATGTTTTGAAGAATGTGAGCCAGCTAAATGCTCAAGACAAATCCGAGGCTCCTATTAAGCTTAGTAACGGAAAATGGGCCTGCAGCCACCGGTGTAAAGACAAGACTGCGTATAAAATTTCTTTTGATATACTTATGAAATAAAAACTGATAGTTATACAGGTGTAAACATTTGTGTTGTCGAGAAGGCATCGATCGGCCGCCAAAGGTGTCCCAGAAGTCTGGAGGCGAAGAACCGATAGGAAGCGTCGAAAAGGCCCATGGAGAGCCTGCGAATATCCAGGTACCAAGAAAGACATCAAGCTCGAATTTTAGTCAGATATCCGTACCAAATAACAACAGATATAATCACAGTGATACTGATGTCATTGACCTCACGGGCCCGAGTAACGTCGTGAAGTCCGCGCTGCGATATAAATACGTGAAGAAGAGGAATGAAAAGGAATTCGACTTTCAGAAGCCGTCTATAGCAGTAGAACAGCATGCATCCAAGTCAAATACGGTCAAAACGGATAATGTAAAGAATCTTAGTGGCACCTCCTTTCTCGGTTCCGGTTGGGAGGATGGGTTAGACGGTGATGCTAACAGCTCTAGCGACTTTGGAAGCGTTGACATAGACGACCTGTTCCCTCTGTACAATGAGGTCAATTCTGAACAGAATACAGATGACCCCAAGTCCACCGTATGTCGCAGTCCGGTAAACAATTTCGACTATGACGATTACTTCGACGTAGATGTTGACAATACTTTTGAAGCACATCAGTCACCTGAAAATGAGGTTACAGAATATGACCAATATATCTTGTCTCCAGACAAGCCCATCCCGGAGGTCTTTAGTGCAGTTGAGGAAAGCCCTTCAAACTCAATATTTTCAAAATTCGAAAGCACGGTCTCACAACAAGCTTCACCTTTGAAATCCACGCTGAATCCAACCATCTTTTCTCCTACTGGCGTTGACTCCCTGCTCAACCCGAGCGTCAGTAGTGATTCTCTGTTCTTCCATACTCCTAGCCTCTCCGGGACAAAAAGGAGCCGTGACGATGGAGATAAAGGAGAGAAAGAGCTTATAGAATCCGATTCAAAGCGAGTACGGGTGGACGCAAGCGGCAATTCAAACACGGGCGAAGCTCTCGATGGATGGGAAGAGGTTGATTTAGAGTTGCTTGAAGAATTCAAGGATATTGTGGATTTCGTTTGATTTGAAATTGCCATGTCTCCCCTTTACCTTTGCCCAAGTCCGGAAACATTGCTATGATTGCAGAATAAGGTGTGTATCTATGGGATTCAACAGATGCAAGGAGAGATATGAACTTAAATATATAACGCATTAGCTCTAATTTACATCAACAAGCAACACCCCCTTCCAGCGGAATATAATCAAAACTGGCATTTCCCCTTAGCATCATTTGACTTGGAGAGATCCGCTGCAAAACACAGCATAAAGGGGGGGAGGAACAGAACAATCATGACCACGTGAGTACGCATGCTAAATTGCCCGGCAACAAAGACAGAAAATGTGTAGTTAAATGTTCAGTTATATACAACATACAACACACAAGAGTTGCACCGCAACTGAGTCTCCCTGCTTTTCTGTCTCAGTAATCAGCGTCACGAACAGGCAGGTATTTCAGAACTCCATTCCGGAAAAAAAAAATATCTTTCTGTTATCCAGTCAAACCTATATGTGTCAGCACCTGGGCAGACATTGAAAGCTTGAGGCTTTATCGCATTTAATCAGACTCAATATTTGGGAATCGTCTCACTGTGGGTGACTGATGGGATCCTGGACTAATTGAACATATCAAGGACAAGCTGCACCATCAAAAAGTACATCTCAGGTTAGTGATACTTTTCTTTAATCAGCTTCTATAATCCTGCCCTGCGCAAACTAGAGTTGGATCTTTTCAAATGGGCACTTTAGAAAACGAATGCTGATACTTCTAGATTCAAGCCATCAACATTGAGAAAATCCAAATTCAAAATGGTTAAGCTGAGCTATGCAGGAGTAAGTGGCCAGAATAAACAAGGGATATTTGTTGCTCAAGACATCCCTAACATATTTTGCACATAGCGCAAGGTTCAGGGGCTGAAATTGGGCCAGGCCGTTGCAAGAGATTTGGTGAGTTCTCTTTAAAGTACGTAGAATGGGTTCCAAGCAGTAGTTAATTTATCGATAGAGAAAGCGAATCCCGCCGGGCAGTGGTGCCCGGGCTGCAGCAAGGGATCCTACCATCGAATTGGACCTAACCGGAAAACTTCTGACCGACGACGGTCTTAAAGAAATCATTGACGCTCTTGTTAGCTGCATTAAGTTCCAGGATGAGAACTATCCAAATGGGGTTATTAAGCTAACAGAACTATCCCTTAAGGGGAATGCTCTCACAACGACAGCCATTGCAAGATTGGCTAAAGTTGTGGAACTAAGCAAGTCCAGTTTGGTGAAGCTCGATATCTCTGATAATGGGATTAGCATTATCAGCAAGACACAAAGAAGCAACTGGCGGATTTTTTTGAAATCGTTCGAGGAATGCTACATGCTAAAGAGCATCGATTTCAGCGGAAACAAATTGGGCAGCGCGGGTTTTGATGGTATATCCGAGGTCTTCCTCAAAAGCGAACTGTATTTCATTGTGCCGAGTCCAGCTAGAATCCCTGATGAGAATGGGAAGTTGCACAGCGTCGGGGGTAAGTTGAAGTCGATATCATTGAATACGAACGGGAACGATACTCTGCGCTTGCCAGCAGCAGGCGAAGCAAACTGTCGACATGGAGGTATGTCGCATTATATTCGCACTATGTCTTTGAAGACCCGCTAACCTCCGGAGTAAAAGCCGCGGAACCAAAAAATGACGAATTATACGCAAGTACGAGAGGCCTTCGATCGGTGCCATATTTGAACTTCGCGGGGTCTGGAAATACCACTGCATGTGCTTTTCACCTGTGGGGAATGGCTATGGTTCATCTTGGACCTGAAGAGCTGCTTGAGCTTTTGCCGACAGGCAGATCCATGGTACCCCCAGGGGCTGTCCAACATGGTAGTGGTATAGTGTACGTGCCGAATGAATTTGGGCCACTCGGGCGCAGCTTACTAGCCACGGGAGAGCAATTTGTTCGAGAACTCTCTAGAGTGGATGACGATATTGATTCTATGACCCTTGGAGAAGACTTGGATAGAGACGAGGTCGTCAAGGCTCGGCACACCTGCAAAAGAACTCAAGAGGAAATGGAACGTATCAAATATCGGGCAATTCTCGATGTCCTCACAACGGAGGGCGTACAAAGTGTGGAGCTGTGGAATGTTGCGTTCAAAACGATGATCGTCGCCCGGGCTCTCCTTCTAGACGACGGAGATAAACAGGGGTTGACCAAGGAAAGTAATGTAACGGACAAGATGGATAAACCGGGCCATAACGATGACTCCCGTGGCAGTCCCGAACAAGCTCTAGGCCGTTGTTACCCTCAATCAGACTCACCATGGACCGACTTTGCACAGGAATTTTCTTCCCTGCCTACATCCCCCCGGAAACGAAACGATGGGCCGGTCAAGAATGGGATAACGTCCCAGTCAACTTCCAAAAAAGATAACCGCGGATTCAAGGCGGGATCGGGGCATTTGAGGTCGCGAGCCTGCCCTTGTGCGGAGATGTTGAAAATGTCGCCACAAGCCATTTCGAGACCGGCGCCTGGAGCAGTATTTAAGCAGGTCGGTCGTTTCGGATTGCCAATGCGTCTATGGACAAGAATAATCGTGGAGGCAATGGACGAAAATGAAGTCTTAAACCCCCAGCAACAAATGCGTATCATTAGGTACGCGTGTGATTGGAATTCGGTCACACAAGAGCTTAAGATCAAGGGAGGAACGGAGGCCGAGCAAATCCGAAAGATCCTTAACTCGATGGATTGTCTTAGTTATTCGAAATTTGATTAAATCCTGGAAAAATAAAATGATATTAAAGGGCGGTGCTTATGAGTTCTTAAGGGTGTAAGTAGTTTAGCACAAGGCTTGAGCTTTAAACACAGACAGAAAATGTAAGAGCTCTTAGGGTGCTCTATGACGCTGACAGCATACTCTTGCGCCACTCTGACTGACGGTGTCGCATTTTGCTTTGTGCCTTGTTCCGTGCCTTGAGGTGGACTCCCGAGCAGGTTTGCTCTCCGGCTGAGCTGAAGTTGAGTTTTCCGCTTTTGGAATCTCTGTTTACCACGTGACTACTTATATTCTTATCTGATCATCTTATCTTATCTCAATCTGCCGCCGCAGGCCGCCGGCGCGCCGTCCACGAACGATGCCTTTTACTGACGACTTTACACATTCTGCTGCGTTGCGCCTCCGTGATATTTTCAGCATGTTTAAAAATAGAAGTGAGGACCCTGGAAAAACCGTACCACGACGGTTGGCGCTGCATGAGGATAACGCCTCCCCTTCGACATTCAACGATGGGCTCCCTCTGCCAAAACTGTTCGTCTTCGACCTCGACTATACATTATGGCCATTCTGGGTTGATACGCATGTCACCCCTCCAGTGAAGGCACGAGACAACAACTCGCGCTGTGTAGACAGGTAATTCTCTCCTCAACGCTTCGGGTCGAGCTAACATTTTTTATGTCACAGATGGGGTGAATCTTTTGCTTTTTATCCGGCTGTTTCAGGGATTATTCACTCTCTACGATCCCGTTCCATACCCATCGGAGTGGCCTCACGAACGCATGCCCCCGACCTGGCCCGTGACATGCTCAAAGCTCTCCATATCATCCCATCGTTCTCCGACAACCCTGCGACCGTCCACACTCGCTCCATCCGCGCTCTGGATTATTTTGACTTCCTTCAGATTTTTCCAGGCTCAAAGACTCAACACTTCACGCGGATTCAGCAGGCTAGTGGGTTGAAATATGAAGATATGCTTTTTTTCGATGATGAGGCCCGGAACAGCAATGTTCAAACAGAATTGGGTGTGACGTTTTGTTTGGTTAGAGATGGCATGACCAAAGAGGAAGTTGATAGAGGTGTCTGGGAATGGAGACGAAGAGCTGGTATAACTCCCGGAAACCAGACAGATGGCATGCAGCCGCAGAACTAGACTGAGATTGCGATTTCGGCTTCCTTTTCACCCTTAAAAATGAGGGATGGATTGGAGTATGTTCTTAGATAATGACAGGATACCCCACGATAGATGAATTTTATTCGCATTTGTATGGCTTCAGAGGATGCATCAGCAGTATTCGGACATCAATTCTACGTTTGATTACCGAATGGCTTGAATTTAACTATGGTGTCCGGAGTAACAACGTGTCTCGTCGCCGGCACCTGAAAGCAAACAGTGCAAAACCACGCCGCCAATCTAGTTAACTATTTAGCTCCCCTGTTCAATCAAGTTTGAGGGCCGAACCTTAATAGTCTCGAGCTTGATGCATATCATTATTCAGGGCAGCGTCAAACTTTGAGTTGCGAATTACATCGAACTGATCGAGATCATGTCCGCCAGCCAAAGGCCAACTCTGCGTCCCTCTTCCACGTCTGCTGCAAGAACGGGGACGTCAGCAACGCCGTCGATCCCCAGGCCTCCGCTGTCTGTTCACCCAAATGCTACGATCTCAGAAACGGTTTACTTTCAAGGCAAACACCCGATTAGTATTGGTGCCGGAACTGTTATCCATCCCCGAGCAAGGCTGCTGTCTTTTGAGGGTCCAATAAGTGTTGGAGAGGGGTGCATAATTGGCGAGAAATCAGTCGTTGGGAATCCTCAAGCTCCCCAATCTGCATCGGAACACAGTTCAGGGTCTGCCACATCTCCAACACCAGCAGTTACAATTATCGAGAACTCGGTTCTTATAGCACCTCTCTCTACCGTGTCTTCAGGTTCACATATACACTCCGCTGCCACGATTGACGCGTCTGCTTTTCTGGGAAGGCATGTGCGAATTGGGAGACACGCAAAGGTGTGCTCGCTTTGCCAGATACCGGATAATGGGGTTGTAGAAGACTGGATTGTAGCTTGGGGAGGAGGAGCAGGAGGGATGGGGTTACAAAGGCGCAAAAGAGCGAATGGAAGAGGGAATGAGAACAATACGCCAGGCTTAAACGGTCGATCTGTCGAAACTGCAAGGCTGGTTGTGCTGAGCAAAGAGAGGGAGACTCTGTCCAAACTAATTGGAGTTGGAGCCGCTGCTGCATCAAGGAGAAGATGAAGCGTTGAATCGCATCTGGTGATGCGCATCCCGTGCTCATTGGAACTACGCAATGCGCTCTCGTTTAATGATACCCTAGACCAAGCTTTTTAGCACGTTATAATATCCTACATCGTCCAGCAATCCAAATCAACGCTGGTCTCGTGCTATTCGTCGCTATGTTATCTTATGTGGCATGTTTTAATTCAGAAAGGATGGTGTCGGCCTCGAGCTAGAGTCGGTTCAACGCCTCGAGGGACCAACGAAAATGTCAATGGTGAAACCCACATGAGGCACTTGGATGCTATCCCCTCTTTAGTAGTGAGTTCTCGTACGTAGAACATAGCCAGAGAATTTTTAGTTCTCGTGGTTGGCTTAAGTTCTACTTGAGATATCGCTCCCATCGTTGGTGAAAAGACAGTGCTTGGAGTCCGTTGTGCATTGAAGAAGCCTTTAGTCTGTTATACCAAATGCCAGAACGGAAGTCAAGACGCTAATTACTTTCATATTTGCCAAAATTATATGTTCCTTCTGCTATCTCCCTTATGTCAGAAATGACATACACCTATTCAACAAGACCGACTCATATACAACGCAATCTCGCCTTTAGATGACGTACCCTCGTACAATGTCAAGTCAAGCCCACAGAACCTAAACCCCATCTTCCGGTATGCCTCTATCGCGGGAGCGTTGAGATTCGACACTTCCAACCAGGCATGTTTTGCACCATGGATTTCCCGACCCCACGTTAAAGCCATATCCATCAACTTCTTCCCCACTCCCATTCGGCGATACTCTGGCTCCACGGTGATATTCATGATGACCAATCGACTATTCCACGATCGATATAGCATGTCAATGGTGCCACAGATCTGACATTCATCCGCGGTGGCCACGATAGCATGTGATTTGGATGGGTCTGATTCTGTAGTCCGACGGGAGCCATAGTTGCTCTCACTATCGCTATCGCTATCTGGGTAGTGTTTATTGATCAGAGTTTCAGTTGTTTGACGGCGAATGTTGAACCCAAGCCCTTCGGCGGCCAATCCAACCTCGTAGATCTCCGTGGTCGTAAATGAGTCGTCTAGGGAATCAATAGCGTCTCTTTCCTCGGCTTTGATTTCACGGTAGCTCACGATAGGACCGGTAGGTTCGATAGGATTTTCAGATGCCGCCATTGCAATGACAGATATCTCCAATAGAACGTATGTTCTTGTTGGAATCACAGGAAGACCTTGGTTACCCGCACATGGCAATATCGTACTCTTCTCCCGTTATAATTCATCTAATCCAGCCGGGTCACCATATATAACTAACGAAGTGACAAGGATTGTGAACGTGTCTTTAACGGCTTTCTGATGAGGCCTGGAGAGTTTATGCTACCCAGGCCACGACTTGGAATTGCAAATGCGATTGTGGCGACGGGTATGTTGAAAATCCTATGGAGATGTGCTCGTATGATAAGAGTTAAGTCGATGGAGGAGAGGTGCTTTGGCCAAACTTTGCAGGGGCACGATAAAAGTCACCAAAATAAGGACATCACCCAGTTTATCCGGAATCAAGCAAAAATATGAACACGCATTCAATAGGTGCGTAGGTAGTTTAAGGGAAAAGGGCTAATATTTTTGTATTGCCTTAAACCAGCAGAGCCAGCAAACACCCAGATTCCATTATAACAGCTCCCAAGATAGTAGCTCACAAAATGCTGAAAGAAAAAAGAAAAAAAAGTTCTTGGACCAAGTCCAATTCTGAAATAGCAATGGCTCCCACCAATAAAATAAACATCAAAAGAAAACCTTGCTTGCTCTCTTTGTATACAAAGGAAGAACGGAAAACCGCAGGCAAGGAATAATTATGCAATGTCTGACTTCAGAAAACTCGAAGGTTGGTTACAAAGAACAATGATTTTATTGTCCAGCACCCCCGCCTCGCATTCTCTTTCCAGCGTTTGCGTCAGCATCGCCTCCATCGTCTCTAGCGCGTTTCCCGTGTGGTATAAACTGCCGGGCTTGGGCATTGAGTCCACCTCTTCCACCACGAGGACTCGCTTGTCCTGCACCTTGGGGGAGGTTGCCAGTCTGAATGTGTTGAGCACCACCACGACCTTGGCCACCACCCCTCATTCCTCTGCCACGACTAATGGCAGAACCACGGCCCGCGTGCTGCTGCTGAAATTGCTGGCCCTGCATTTGCTGATCAGAAACAAATTGACCATGTTGTGGGCCACCCTGCATTCCCCGACCACGGCCTCCCCTAGCAACGGGAAGGCCGGACTGCAAAGCACGAAGCACACCAGCGCCAGCGACAGGTTGAGCGGCCTGAGGAGGGCGATTAGGTAGTCCAGTAGCCTGCTGGGTCGGTGCCTGGTCAGCAGTAGCAGCTGTTGCTGCTGGTTGTGGTTGTTGCAGCTGCTGCTGTTCAGGTTGATGCGTTGTCGATTTAGCTGTAGGTGGTGGATGCTCTGCAGGCTGTTGCGGAGTTGGCATTAGTGTCTGAGTAGGTGTCACTTTCTGCTGGGAAGGGGTTGCGGGGGCTGTTGGGGCGGGGGATTGAGCTGGAGCCGAAGCTGGGGGAGCAGGAGATGCCGGTGGTAGCGGCTTTGGTGCTGCTTGTTGTGCAACGACAGGCTTGGCTGCTTTAGCAATTTCCCACACTTCGGCTACAGGACGTTGAGGAGTGTCTGAGGCGGCCTTTTGCACGACCTCGATTTTGGCTTGAGCATTTCTAGCCCGTCCCTCAGTCATGCTGACCTTAGCCAGCAGTCTCTTTTCCGCCAGCTCAACGGCGGAGCTGATTTTCTGGTCCCGCTCCTTCAGAATATTCTCTTTCTCCTCGTTGAACTTCTTTTCCAGTTCCTTCATTGCCTCCATGTCCCGCTGAGCTTGTCCTTCCTTGTTGCCCATCGCTTCTTTCTCTTTGTTGATTGCGTTTCGAATATTGTTTTTGATAATATTCCGGATAGTCTCATTCTTAGCAACAAGTTCACGAGCTGCTGCGTCAGACAGCACTGGAATTCCCTCGGCCTTTGAAGCTAGCTCTTGTTGATGGGCTGCTTTCAAAGCTTCTACTTCTTTTTGTGAAGATGCTCTATGTTCGGCCAACTTGCTCTGCAAAATTTCTTTCATCCTATCCACCCGCTCTTTAACCTTCTGATCTATCTCCGCTTCTTTCGCAGCCAAGGCGGCTTCCAATTGTCTGACCTTTTCTTCCAGTTCCTTGATTTTCTCCTCACTAGCATTAACGTCACCAGAGTTGGCCGCTTCTGGAGGAGGAGCATTCGGCGGTTGTGACTCTATAGTATCTTGGGTCACAGGTGCAGCGGCAACAGTTTCTGGAGGCCTGGATTTCATCAAATTTAGTTCCTCTCGAGCCCGGTCTAGCTCCTGGTTGATTTGCTCTTTCTCTTGGATAACACTGTTGAGTTCAAGCTGTTTAGCATTGATGCGGCCCGTGAGTTCCTTCGACCTAGCCTTGAATTGTTCCGTTAATCTAGTACGCAGCTCTTGGGTGCGATCCTCTGCCTGCTTCAGTTGTTCGGGGAAGGTCGATGCCTGTGCTTCTAGAGTCTCCCGAGCTGACACGGCCTCGTCCCGTTCTTTCTTGAGAGTCTCCAGCTTTTCTTTCATTGCCTCCAGCTCTGCAGGATCAACACGGTCATATTTCTGGAGGATATTTTGTGTCCGCTGTTGCCAACGGTCCCGGTCACTTTGCAGAAGCTTCATCTCACCATCTTTAGTCTCCAGATTGTCTTCCAGTTCACGGATGCGGGTCTGAAGCGGTTCGATTTGTTGTTGGAGTTCATCAGTGAGTTTGGCTTTTTCGTCTACGGATGCCTCCAACTGCTTGACCTGGTTTCGGAGGGTAACACTGCTTTCCCGGAATAGATTGAGCTCATTGAGCGTCTCCAATAACTTGTTGTGACTAAGGGCATGTTGTTCACTCTCTGCTTCGGCACGACGTTGCTGTTCAAGCTTAAGGCGTGTATCCTCAAGTTGTGTCTGAGTGTAGTCAAGTTGTTGGCGTAGTCGTTTGCTTTCCTGGGTTGAAAGATGATATTGGACATCAACGATCTCCTTCTCCCGCCGTAAGAATTTAATGACTTCTTGAAGGCCTTCTAGATCCGATCCAGATGCTGTTTCAGTTTCACCGTCCTCAGGAATGCCCGCACGATCACGCTGAAGCGAGGAGATCTGCTTCGTGATACTCTCTAACTGACCATGGAGTATCGTGTTTTGGCTAAGAACTTCTTCACGGCGTCGGCTGAGTTCCTCAATTTCCTTTTCATATCTGCCTTTCATCTCATTCCAATTCTCCTCTTCGCGCGTCAAATTGCTTTTCGCTGATTCTGCCTGCGTCTTTAGATCTACAGCCTCAAGTTTCAGCTGGTTTGCTTCGGCTCTAACTGTCTGGAGATGTTTTGCAGCCTCTGCATGTTTTACCAGCTCATTTTCATAGTTCTGTTGAGCGTTTTGCGCTATTTCTGCTTGCGCTTTCAGGTCTTGTTGATGGAATTGAGCAGCCGCTTCGTACCGTTCCTGTTGCTCCTTGAGTCTTGTAATTTCGGCATCCATAGTTGACTTTTGGTCATCAAGACGCCGCTGGTATTGTGCTTCTTGATCGCGGAGTTTTGAAAGTTCTCCATTACTGGCAGCAAGTTCAGTAGAGAGATCTTCAACTCGTTTCTCCAGCTCTGAAATTGTCGAATTCTTTTCTTCAAGGAGTCGATCGGTATCTTCGCGATATTGTTCATTTGTGTCGTTAAGAGCTTGAAGTCTCTCTTCTGTTGCTTGGCTAATAGCTTTATAATCCTCCGCTTGCTCCTGAGCATGTGTCAACTCACTTCTTGCCAACTCGAGGTCGCGTTTAAGCTCCGAGACCTCGACAGCCAATTCTTGTTCCCTACTCAATCCTGTTCCCTCACCCGCTTCAGGTGCCTCTTCGGCGGCAGTCGTGGAAGCTGGGGCAGCCGAAGGCTTACGTTGAAGGACCACCAAACGTTCTTCTGCACTCTTAAGTTCAACGGAGAGTTCGTCGACTCGAGATTGTAAATGATCCTTGCTCGTCTTTGTAGCGACAAGTTCCTCACGGATGGATCCGAGACTTGTGACCAAATCCTCAATTCGTTTCTGGGTCTGTTCCTGATCAAACTCTCTCCGAAGAGCTAGTTTCTTCGCATCCTCTGTCTCGTCACTCAGTTTTCGCTTTGTTGACTGTAACTCGGACTCCAGCGACTCTATGGTCGATTGAAGGCGGCGACGGGTTTCGGATTCTGTGTGTTCGCGTTCGTTGAGCATGGACTGTAGGTTGGCATTTAAGGTGTCTAGGCGGCTACGTTCGTTTCTGAGAGACTCATTATCCTCCACAAGTCGTTTTTCAATACTCTTCCAAAGCTCCTTTTCAGCTTTAAGATTCGCCGTCTCTCTTCGAAGACTGTCCACAAGGCCTCTGGCTTCGACAAGATCCTCCGCCACCTGCTGGGTGCGCAGATCTTGCTTATTTGCATTCTCCATGAGAATCGAGTGTCGCTTTTGAAGCTCGATGTTCTCGTTTTTCAACATATTAAAATTGGATTGAAGAAGCTCAGCCCGTTGAATAGACGTTGTAAGCTGGCTATTCGAACGGCTAATTTCGCTCTGTAATTCACCGTTCTTCCTCGTCAAATCATTGACTTGTTGTTTTAAGGAGGAATGATCGGTAGCAGTTTCTTGACGGAAAGAATCAAAATGAGCTTGCAGCTTTCGAAGAAGTTCGGCATAATCGGGACCTTCACTTGGCTGAGCTGGAGCACTATCAAGGGAGGGTGGAACCGCACCCAATGGTAGGGATTGAGAGAAGGGAGAAGTTGTCTCGCCGATCTCCCGCCGCCGTAAAAGCATGCTCCGGAAGGTATCTCGCTCCTTGATGTAACTCTTGGTCTGGGCAACAAGACTTGCCATCTCATCTCGGTAGGTTTGAACTCGAGAGCGCAGTTCTTTAAGCTCATCCTGATCTTTCTGGTAAGACAAATCCCTCTTACGAGCTTCCTCGCCCTCCAGCTTGTCACCAAGTTCTCGCAACATTCTCCGAAGTGTCACGTTTTGGGTTTGAAGTTCATTCAAGTTTTTGAATGTCGTCATGTGGCGGGTAATGAAACGACCGGTGTTATTCATATTATCGGCGGTCTCGTCTATTCCTTCGCTGGCTATCTTCTCCAGCTCGTCTCGATTATAGTCCTTCTCTCCAGAGCCGAGAAGGTGAACCTCCATGACCAGGACTTTCACTTGCGCGCTTAAGTCACGGAGCTGCTGGCGTAAGATGTTTCCTTCACCCTCTAGTCCTTCCACGTGGCCTTGCCATTTCCGCGCTTCTCTGGTAGCTTCTTCCCTTTCCTTGCTAGCGGCATCCAAAAGGCCGGACATTTCAATCACAGAAGCTTCAAGGCGTGAATGGTCCGCACGAAGTTCATCTATTTCTGGCTTGCTCGATTCCAAATCTTGAACCATTTCGTCCATCGCGGTCTTAAGTTCCTGATTATTTTTCTGTTCAGCCGCGAGAAGTGTTCGCATTTTATCGTATTCAGTGTACATTTGAGTAAGTGTAAGACCACCCTTAGTGCGTGCTGACCTTGGTGAAAATGAGCCGACTGGAGTGCTGGGACGAAGTGGAGTGCTAATACCACCATTGAGACCACGCATCGGGGTTGATGGTTGATTCCTGCCCGAAGCCACTTCCGATTCAAGTTGCTTCACGGCTAACTCTAATTCTGCAACACGACGTTCGGCCGCTTCCTTGTCGGAATGTTCAGTCTCAATTTCTGCACGCAGGCGCGATAACTCCTGCGCAGCATCATCTTTGGCTTTTTCAAGGGCGAGCTGGCACTCTTGTACACGCTTTTTTGCAGTTTCAGCGGCATTTTGCTGCAGCTGTGCAAGTCGCCCAGCACTATCAAGCTCGATTCGGAAGGATTCAGTTTGTTTAATCGCCTCTTCTTTTAGGTATTGAACGGATGTAAGGGACTCCTCGTATTTCTGTTCAACTTCATCAAGGCGTTGCTTGAGAGACGTCTCATTTCTCCGCAAAGTATCAATATTGGAGTTGGTCTCCTCGTTTTGGCGCTGCAATTCTGAGATGCGCGCGGCCTTCTCCTTTCTGAATTTAAGGTATTCTGCGGATTTGGTTTGAAGCTCATTCTCAAACCATTCATTGTTCTTCTTCAACAGATCTAGTTCTTGTTGTAAGCTTTGCTCACGGAATCGTGTACTGGCAGAAGCTGAATTAGCTGCCTGAAGTTTCTGTTCAAGATCGGCGACTTCTCGCCTCAGCGTAACTGTTTTCCGATGTTGTGCGGAAAGCTCTTCGGCAAGCTTATCATACGCTGCGGACTTGGATTCTAAGAGACCTAGGGTGTCTCTATTGGATGCTTCGAGAGATGCGATTCGTGTTTTGAGGGAGTTGAACTCGGCTTCATTGTTAGATGCGGAGGACTTGAGGGCCTCGAGCTTTGATTCAAGCTCGGAACGCACATTTTCTGTTTCGCCAGTCAGAATCTGTAGTTTTACGCTCGTTGCGACAGTAAACTCTTGCCTGTTTCTTGTAGTTTATTTCGAAGACTTAAGATTTCTGCATGCCCTTTCTCCACAGAGGATTTAAGCACTTTAACTTTGGCTTCATTTCCACGCACGGTGTTTTCAAATTCAACCTCTAGCCGTAGCTTATCAGATTTAAGCTCTTCGGTTTCTCGAGCTTTTGCTGCGATACCTTTGAGCAGCTGCCCAACAAGGTCAACAGTCGGGTTTTCAGTGAGCGTTGTGAGGGTGGCTTGCGGAATCGAATAGTGGGAGGAAAGAAACGGGATATCGACAGCAGCCGTAGCCATGGCTGCGATCGCGGCGACGTCTAACAGGACGAGTGATGGAAGATGTATCGATACGCGGGTTTGACCATCTCAGGTGCTGGCTCCAAATGTAGCCGCCGAAAAGCTACAATGTCGGAATTTGGTTAACAACGAGCGATAAGCACAACCTTCGAGCTTCTCATGACAACTAATGGGCCAGAAGAGTATATAAATTTGAAAAACCGATCGAGCCGCCCCTGGTCAAGGACAGTACTCCAGCAGAGAACAGCGTCTCGTTGGATCGCAGAGCTCACCAGAGAGTTCGCCCAGCTCCTTGGAGAAAACTGCACTAGCCGCTTATGTCCTAGTTTCACTCAAATCACGTGATAAACTGCCCGACGCCTGCGATGATGGATCAACTGCAGGACAGCGCCGCATCACCACGCCGGAGCTTGCCTTTACATCACTATTCCATCATTCAAGTTGACAAGTTTGGATCAGTTGCCCAGGTCGTTCTGGTCAGTTTTGGAATTAGGCCATGAGGGGTGTAGGAGCCCCCTAGGATTCCCTCGACGAGCTGTCGTGTCGTCTACCAAAGCCGAACATTCGAAACCGAAACCAATCGCCACCATGTCTTATTTTCAGAACCAGATTAGTTCCTTCAGCAACAGCGTCATTTCTGCAGCTAGTCGGCTTCCGCAAGACCGGCGCGCACCTGGTAATGCCAGCACTGTGATGGCCTCTGCGGCTCAAGCTTCGTCTTCGACCAACTCAGCTCCGGCTACGACAAATGGCAAACGGCAAGATGCGGATATCGTCTACTCGCAACCCGCTAACACGGGAACGGGGAAGGACATCATGACACAAGTGGTGTTCGCCATCGAGCATATGAAAAGCAAAGATGTTCCCCTGACTTTCTCCGACATCCAATCGTACCTGTCTTTACATCGCCAGGGTCATGATCAGGCTTATATCCATGCCTTACGAAGGATTTTGCAGTCGCATGACAAGGTCGATTATGACCCACAGGGTTCCAAGGGCGAGGGAACCTTCCGTTTTCGACCTCCTCATAACATCCGGTCCGCGGACCAACTCCTTCAGAAACTCCAGTCACAACCTACCGCTCAGGGGATGAGTGTGCGAGAGCTTCGAGAAGGTTGGCCGAATATCGTCGAAACGATAAACAAGCTGGAAAAGGAAGGCAAGCTCCTGGTGACGAGGAACAAGAAAGATGACCATCCAAGGATGGTGTGGGCCAATGATCCGACCCTGATTCATCAGTTCGACTCTGAATTTCGGCAGATCTGGGAGAAGGTTAAGATTCCAGATCAGCAGACTGTTGCAGAAGAGCTTGAAAAGGCTGGCATTACGCCTACCAGCAAGCACAAGCCTGTGAAGCAACGGCCGAAGATCGAGCAGAAAAAGGTTAAGAAGCCGCGAAGAAGTGGCAAGACCACCAACACCCATATGGCTGGAATTCTGCGAGACTATTCGCATTTAAAAAGATGACACGAGATCATCATGCCAATGGATTGGCTTATTATCTTGGTGCGAGATGTAAGATTTGACGGAGGTGCCTTTAGCTAGGTATCCTCGAAGTTTTGCATGGACCGGAGTTTATGGACTTATGGTTGGATTCCGCTATATCATTTCTTAAATTATACTTCCGGGCAAGATGTATCGGGCTATATGTCACACCGCTGACAGCGAATTGGGGATTGCTTGCTTGAAGGCATCTGGCAACATAGAATGCATTGAGACTACTCCGCATATTCCAATTGATTTCTCTATTTATTGAATTACACTGGTATTTACATTGCTGTTCTGAAACATGCTCCAAACCAGGACATCCAAAACCTATCACAAAGTCCCCAGTAACTCGAGAAACGGCTTCACAAGGATATTGGCGTTTTTCTCCCGAAAGTCATGTAAAAACAATGCCAATTCATTTCAATGCTTCCCGTTTAGTGTAGGAAGCGATCCTTCCGTCTTCTCCAAGTAGTCCACTAAATCCTCAATCGTGCAAACTTTCAGCCCCCATCTCTTCCCAAATCTCAGACACCCATCTCTTCTCATCATCGAACAATCCGTCCTCTCTGCAACATTGGGAGCAACCTCGTCACCATCTTCCACAAGCTCACAGATCACGCCAACCTCTCGCTTTCCAGCCAATCTGCAGAAATCTATCGTCGCTTCAGTGTGGCCATTACGTTCACGAACACCACCGGGTCGAGCGCGGAGCGGAAGAATATGTCCTGGCCGCCGGAAATCGGTGGGTTTGACGTCTGGGGAGGCAAGGTTACGGCAGGTGAGAGAGCGATCACGGGCAGATATTCCAGTCGAAACGGAGGGGTCGTTTGAGTCGATTGAGATTGTGTATGCGGTCCGGTTAGGGTCTGTGCTGTCCGTCACCATTTGCGGAAGATCGAGAGAAGCAGCAAGCTCGGGGAGAATTGGGGCGCAGATATAACCGCTGCATAATCAGACCGAAAGCGTTAGAACCAGAGCGAAACCCGGAAGTAGATTTCTGTTTTGAGAGAAAATAATACCTTGTGTAGCGGATCATGAACGCCATTTTTGCGGGTGTGACCGCATCGGCGGCGATGATCAAGTCCCCTTCATTCTCCCGGTTCTGAGAATCCAACACAACGATGAATTCTCCATTTCCTATTCATACCCCGGGAACGACATGTTAGCGTGCTCGGCTAATGGATGAGGTCGCGGGCTCCGGAAAAGCCAGCAATGAAACGAAGCATGCCAAGCAGATATGGTTGTCACACGAGAACTTACTGAATGCTTCTATAGTCTCTTCAATTGTATTGAACTTCAGACCTTCGTCTGTTATTGCGGACGGCATTGTGTAAAGCGGGAGGAGAATTGTCAGAGGGATTGCGAAGCGGTCAATAGGCGGAGGCGGGGTGGGATCAGATGCGAACGCCGAACGGGTCGCAGAACGGTCACGACTCGGAGAAGCAAGCAATAAGGCAAAATATATACAATAATCTACGAAGGGTATCCAAAGAAGCAAAGAAAGAGAGGTTCTGTTCACATACAGGTATATCCGTGGTAAGATTTGTCTTGGATGACTGGTTCTTGTCAACCCCGGGGAGGAAACTTTGACCTCGGAGTGGCGGGATGCCCCAAGGCGAGCGGAAGCCGGGAACACATGCGGATGTGATTTTTTAGTCACACACGCACACCCCCGGGCAGATTAAGCTCCGGAAAATATACGGAGAGATGCAGATCCATGCTAGCTTATCGGCATCATGAGCATTGCTTTATTGGGAGACTTCCCCTTCGTGGAGCACCTGAAAAATATGGATCATGTCAAAAAGTCTGCTTTCCGAACTCGGTGTTCTTGTAAACAGGCGTCCGATGTCGTGTGAATTTAAACATTATCTAAATATCTGAATCGCGTACGGTACAACACATAAAATCCATGCAAGGAGCATTTAAGACTCAGTTAAAAATGAAGAGCGCTCTCAGAGCATTGGGCACCCGAGGCGTAGCTCTGTTTTCAAGGGACATTATACATTAAACTATTCGCTCACTGGAGTCCCCCCACGGGAGCGACAGGCCACAAAATTGGGCTGAAAGGAACACTTGCGCGGTAGGGAAGCACTCGATCCTTCAGATAATCGGATCATCCTACCTAACATACGGCTTCCGCTATCGGATAGTCGATGGCATCTCGGCCACTAGCCGATTGAGATCATGCGCCTGAGAGCGCATTGACCGCTCGAGAGTTTCCATGTATTCTCTTTCCATCCTTTCTGTATCAAGGTCTTCCGGACCCCGACGGTCGTTGTCCTCCTTAGGGCAGTAGGTCGGATGCGGATAAAACCCAAGACTACCAACTCGGCTTCCCGTCCAAACAAGTATCTCATCTTCTGAGAGATCACCACCGGTTGGTAGTAACTGGCGAATGAAGTCACTGCGTCCGCGCTCGCCTATAAGAACACGGAGAACTGGTGGAATGGTCTCTGGAATTATGTCACCCGAGTCCTCCAGATCCCTTCGCCCTACACCTTCTCTACCACCGCGGGATTGAGGGTCGTGGTTGATGTTCCATGCTCTTATCGGAGTCTTACCATCTCGTTCAACCCAACGAACATTCCCATTTGCATCAGAATAGACGAGTTTTGCGCCATGGGTTGCAACTGACAATACTTTCGAAGCCGAGGTTGATTGGCGGTTCTGATACACCGTAGATTTATCAATAGTAGTTGGTCCTGCATCCCAAAAGGTGGACGCGGAAGATTCGTTCGAGAATCCGTATATTTCGAGGGAGCCCTTTCCATTATACTCACCACAGGCAACCAATCCGCGATGATTTTGCCAAGCGCGACCGAGACTGAGATGAAAAACCTCTGGAACAGTTGTCAAGGCGCTCAACCGTGCTCCGGAATAGATTGTATCCTGGATAGCTGGAAAGAACCTCCGGTCATACTGGAGGATGCTAGGGAACCGGCCAGCTACAAAGATTGTATTGATATCCGGCAGGGGAGGATGAAGGACCGAAAGAGCCATTGGTTTTGGCAAAGAGGCAGAGCCGCTGTTGCGTGGCGGGAGAGGGCACAAGAGCTTCACGTCGAGAGCAGCAAGCTCAGCTGTGAGGCCTTGGACAGTCGTAGTATGGTCAAGAGCACCGGGTTTGGCCGGGCACCTGGGGTCGTATATATAGAGATCCTTGGTCGTAGCGACCGTAATTGGAGCATCGTAATCAACCTGCCGCTGTGAAAGAGAGGAGACGCAGTGTGGGTAGTTGTGTGTTGACACTACTTGTAGAGCTGCAAGGTCTACTTCAGTTACACAGTTTCCAACTGCGATATACACCCTAGAACGGGGCGAGTCAACGTTCACGCAATTCCCACCCCCCAAGAATTCGTTGACATGCTTTCTCGCCGAGGTTCCAGTTCGCCCCGAATGGTCATGAAATAGGATGCCGCGCTTGCTTGTGTTAACGACCTGGCCCCAGGAAGCAGTCGGCTCGCCAGGTTTTTGTTGGCTGATATCCCAAACGCAAACTGAGCCGTTGTCTAGCGGAGCTACCACTCTCCTCGACTCAGCATAAGCGGAGCGCTTCAGCAACCCCATGCCCTTGATCTCGCGGTTGCAGACAACGTGAAGTGCCTTTGAGTTTGGCTGTTGTAGCCATCGAATCGAAATCGGTGAATTTCGCGTCATGTACTCAGAATACCAGTCGATACCCTCCTTCCCATATATCGGGTCGTGCGAGTCTGTGGATGGATCTGCACGTGTCGCATGATGATCAAGCCTATTAAAACAGCGGAAAGCATAAGGATCGTCTCAGATCTGAAAGCAGAAAGGCCCATACCCATTAACCTGCGCCCTGTGGGCATTGTACATAGAAGGGTTGGCATCGCGCCAAGCAGACTCATACAAAAGGGACCGCCACAGTAGATCGTCCCGGCCGAAAGTGAGAAAGGCCTTTGAGACAAGCTGTAAGTTGAGGAGATGTTTGGGTGCAAGGTCTGCCAGAATTTATCAGCTTGATGTTTTAACCAGTGGAGGATTGCCATACAGCTGGTGATATTTAAAATCAATTCGGCCGGTAGCTTGTCCATGATTGCCAGTAGCCGGATCCTGTCACTGGTTAGTTATGCGTTGCTTGCGGCTCGTTTCGTGGCTCAGCAGGGAGATAAAGCCGAATTTAGCCAAAACGGCCCGCCAGGGTCAAGCCGCCTGTGGCGTCACTAGCTACATTAAGTTGCATCACTTCAATGACGCACCGCTCATCCATAAGCAGTTAAAGTCCATTGGTTTTTTGGCTGCAAACGCTGCAAACCTTCCCCTTTGCAAACATTCACCGTCGTAATATAACCGGGCTGGTTGGGGAGTACGGAGTACCGAATTATATTGCTACCAATTCTTTTTGTCGAAGTTGCCTATATGAAAGTGGCTGCCAGTGAACACTTTTCCTTCCCTCTGAGCAATTTCCATAGATATCTCCGACTATAACCAGCCGAAACCCAACAAGATGTTTGCAACCCTTGGATTTCATCCGGCAATACCATTTGGCGCAATGCAGGGTTGAATTTTCCCATAAAGACATCCAGTTTTATAGAACTGCTACGTACAAGGGTTAGGATCGAGGCTCCTCTATCTCTGAAATAGTTGGATCTAAAATAGAACCCGACTTCGTCCTGTTTTGCCCTTCACCCAAGTTGCGGGCACCAAGATCTGGCGCCCAAAACGTAGCCTTTTCAGCGCCATCCAGGCTTGCCTGTGCTTTACGAGAATACGAAGTCGAATGCCTAATCAGGATGTGAACTTTAATCGCGAGGACATATCACGTATATATGGACTCTGTACGGAGTACCCCGTACTCTTCGAAGTATACAGACGGAGTACCCCACGCAGGATCATATTATAAACCTATCAAACCGGCACGTACTGACTACGTCCAGCTATAAAATCTATCATCCCCTCTCGGATTTCGCCTATTTGAACCTCTATATGCAAACAGCTTGTTTGATCCTTACTTGATCACCCATATCTTTTCATCAACCATCGCTCCGCGCCACAGCCAATTCAAACCATATCTCCAATACGCGACTGACAACAATGGCTTACTACAACTATTTACACTTGAAGAAGCCAAATACCGACCCAAGGAGTTATAACCTATATTGTGGTCCCTACCAATAGAAATGCCGCCGATACGCACGTTAGCATTTTGGAGAAGAACAGGACGCTAAATACAGGCCAGAGGGTTCTGACCGCCAAGGAAATAATAAGAGAATTGTCAGAAATATAAATATATGATTGTGATGAGCTTGTGCTTGGTTACTGGCTGAGTCACGGCGTCTTAGGGCATTCTCCGTAAGGCAAATTTCCGCTGCTGCGAGACCTATATGGCAAAATCAAAATTTACAGGATGAAATAAATCAGTGATGTGGAAATACACGGAGGTTGCTCCCGCAGCAGATAAATATTGATTGTGATGATGACTACTTCTCGAGGTACAGCTTCCTCGTGCGGCGACACGGCTTTCGAACCAGTACTAGTCCCATGACGGACGCCTCATAGCTCTCCGAACACATACGATTCCAGTTTCTCATCCTTGTCCATACCAAGTTCTGATCTCAAATTCCCGATAATCACCCGACATAAAACCAGAATCCAATATATCGATATAGACACTCGGCGGTCGCTAGCCGTTATCGATGGCGTTCTTGTTGTGACTCTTGGGAAAACGCAACTGGTTCCGTTCCTTGACTTCCTCCAACAATTTTCCATCATATACAGCGAATCTTCGGATTCATGCAATCCGTATGTCGACTTCAGGATCGCTTGGTCATCGGAGTCGGGAAACAATAACGATGGGTTCAAACTTTGTAAAGGTACTTCTAGGGAGAATTAGGCAATTTAAGTGACGATGAGTATCATTAGATGGCTCCCGAGCCCTTCTCTGATGAGATTCCACAGCTCGGCTCATTACCCTACTTTACCGGTTGTGCTTCATCGAAATCGAGTTTGAGGTTTTGTCAGTGAAACGTTGACTTTCAACATGGCGTTTCGTAACGACTCTAGAATTCATCAAAAGGGAGGAAAGGCATGGCTGATACGTATTTCCACTTACCATATTTCATTACCATGAACTTATAGAATACAGACGAGATTTAGCGCAATTTAGCAGGGTATATTCAATTGTCAGGTCTCAAAACTGCATCTTTACATAGCACTGTAATCTTCTTAAAGAAGCGCCTCCATTCAAGAGGATCACCTTTAACTTTGACAAATTCGACCTCTGCAATTCCTTCCGCAATGACCTCAACAATGATATTTCCACTTATGGGGCATTTCCTATCGTCATTCGTGCGAATGCGGATAACGACAGAGGTTTCGGATGATTTAGGCGAGGCTGGGACATGGATCAGCTGAAGAGCTTCGCACACGCGAGGTACGAGAAGGCTGAGAGGCCAGTTCGAGAAGAATCTTGTAAGACCCGAACAGGGAATGATGTCTTGGAATTTTCCGGCATTTTGGGTCCGACTGGGTGGCACCGACGGCGTCGCAGAAAATTGTGACATGGATGGTTCATCCATGAGGCGATCCGCCAACATACCATTGTCCGCAGGGTTTCGCAGTGTTTTGGGCTGCGAAGCGGATTGGAAGCTCGTCGTTAAGCGTGGCGGGCCATCCCAGTCAATTAGCATGTCGTCCGTTAGGGCTTCAGGTTGGGTAGAAGAAAATCTTGGCTTTATGCCATCGTGTGGCTGGTCATCGAGCATCACGTCTGGATTGCTGGAAGGTGTGTTCTGACAGAAAGAGAGAGGGTCTTGGTTAAAGTCTATGTGCAATGACTCGAACATTGTCGTGGCCATATTGACCGGATTAATGAGTCTGCCGTCAGAAGAAAGATACTTGTTCTGTTTCGTAAACCATGGATGGCGCCGTACGTCCTGCATGGAGAATCTTTTGGATGAATCAATCTTCATCATGCCACGAAGCAGTGACAGTACGGCAACTGGGAGACGCTGCCAGAGCTCATCCTCCGGTTTTGCATTTGCCTTGACATATTCACAATATTCATAACTTTCGTCCGTGGGACTGTCCCAAGGAGTGTTTCCAACCAACAAAACGAAGAGCACAACTCCGCAAGACCAGATGTCCGCCAAGTCCGCCCTGTACCCTCCTCCTCTTGATTGCCCGCGATTACTGCATTGAACCACCTCCGGAGCGATATACGGAGGGCTTCCGCAGAGTGTAGTACTCATTTTCATTTTGCCATTGTATTCGAAGAGCGTCGCCAGCCCAAAATCGGCAATTTTTAAATTTCCATCAGAAGACAATAAAATATTCTCGGGCTTGATGTCCCGATGTCCTACCCCTTTGGAGTGCATAAATCCAACGGCATTGATGAGCTGTGCGAAGTATACATGAGCAATGTCTTCCCCCACCCCCTCATCAGCCTCAATTTTGTCAAATAGATCACCGCCCTCTGCCAGTTCCATCGCTATCCATCGCCACGTTTCATTTTCGTCCGTGTTATAGAATGCAATGATGTTATTATGCAGTCCCACGTGTTTGTGGAGAGCCACCTCCATTTGAAGTTGCTTTGAGGTAATGCGCCCATGACGAGCAGCATAATCCTTGTGGATGAACTTGACAGCAAAGAGCGGGGTATCGTTCTGAAGGGGACATGCCTTTTTGATACTGGGAGCGATGTGATCAGTCAATATCTCGGCAGAACGCGGGAGTAAAGGCCATCGGGGGAGGAAGTTACCAGGCATAAGCACCCTGCCCGATCGTCTTTGAGACAATGCGAAAGGGCAGGTCCTCCGGAAGCGGGGCCAGCTGGGAGTGTTTCATCAGGGGCAATTTGGTGCCGGCTTTGAAGGGTACGTTTAGATGCAGCGTGCCAGTTAACCACGACCCTCGCTCCGAAGGCAGGCGGCGTTTTGATCGTGAGGGGTAACGAGGGAGTCAATTGAGGGCATGTGAATCCATGCGCTCCAGAAATTGCAAATCAGACCTTCTTGGAAATGTTGGGCCTGACATGTCGGTCAGACTGAACGTTGAGCACGACGCGTGCGTTTCATCTTGGTCGTGATCGTATCCCCTTGACTGGCTGGGAGCGTTGCCTTGGGATCCCGCGCTCGGGCTTATCGATAACTAACGAGTGGGCCTCGCCGGATCACGCTAGCGGGTGCCAGCTGGTTGCCAGGTAAACAAACATCCCGGGATTCTCTTTTCTGTTCTGTCCCTTGTGCTCCAGGATCGTATCTCCTACTCTCTGGCGGTCGAGCTTTTGAGAAATTTAAAGTGCCTTCTTTCTGCTCTTCAACCCTTTTAGTCTCGTACGAAGCAAGGAAACTGTCCTCTCAAGGTGCAACTCAATTCTCCAAAAACAAGCAGCGCCGTTTGAAGGTCGCGTACCGAGGACCCCAAACCCCATCGTTCGCTCTCATACAGTTTGGAGAGCTTATTGTTTGGGATTAAGATGGATTATTCTCTCGAGGATTCTCAGAATGCGGCTCCGGATGCCCCTTCGGTGCAAGAAACTTCGAAGCTGAATCCTGCGGCCATCAAGGCCGAAGCCCAAACCGTCACAAAAAGGTAAGTTTCCAGCCGTATTTCCCTTTCTTTAGGGAATACGTTCTTCGCATGGTTAACTGACACAGTCTACCTCCATCAGACTGCAAAGCGAGCTTATGCAGCTTATGACGTCCCCTTCGCCAGGAATCTCGGCTTTCCCCGATGCAGACGGAAACTTGCTTTCTTGGACGGCTACCATCAACGGTCCAGAGGATACCCCATATGAGAATCTGGTCTTCAAGCTCTCCTTTGGCTTCCCAACAAACTATCCCTATGCGCCTCCCACCGTCTTATTCAAAACCCCTATATACCATCCAAACGTCGACTTCTCTGGCCGTATTTGCCTTGATATTCTCAAGGAAAAGTGGAGTGCCGTGTATAACGTACAGAGTGTTCTGCTAAGTCTCCAAAGCCTGCTGGGTGAACCTAATAAGTAAGTGTGGTGTCTTTATCGATCCGAACTGTCTAGATGCATTCGCGGCTGACACTATTCGCTTGGATACAGTGCGAGCCCGCTGAATGGTCAGGCTGCCGAGTTGTGGGATACGAATCCAGATGAGTTTAAGAAGCATGTGCTCGCTCGACATCGCGATATTGAGGACATTGAATAGTTCCAATAAAGACGACGATCATATGATGATATGTGCATAGGGCAGGGCTTTACATTTTCTTTTGGCGTTTCGAGTGCTTCCAAGCGGCCGGGCGAGAGGCCTTCGGGGTTGTCCAAGGTCCTCAATCAGCCCTATGACGGAGTTTGCCTGGCATGTCGGACTTTGGCTTCTCTTTTATTGGATTCGAATTTTGCATAAGGCTTGGTTATAGCTTTGAATATCCATTTTTGGTGGCACGATGTTCTTTTGCGTTTCCTTCCAAACCTACCACATGACGGCTGCACATTCCTTACTTGATAGCACAACATATTAGCTTGGATCATGGCAAGACAGGAGTCAGAAGCCTTTTTTTCGTTAGTCTCTCAAACACTAAGCAAATGTGATAAGTATTACTTTGGAGACTTATCCGATGCTTAATGCTATTCTGCTCTACGAAGAAACTAAGGGGGATATTCCATGAACTTCAGAGTGGGTTGGTATCGTGTGAGTGATGTTCTGTTCCTTAAACAGATGGTGAATTGTGCCTTGCATTCCTTCAAATACATGCGTAAGTTCAACCCGACAACGTCCCCTGCTGTCGTACATATAACTGTGATATGCACGATAATTGAGGCTGATATTGCATAGTGCTCCTTGTGGCATGACTGGGGGGATTTCCCCAGGGCAGCTTGGCGCGGGTTAGAAGTGGGCCCCTTTTTGCCTGCTCGACTTCACGCCAAGCCTCCCTATGAGTCAGAGCATTAGAGGACATGATTTATGGAGGAGTTGAACTGCTATTGTTAATGAAATGTCTTTTGAGATCCAGTCGTCGTCATGTTACTTGAGCGGATTGAACTTTAACTGGGTTGAATTTTGATTTATATTTCCTCTTGTGACGCTGGTTGACTGCATACCCGCGAATTCCCGTTCCGGTTGCAAGATCCAGTGCCCCATGCCAACATCGAGGTCGCTGGCTACCGGTGCTTGATGATGAATTCTGTCCCGGAAACTCCCCTCGACATAGGTAAATGGGAGGTTATCGCCTATAAAACAAACTCACATTGGGTGAACCAGACGCTCAATGTTGCTTCGCTCAGTAATCTACCCTGAGAACACGGCTAAGAATCGGTGCACTTTGGAGGACTTGATTTGCATCCGATTAGAATTATAGCCCTAGCGGATGCACTTTGGAAATGGGCCAAGCGACTGCATTTATATATCTTGCTTCGCAAGGAATATCAACGCATGGGGCGCGAAGACTATTTTTGAAGAGGACTTGCTGCTACACTGACATGAAACATTGAAAAGCAAATCGACGCTTGAGCCAGGTCCTGCATTCCGATATGCATTGTTGGTTATCTCTCGTCAGTGACGAGTAATCCTGCGATGCTTGCACTGCTCAAAGTGCTCAGCGCCCCCGTTATCAGGGCACTCACGGCGACCCGCGTCACATCAGCCGTCCGATCAGGAGCCAGCTGAGATAAGACGCCAACCTGGTTCCCTAGAGAACCGATGTTCGCAAAACCGCAGAGTGCGTAAGTGGCAATAAGGCGGGAACGGGGCGAAAGCGTCGCATATTCCGCCTGGGTTTGGAGAGCACGATACGCCACAAACTCATTCTGGCTCCCATGTCAGTGAAAGAGAAGACTACGGGTTTCAGGACCTTACTGCAATGAGCTTTAACCCAATTAGACGGGCTACTTTCAGGATATCGCCATTGCGTGGGACACCGAGTAGAAAAGCGACCGGGTAGCATAAGTATCCGACAACGAGTTCGACGGTGAGCGGCGGATCATTGATGTTAAGGTAACGACCCCACCAAGTCAATAGCCCATTGGCGAGTCCAATAAGGGAGATGATGCATAGCAATGTGGCAGCGATCATAGCTGCAATCTTTAACCCTAACCAGGCCCCCGCGGCAAACGCATGTAGTGCATTTACCGGTTTGTTGCCCTCGTCTTCCGGTATTATGACGCGGCCTGCCGTCAATGTTTCTTCCTTCTCAGGGTACCTCATTTTTGATACTGCGAGTGATGCAGGTATGCTCATAACACAAGATGAAATCAGCGCCTGGGGATTCACACCGAGGGCCACGTATGCGACAAACACGCTTCCAGCGATCGTTGCAAACCCAGAACACATCACCTGATGGATTTCAGCCATAGTGAGATAATTGATAAATGGCCGAATCAACATGACCGATTCGCCTTGGCCAATGAATGGTGATGCAGCTGCAACAACAGCTTCCGCGCCCGACACCCGCATGGACCAGAAGAAGAAAACGGCGAATTTTCCAATGAACCACTGGATAAAGTTGATGTAATACAAAAGTTGGACTAGAGATACGAAGAAAATGATCGCCGGCACCACGGTAATGAGAAACCAGGGAAGTTTGAGAACCTCTCCGCTGGTCAAGAATTCGGTTCCTTTTCCAGCGAAGGCAAGAAGGTCAGTGGCACGCATGGCGATGAAGTTGAATATATCGTACCCAACTCTGGTGCGCAGAACGAATAATGCCATAATGAATTGGACTAGCATGCCGACAATGACGGTCCTCCATACTATTCTCTTGCGGTCTTTGGACGTTATCCACAGACCCCCCAATAACACGGCCAACCCGAATAAGCTAACTGCACGGTTTTCGCGGGTATTGTCAGCTGCTTCTGGCGAGGCAAACGCGCCTATGAGGATGACCGCAACGACCAACGCCGCGCCGGCCAAAGTCTGATATTTTTCTGGAATCATCGGAACGAAACGGCGGGCGGTATTTCTCCATATCCAATGCATCGACCTGGTAATTATGGATATCGGGACATAGAAAAACAAAATGCGCAGAGTAATGCAAAGGTAAACGAGGAATGGGACTACCCAACCCAGGTCTTTTCGGCGGAGAATAAGCCCGGCGATCCACCAGCTGAGATACCTCTAAGTTAGTTTCGTTTTTCTTTTTTCTTTTTTCTTTTTTTTTTTTTTTTTTTAATCCAACAATACCTAGGAACGTATCGCCAATTTCAGGAGTCGAAGGGAAACAGTCCATTCTCCTGAGATAACATCCCATGAAGTCTAATGTGCTAATTCCCCCCCACCAAGCTAGACAGTGGACTTACCCAGTGAACAAGAGCCAAATGATCAAATATTTCCCAGTACGGATATACATTTGATATCGGCGACACCATGTTTTGAATCTTCCTCCCTCCGCCGGGCCACCCGTATGGCTCTCTTCGAATTTTTGATCACTTGATCCAGTGCCATATTCCAATTCCTTGGAATATATTTCCTTTTCTATTCCAGGCGGCCTTTGATTCGCGTCCTGATGCTGATGAGCAGCAGGGTCCGGTGTACGCGCTGATACTGCTTCTTCGCTCTTCCATCGCTGATTAACTGAAAAGGTTTTGGAATTTTCCATTGTGGTGCAACTGTGTTGAATGTAGTTTGCACCTGGGGAATTTGTTGAATATCCGAGAGGTTGGAAGCTTGGCTCGGGCCAGCTAACTCGGTTCGCACGAGAATGTCAGGCACTTGGAAACTGCGAAACAAGTGGAATAAATAAGTGTTTGCTAGCTGCGGGTGGCTGAACCCCTCATACGTTGTTACGCAACACCGGGATCCAAAGCCAAACTGACGGGAGGATCTGGAGAAAAAAGCTTTTTCCCGAGAATTGCTCAAGCATGAAATATGGTCAAAGGTATTTCGTACCTATCGGGCGCCAGGCGATGTCCGACGGATGCCGGCCTTGGAACCAGGTTACACAGTGCAGAGGACCAGCTCGCAAACGCAAAAGCCGCCCTTGTGCAAGGAGCCAATCACATTTTAAATACGGTCGAAGGGGCTACAAAGCTGCAGGACAGTTGTTTTCATGAGAATTCCTCGGGTCCAAATTTTCTGTGACAGGTGTCTGACTGAGGGTCTCCCGTGATTGGGATGATCCCTCGTTTATTGCCACCTGCGAGCTCAGGTCAATATCGATGATATTTCCCGCTCCTATCCCTGACAATGGGACCATGCTGAAGTTACTGCAGTCGATATCGAAACGAAGTACTTAGAGATCTGTCTTCGTGGAAATGAGGCGATCGCCACATTGTACAGAAAACTTGATGGCTGGTATATGTATGTTCGCATGTATGTACGAAGTTCCGAGTACTCTATACGGAGTACATACAAATGATTTTATGGGGTACGAGATCTGATTCTATGCCTTGGATGCCATGCGTAAAGCGGAAACGCACGTAGGCGATGACATTTGTGTCGATCCTTAAAAATATGCAGCGAATCGCAGCAAGTTCTACGCTTCCACGGGTAAGGTTACATCTCAGGGTTCACTCCCCCAGAGCTTGGTACCATGAAGGTTCAAGAGACGACAGGCCATCAGTATTAAAATTATTGCGACGGTAAATTGACATGTGGAATTTCCTTTTTCCTTTTTACTCTTCAAAACTTTTATCCTCCTGATGATCCAGGTGGTTCGGCGTCCATATCCATGGGGTCACTGAATTTCTGCGAAATTTAAAGTGCCGGTTAAGGCATATTATTGGAGCGCCCTATTGCCTTCGATGCCCACAATGAACATTTTTACCAGCTTATTTACACATATCTTAAGTGCCTCCAGCGCCTTGAGGATGGTCAGAAACATTGCATACCCGATGTTGGAGTGTTCGGGGCGAAGCAGGGATCCCGTCGCTCGGGAGAACTGATATTGTTGACTCTTGAACTGGCAGTACAAATTATAGAATATATTTGGACTTAGAGACTTGCTCTTCTCTTAAACTGTGATACAGTTGGTGTTTTGCATGATCTCCATAGTAGGTTGGTATACTCCGTACTCCGTACAAGAAAGGCTATCAACAGGAAGGTTTGCACCAAAAGACTTTGTCATCATGACAATAATAGCAGTCAACTGCCCAAAACCATGGAGCTACAAGAGCATACTAACTCCAGATTCATACACCGTTGAGCATGTGAGAGCGGGATGTTTCATCTTGACATATGTCACCTTGACTCTGTATTTTCGAATGTGCTCCTTGATGACGGTGGGATTATCGTAAAAATTTAAAAATAGACCTTCTCTAAGTTCCCCGTTACTTCGTATGGAGTAGTCCTGCTGGGCATAAATCATGCATATTATTTTATTACCGCCTGAAATCAAGATGCACGCCGTCAAAGATGGGCGTCTTTAGCCCGCTGGCCGGCATTCGAGAGCGGCCAGACGGCAGACTCACGTGAGACCCTGGGGAGTCCCCGCCCGACTCGGCTCTGGGGAAGAGTTTATCGATATCGGCAATGCCTCTGGATAGACATCCGACCCCGCGCTGTTCTCCAACCGTAAGGGGGCCGCCCCAGACAAAAGACGTCTAAATCGACACCCCACACTACGACTTTTGGGGGTAAGATAGGTCAATGGCTGGGAGAGGCCAAGCGTTAAGCTCCAAACAAAATGCCTGAAGCTCTTTCACTGGCCAGTCAGCAGCAGCTAGTTGGTTGGGGAACCCTTGACCACTTCGTCCCCCAAGGATAGCTATTTAACGACGCAAGAGGTTCAAGCCGGACCTCCGCTGCTCCGCTGCTCCGTACATGATCCTTGCTCAGCTCCGATTCCAACGACGCAGTCATAAGTAGGTCAAGCTGAACGAAGACAGGAGCTCCTACAGTCCCCCTGTTGATCGAGCTGGACGAAGAACCATGGCGCGAATCCCCGAAGAAATGCCCCAGTGCCCGGAGCACTTCAATTTCGCCGTTGACGTTGTTGACAAATGGGCCGCAGAAACCCCTTCACCGCAGGCGCTGCTCTGGGTTGATCAAAACGGTCGGAATCCCCTGTCTCTCGATTATGCCTATTTCTCGAAACGCTCCCACCGTGCCGCTGGGCTTCTCGCGCGTCTTGGTGTTAAAAAAGGGGATAGAGTGATCATTATCCTTCCACGCGTGCCAGCTTGGTAAGCACTATCCGGTCACCGAATCCAGAATAGTAAGAGGCCTCAGCGGGAAAACATTTCCTTTGATTTGGGGTGTTTCTGAGTTTCTGCGAAGCTGATGGATGTTAACGAATTGCTCCAGGTGGGAGGTTGCTACTGCAGTAATACGTCTCGGTGGTGTTGTCTGCCCATGCACAACTTTGGCAGTCGCCCATGATATCGAATACCGAGCCCAGGCATCAGGAGCCACGGTCTTCGTTGGCGACAGTGTGAGCTTAGAGAAATTTAATTCAGTGCGCAAAAATTGCCCAAACGTCCGACTTGCCCTGCAAGCTGCTGGGGCTCCCCTCAAAGATACCCTGCAATATTCCTCTGAATTGGACAAATTCCCGGAGGAATTCCTATTCCGTGGCGATGGCCGCAAGACTAAATGGTCGGACCCATCAATGATCTATTTTACCTCAGGAACAACGGGAATGCCAAAGATGGTGCTTCACAACCAAGTCTCATATCCTTTAGGTGAGCAGCGGGTATGCACGTGTGGTATCTAGCTCGGCGACTAACATTACGTGACCAAAAGCCCATGTGTTGACCGGACGTCTATGGCTGGATTTGGAGCCCGGGAAGCTTTATTGGAATTTGTCAGAGCAGGGTAAGTATCAACTGTTGTAAACTAGCTTTTATTTCGACATGTTTGATGCTCCGATGCTAACCTAGGATTGCGTTACATGCAGGCTGGGCGAAAGCAGCTTGGGCCTGGTTTGGTGCCTGGAATTGCGGAGCGGCCCTCTTTGTTCAAGAGACTGTCGGCCCATTCAGCGCAGAACAAACATTAGACAATCTCCATAACTATCCTATCACCACCCTATGTGCTCCCCCAACCGCGTATCGCCAATTTGTGCTACCTTCACGACAGGAATACTTCCGCAGAAATCCACCCATGAGGCTTGAGCATTGCGTCGGTGCGGGTGAGCCGCTCAACGACCAAGTCATTCGGACTTGGAAAGAAATGTGTGGGCTCGAAATTCGAGATGGATATGGACAAACAGAGACGACGCTAGTTTGCGGCAATATTAAAGGCAACAAGGTTAAATTCGGCTCAATGGGCAAACCTCTACCCGGCGTCCCATTAACGGTTATCACCCCAGAGGGCGAAGAATCGCCTGCTGAAGAGGAAGGTGAAATTGCTATCGCCACTACGACTCCAGAAGGATTTCAGACCCTCAATATCTTTTCAGGCTACTTGAAACCTGACGGCACTGTTTTGCGACCTACCCGCCAAGGAAAGGGTCGATCATGGTATTTAACTGGTGATAGAGCGTACAGAGATGACGAGGGGTATCTCTGGTTTGTCGGTCGTTCTGACGACGTTATAAACTCCTCAGGCTACAGAATTGGTTAGTGAACATCCTCCCCCATTATCCCACGTCTTCAAGCGCGAAATTTCTCGCGGGTTTATGGCATGCTAAACTCAGGTCACAACAGGCCCCTTCGAAGTTGAGTCTGTACTCAAGAAACACCCGGCCGTAGTGGAATCTGCTGTCGTAGCTTCCCCAGACGCTGCCCGCGTTGAAGTTGTGAAAGCTTTCATCGTCTTACAAGACGAATACAAATCTCGTGATTCCGCTGCTCTTATTGCCGAATTACAAGACTTCTGCAAGGCAGAGACCGCTCCATACAAGTATCCCCGGCGTATCCAGTTCGTAGAACCGGGATTTTTGCCCAAGACAATAAGCGGGAAGATCAAACGGGCTGAACTAAGGGCTTTGGAGAAGAAGATAGTTGAGAGAGCCCAAGGTGCAAAGATATAACATAGTAACGTTTATCATGGGAGACGCAAATAGCGTTTACGTTCCATGTGTTCCTTACGTACCCATTTCCCTTTCGGTAGATTATTAGCTACAGAGCAAATGTACCTTAGACAAAATCAATCTGGATTAGACTATAATTTGACCTGTGTATGACGAGCTTATCATTTACAGTTTGTTTTTATTCCATGGTTCTTCAGGTAGTCGGGCTCATGGCGTCATAAGTACGAGATCAGCGGCGCTATTGGTTACCTGGACGGTACATGTTTAGATATACTTTTAGTACTTATACCATATGTTTAAGAATTGACGAGAACACCCTTTGCTGTAGCTCATGAACGAGGCGAAATACGTCGTCTGTAATCTTCAGGGAAGAAGGCCTGCTTGGGTTTGGGAATGGTGAGAGTTTGCCTTCTTGCAGGACTGATGAGGGAGGGGTCATATTCAGACAAGGAATATCTAACCGACTACTCCGTAACTACCTTCACTAAGCCTGATGGGGTTCAAATATCATAGGTGGAATTCCACTACTTGTCCTTTAACTTAACACGTAGTCATCCTGTAAACGACAGGATACTTGAACAAAGAGTTACATACTCATGGCGTCGCAAGCCCAGAGCTCGGCGTCTAATGACTGGGAAGCCGAAGAGGGCATTCCCCGCTTCGAAGACCCGTTCATTCAAAAGTACCTTCAAGGTAGAGAGGCCTTGATCGAGGAAGAGAAGAAAAAAAGACACGGTATGGTTCTATTACTCGCTGTGTTGAACGTATAATGCTGAAATGTCGTCTTGCAGATGTCCACTTCCGAAATGCCTTGTCACCAGTGGTGAGGGAGGCTTGTCGAATTGTTGAATATATCCGTGCCAAAGAGCTGAGAGATGTGTGGACAAAGGATGTTCAAAGCGAACTAGGTGATGAGATTCTCTACCCTGGGATGATGTTTCGGCTGGCGAGGGATAGGATGGAGAAGACTGACCTTTGGAAAATTATGGCAAAAATGCCAAAGGGTAAGTGCTGGTTACCCTTTTGTGCTACTTGCAGTGATTTAACAGGTGTCTAGGAGCATTATTACATGGTCATATAGAGGCAATGATTGATCTAGACATCCTGCTTGACCAGGTTCTCTCGTTACCTGGAATGTATATGGCATCTTCCGCACCCTTGGATTCAAAAAATAATCTTGAGATCACGCCGTTACACTTTAAATACTCTTCAACGGTGCTATCGTCACATGGATCTCCTACGCTCTGGGAAAGGGAATACCATCCTTTAACATTCCTGCCCGTGCAAGAGGTTGCTGACGCGTTTCCGGGCCAAGGGATAGCGGGTTTTCGAGAATGGCTCAAAAGTCGATGCACCATTGGGCACGAGGCTTCGTTGAATCATCACCACGGCATAGACGCGATCTGGGAGATTTTCGGCAGAACCTTTCAAGTGGTAGACTCGATTTTATATTACGAGCCCATATTTCGTGCCTGTCTTAGGCACATGCTGGCCGAACTTCATCAGGATGGGATACGATATGTTGAGTTCCGTCTGGCGTTCGACTTTGAATACCGTAGGGATCAGAGTAATACTGTTGAAGAAGACTATATTGGATTCTTCGAAGCATTTGACGATGAGATCAAGAAATTCAAGACATCCGATGCCGGTAAAAGGTTTTATGGGGCTAGGATGATCTGGACCACCATGCGAAGGTATTCTAATCGAGATATCGTGGAAAGCATGAAGCAGTGCATTTTGACAAAGGAAGAATTCCCTGACCTTATTGCTGGATTCGACCTGGTCGGCCGAGAAGACGACGGAAGGCCTCTGGTGGACTTACTACCGGTTTTGTTTTGGTTCAAAAAACAATGCGCTCTGGAGAACATGGAAATCCCGTTTCTTTTTCACGCTGGGGAATGTTTGGGGGATGGAAATGAAACAGACCGGAACCTTTATGATGCTATTTTATTGGGCAGCCGGAGGATTGGCCATGGCTTTTCTCTTTTTAAGCACCCGATTCTGATTGAATTGGTGAAAGACAAGAGGATCCTTATCGAGTGCTGTCCTATTTCAAACGAGATTTTGCGGTTAACAAGTTCGATAACGGCGCATCCTCTTCCGGCCCTGCTAGCCCGAGGAGTACCCGTTGCACTGTGTAATGACGACCCGACCTTGATGGGCTATGGTAAGAACGGTCTCACCCATGATTTTTGCCAGGTCCTTTACGGCCTCGAGAACACGGGGCTTTCTGGGATAGCAACTATGGCAGAGAATTCCATTCGATGGAGTTGTTTCGAAGACCAGAGTCAGACGGAATGGCTTCGGGATATCAAAGAGGGTATCACAGGGCATGGGCTCAAGGCTGTGCGTTTGAAGGATTGGAATGTGGAGTTCGAGAGCTTTTGTCAATGGGTTGTAGTGGAGTTTGGGCCAGAAGTCCCTGATGTAGATGAAGCATGAGAAACCCGATCTTTAGACACAGATTAACTTGATGCGCCTTGATGCCGTTTGGAATGGCGTTAGAATGTCACGGATGGTGGCAGGGCCTAGATGGTTGGCTGCCGGTGTCAAAAGGAACAAACTTTGGAGAAAAAGGGCGGAATTGGCCCAGGTGTCCGACCCAGATGATGACATCTTTGTGCGAATGCATTTCCATCCCATCTGAGTTCAGGCATCAGCCGCGACAATCGACAGAAGACAGCTTAAATCTCAGTATTAATGACCGACATCATGGTTGAGATTTGCCATCCTGCACCTCAAGGCGTCCCCGCAGTCTGGCTTCTGGTTTGGCAAACTGACTTCATCCCGTGACTGCGCTGAGCTTAAGTGGTGCGGTTTGAACCCGGGCAGGGCCAGTGACATATTTCCTCCGCAAATCATGTATCAACAACAGAGCAGAGCCCACCAGAGAGAGGCCTAACCCAAGTTTTCATTCATGGCCTCTCTGTTTATCCCCAGATGCTTTGTGTTTTAGAACCACATTCTATTGGTAGATTACTCTGCTGAAAAGATCGCACCTCCGGCACGCGGCTCTGCTTGCAGTTCACGCCACTTGCATTGTCGACTGTCGTGATTACTAGCTCTCCATCAACAAACATTTTGCTTCTTGTTTACTGCAAAACAAGCATTCCTCGTTCATCAAGTGACAGACACTATGGCCTGATGACACGAAAACATTTCAATGACAGCCGTTGAATAACTGTAGCCCTCGAGGCTCAGAGAACTCTATCCTTCAAATATGCCGTTTTCCCTTCCCTCGTTCGCCCAGAAGCTAGTGTTGAGGTATGCTCTGTCGCGGCTAGGGCTGGTGGATACAGATACCTTGGATCTGGCGACCTTGGGCATTACATGGGGCCAAAGGAGCACTTTTGAGCTTCGAAATGTCGGTTTAAAGCTAGAGGTACGGAGCACAGGCGTTTGGCCGACCTGCACTTTTTCTATCCTCCCTCAATCATCAACCCCTGGATGCTAATGTTTGATGAACTTATAGAAGCTCTCCGCGCATTTACCGCCGTACTGCACCTTGACAAAAGGAAGTGTGTCTCTCCTTCGTGTTACCGTCCCGGCAAATCTCCACAATAGCTCAATCATCGTAGAGGTCGACGGCGTAGACGCTCGTGTGAGACTGCTCCCTGATAAACCTGAACAAAATGCCCCTCCGACAAGGTCCAAAGGGACTGCTGAAGACGAAGGCCAGGATGGCCACAGCGTATTGCCATCCACCGCGGACCTTGCACAATCCTTTTTAGAATCAGAGCCAAAAGAGGAGACGGAAGAGCTACAAGCTGCGATATTGTCGCAGTCACAATATCCTGAACATTTAGACGCGCAGAGCGACGATGGAGAAGAAGATCTTGGTTTATATGACGGGTTATCGCTCCCTGCCTTCATCGCTGGATTCTTGAAGGGTGTGATCGATCGACTGCAGCTCAATATTGCCAATGTGTCGTTACGAGTTGATACAGAGGTGCAGCGTGATGGGGTTCTCAAGGATGAAACGCAGGACCCGATTTCGGGACTGTTCACTATCCAAGAGATTGCTATTGATAGTACTGCAACATCGGCATCAGAGGACTCAAGGCTTAAAATTGGAAAACGTATGGTGTCTCTATCAGGGATCCATGCTATGATAATGTCGGATGCAGAAGTATTCTCAAATTATTCTCGCTTTAATGCCCCTGATATCCCATCCACAGTCCATTCTAAATCTACCCATACGCCTTTGCGACCTCGATCTCCCCAGCCTTCTTCTTCAGGCTCCGATTCTTGTGGCGATATGTCCCGTTCAACGATTCTCGACCCATCATCTATGTATGGGTCACGGCTCACCGTTGATTCCCATGGAGATGAGAGCCGACATCTTGAATCTTCTGTTTACTCAACCACGGGAAGATTCTCTGATGCTGACTCTGATGACGAGAACGATCTTGAATTTTACTCCCAGGCCACCACGGGGATGTTAGACAGTCACTATGACGAGCGTTTGTTAGACAATCCAGCGTATTTAGACGAAGCTCTCAAGTCCCAATTCGACGACCACCTTGAAGACTCAACGATATTTCCAAAGGACTGTCCAAGTACCCCTGTCAGAGATCAAACCCCTCGTCCGCACGTTTCCAAGTCTCCTAGCTCATCCCCAGAACATTATATGTACCACTCTGTTCATGAAAGCAATTTTCCCGTTGGCGGAGGGATACGAGACAACGAACCTGATTCTGCGACCAGTGCGCGTGGCAAAACCCCGGACTGTCAAACCGAACAAGAGTCGCCCAGTACCTCTAAGATATGCCCTGCAGTGTCCCAACCCGAAGATTTATCTGCATCGAGAATCTTCACTCATGAAGAGGCGCAGAGTATGTATATGAGTGCCATGAGCCAGTCATCTACAACAAGCTTTGATCCCGATATGCCTGGGGCGTGGGGTTCTTCTAAACGGATAGATACTTCAGACCCTGATCAGAAGGAACAGCCATTGAGTGGCGACACTGATACAGAAGCCAAAGGAGCTTCACATGATTTCGATACTTCCCAGAATTCTCCCGAAGCTCAGACTGGTGAAGACGATGAAAGAGAGAGCGTCCATAATTCACCACAATATATTTCCGGTGTTGTTAAGGAGATACTTGCTATCGATAGGATAATCATCTGGTTACCCTCTGTAGATAGTCAGGACAGCGAGGAAATCCCGAAGACCGACATCGATAGTAAGCCCGTCGACCCCATGGTGGAGTCAACTATTACTTTAGCGGATTCTGTCACGCCTGACCTATTGGCAAACACCAGGTCACGACTTGCCCAGAGTGCTTTCAGGAGAGGCTCCGTTAGTTCAATTGTCTCCTCGCGGCACCTGCCCATATCCCGTACAAAGCCCACGACTCAAAAACACGAGGACTTTGATGGTCTGAATGATCCCCAAACTACGCGTGCGGTGGAGATAGATATTACTTCGTTAACTGCCAAACTTGATATAGCTTCCGGGTGGCTCCTGGTCAAAATAGGCCAAAGGATCACCGATGTGTCTACTTCGACGAGCAAGCAGACCAAGATTTCAGAGGCAGCAAGCGAAGAATCATCGCCTTCATTTTTCCGGCTGAATTTGACATCCTGTTCACTCAAATTCCTGGAGCGTGTGCCTGCTCAGCCATATCCTTTATCCTCAGCGCCATCGTTATCTCAGTTACAAAGCGGAATCCCCATCGAGGAAACCATTTTGCACCTGACCTTATCAGGAACCAGCATTGATTTTGCAGCCATTGGAAACACCACGAAACTACGACTCGATGTAATGAAATTTGTTCTTGGACATATGTCATATGACATCATTTCTTTCGATGAAAGCTTGAGAATGCGTGAATCCACGCGAGATGTTACGTCTCCTGGACAAAAAGATATCTCATTGCGGGTGATCAAATCTTCTGAATCGACCACTGTTAATTTAACCACTCTCCCAATCTGCTTGTCGCTGGACCTCCAAGAACTCGACGAGACACTGGGTTGGTTTGGAGGTCTAAGCACCGTCCTTGAATTAGGAAGCTCTATTGCATCCGCGTCCACAGTTAAAGGGGAGCAACCTTGCTCACCTCCCCGACCCCGCCGGGGTGTACACTTTGCGGATCCGGTGCCTCCTTCGAGCCCGTCGACAACGAATCACGCCGCGCTAAAAGCAAACTGTAGGATAGGTGGCATTGTGCTACGAGTCATCGGGGAACACTGCACAGTTCAGCTTGGGACTACTGCAGCGAAGCTGGTGAGCCGATTTGAGGGAATCGCTCTCCAGATAGATAAAGCTAGTGTTGGTGGGCCTCATCTGCGCAAAGAACCGTCCCCTTCCCCTCCTTCCTTGGACTTTGAAAATATACGATTTGAGTACCTATATGGGCCAAAGGAAGTTGATTTAGACCGGTTACTAGGGCTCCTAACGCCCTCCAAGGACAAATTCGATGAGGATGACGATATTATGCTTGATACACTCTTTAGGCAGCGTAGACAGGGTGCTGTCCTTCGCTTGACTGTCGGTCATGCGGATTTTGCCGTCCCTAACCCGACGGCCTTGCAACCCTTGTCCCATCTCGGCGAAGAGCTGGCCAAGCTTGCCACCGTTGCGAAGTATCTGCCCCAAGATGATAGACCTGGAATTCTCATCTTGGCTCTTGTTCGAGAATTTGAAGGCCGGGTCCATGTTAATAATGAGGCTGGAGACATAACTATTATTTCCCATAATCTTGAGGCGGGATATGTAACTTTCCCATCCCTCCTTGCCACCCGAATTTCAACGGTCACCGTTGTTCGCAATGGCAGCGAGGAGTTGGTAGCTGAGGTCATACCCGAGGACACGGAAGAAGCACGAACTCATGATCCTCTACCAATGATAATGGCCCGGTTTATTGCTGATGAAATGGAACCAACTGTCAAAATCAAGCTATATAATGTGAGAGTGGAATATACGGTTCCATCCATTACCGCGTTCCTTGGTCTGAATAATCAGATGGCCGCCGAGGACGTCGCTGCCAATATGGCTCAATCGGTCCTAAATTTGGCTGACCTCAAGGCCCATCACGAACCTGGGTCAGATCTCTCGGAACGGGACTCAATTGGCTCCGGAGACGACAGATCAGCCATGCTTCCAAGATTATCTGTGGGCATGAAGGATTGCGGTATTGGCCTCAATCCTCGCAAATCACCAGCTAAGGCTCTTGTAATTTTCACTCGCGCAAGTTTCAGCGGTGCTCTCCATGAAACCAAACCCTCTGAAGCCTTGCTCGATATTCGCAAAGCGTCTGTTATGATTATTGATAATGTTGAGAATCTCGGGTCAGCAGAAAACTATCGCCACAGGATGTCTAGCGGGGCTCGAAGCGGCCAAATTCAGCATCTGCAGAGTATTGGGTTTGTTCCCGTCTGCGACATATCGTCAGCATCCGTTGCACTCAAGGTAATGCAGCTGGATGTGGAAGGGGAAAAGTCGTTAGATATCGAGGTCAGGGACGATCTGCTTGTTTTGGAAACCTGCGCCGACTCCACGCAGACCTTAATATCCATTCTAAGTGGCCTTGCTCCTCTCTCCCCTCCTATTACCGAGCGAAAATACAGGACAGAGGTTATACGAATTGAGGATATGCTAAATTCCCTCTCTGGGGACGCTTTCGCTACGGACATAGTTCCCGATTCTGATTATGAGGTTGAGGGTGAAAATGACGGCCAAGACGGCGATGGAGCTGAAGAGATTGAATATGTCAGCGTGTTCTATCCTTCTCACGGGGATTCTGGGCCACAAGGGCGCGGTGCTACCACTCCTCGGTTCGGTAACGAAGGATCTGCTAGTGCAGGGACCAGTCGAATACTTGGCAGCTTCCATTCCGAGGCTCAAATGTCTTCCAGCATTCCCGAACTTGAGTTCCAAGAGGACCATTTCGCGAAGCAGTCGGCAGTTGGTGACACTGCCCACAGGTGGGATTCATCTCGCAACACGTACACACTTGCAACCGAAGTTAAACTTCGTGACAGTCCTCTTCGGATAAGAGTCCGAGATGTTCACGTAATCTGGAATTTGTACGACGGTTATGACTGGCAGCGCACAAGAGATACTATTTCCAAAGCTGTTAGGGACGTCCAAGCCAAGGCAGCAGAGAAATTTGCAAGAAGACCTGGAAACAGATTATCTGCGGATTTTGAGGAGGATGAGGAGTCCGTGATTGGGGACTTTTTGTTTAATTCGGTCTATATCGGTATCCCTGCTAATCGAGACCCACGAGAGCTCTCTCATGACATCAACCGAAATATTGATGATTTGGCTAGCGAGACAATGAGTTTTGCGACAAGCACCACGGTCACTGGCCTTCAGAACCAAGTACCCGGGACGAAACGCGAAAAACTACGTTTGGCACGGAGCAAACACCATAAAATGACATTTGAGTTAAAAGGTATTTCGGCCGATTTGATAGTATTTCCCCCACACTCTGGGGAGACGCAAAGCTCTTTGGATATCCGTGTTGAAGATCTGGAAATATTTGACCATATCCCAACGTCAACATGGAAGAAATTTGCTACATACATGCGTGACGTGGGTGAACGGGAAATCGGTACGAGCATGGTTCATTTAGAAATTTTAAATGTCAAACCAGTGCCGGACCTGGCAGCTTCGGAGGTTGTCTTGAAGGTAGGTGATGTTTCGGGCTTTTCTCACTTTCCGTATCGCTCACGTGCAATATGCTAATCCCTTTTTAGGCGACGGTTCTCCCGTTGCGTTTGCATGTCGACCAAGATGCATTGGACTTCTTAAGTCGCTTTTTTGAGTTCAAGGACGACTCCGCTCCTAGTGAGCCCTCCCCAGAAGACGTGCCTTTCCTCCAGCGCGCGGAAGTAAATGCTATCCGTGTGCGACTCGACTTTAAACCGAAACGAGTGGATTATGCGGGCTTAAGGTCGGGCCGAACTACGGAGTTCATGAATTTCTTTGTCCTTGACGAAGCGGATATGGTCCTTCAACATGTCATCATATATGGCGTTTCTGGGTTTGACAGGCTTGGAAGGACACTAAACGATATCTGGATGCCAGACATAAAGGCCAATCAATTGCCTACCGTGCTTGCCGGTATAGCTCCAGTTAGATCGCTTGTGAACATTGGAGGTGGGGTTAAGGATCTTGTCCTCGTCCCTATGCGAGAATACAAAAAGGACGGGCGGATAGTCCGTAGCATCCAAAAAGGTGCAGTTCAGTTTGCGAAAACCACTACAAACGAGCTATTGCGGTTTGGGGCAAAATTGGCCATAGGTACTCAAACGGCTCTCCAAAGTGCCGAAGATTTTCTCAATTCACCGCGGGGCTCTCCCTCTCGACCTTCAACATCTGACGGTCGATGGGATGACAATGGTGTGGACGAAGGCGAAAGGCCACGCATTTCATTATACGCAGATCAGCCACTTGGAGTAGCTCAAGGTCTCCGTGGAGCCTATTCTAGTCTCGAACGTGACATCCTTATGACTCGAGATGCTATTGTTGCTATGCCCAGCGAAGTCCTGGAAAGTGGAAGCGCGACCGAGGCGGCTAGGCGACTGCTGGGCCGAACACCAACCGTGGTATTACGTCCAGCAATTGGCGCGTCGAAAGCGGTTTCTCAAACTTTGCTGGGAGTATCAAATGCGTTGGACCCGAAGAACCGGCGTAAAATTGACGATGTAAGAAGGCCAACCAGCCTTTCTCTTCCTCTCTTCACACCTTTCCCTCTCTTTCCCTCAACTTTACCGCGATATTGCCTTGGACGGTTAGCTAACTTACGTTACAGAAATATAAGAAGCATAAAGTTTAATACCGATTATTCTCGTGGACCTCTGCACCTTCTACACTCTCTATCGGGCTGGCGTACGGCATGAGAATCGTAGGCAAAGATTGACCCATGAAGTGCGCCCCTATTCTTTTTCGTTCTCTTCCTTTGAATTTTCTAGCGTACAGAAGTGAGAAATTGCAAACATATGCATGGATCCTAAGCATATATTCCTATTTAAATGGACGGCGTTCCGGATTTTGACACCAATTGATCTATGATTGCCCTTTAGCGGGTTTGCATGTTGAATGAATGACCCCTTAGGGGATACTCTTCCATGTTGATACTTTCATTTGCTTATGTTTCATTGCTCTCTGCTTGCAGGAGCATTTTTAAAACGTGACGAAGATCATGAATATCATTTTGAAATTGGCTAAAGGGAGAGGTATAGAATGTCATATAACCATATAAATTGCCAATGACCACTGGTTAGGCCTGATTCAGCGGATATCAAGCAAAACACAAAAAGTCCTTCATATTCAATCTAAAACGACTTCGAAGGCAAAGCCAGTCCAGCAAGCCTGATCTTGGGAAGCTACATTGTTATTATGGTTTCCAACAATGCCAGCCAAATTATCACTCAAGCAACACACAGTCCCTGTCATATTCATAGAGATGAAAATGCTGCTCTAGCGAAGCTGCCAGCGATAGAAATGATGTGTACCAAAATAAATTGTACTGAAGTTAATCAGAGTTCAGAAGGAAACCGGAAAACCAGTGACTATTTAGTTTGCTAAAGGGGACATTATTTGACACAATATCAGTTCAGAGGCAGAGTCAGTTAGCATAATTGGCATTTTCCATAAATTTCATAAAAGTTGATAGAGACTTCAAGGCGAGTACATATTTTGTTTTTTTAGGTTGATTGCACTCAGGGCAAGGTATCGGGGCGAAGCTAACGTGTTTTCGGCGTGTTTAGGGCAATTTTTCGCACCGCGGCATCTTGGCCCGCTGGTGATAAGCATCATCTTCGAATCAGTACCATGGCAAAACAAAAGGATCCGGCGAACTGTGCCAGCGTAATCTTTCCAGACAAAATTGACTGATGCAGGTACCATGTTGACGGACAGACTTCTGCTAACAACTCTCAGTGCTTCATTGCCGTGTGCATGGCCAAGCGAAGGAGTTGCCATGGCTCGTTATGTTATGGTTCTCAGGCTCCGTCTCGAGCACGCTGTGAATATCTAAGATATCCTCTCGTTTCCTGATATTTATGGTAAAGAACACCCGTGCCGTGTCGCAGTCAGGAATCGCAAGCTGGTCTCAGATACACTATTTCGCAGCTAGTTCTCCAATATCTGGTTGCTTTGTTTATACGTTTGTCAAGAGTTCAAAGCGCCTCAAGCATTCAAAATTGAGGGCGCATATCATCGTGCAGGCTCTCGTTCAGCGTGTGCAAAGGATGCCACTTCCCAGCAAACAGCCGTGGAATAAGCTTGCGCGCAAAAACATGCGTATCGAGGAAGGATCTCGGTGGCCCTTCGCCGTCAAAACCGCTTCTTCTGTTTTCATCCTCCTCCTCCTCCTCCCTCCTTTCTTTTTCTCCTTATTATTCTAGTTTTTTGATTTTATTTTCATCCAGAGAGAGCCACTCCGCATAATTTATTCTCATGGACTGCGGAGTAACAAGAACAACATCCTCCAAAATGACAATGAACATCGCTCCTAGTTTGTCACCGCAGCACTTTAATGGTTTGCTTTTTGCATTTTAATTCATCCCACTGAGCATAAAGATGTTTCTCCAAAACATGCTAGTTGCACATCATCTTTACAGCATAGTCTACTCACTAGCTTTCATTGTTGCGAGAGCCGCCTTGGATTCCCACAATAACAGCGCCACTGCTGTTGGCCACCTCGGCCCCGAGACAAATATTCCGATTGCAATCAAAAGGTTCGCATCGTTGGGCGATTCGTATGCTTCTGGTGTAGGCGCAGGAAAGCTGCTCGACAGGGGCTGTTGGCGGTATAGCGATAGCTATCCTGCCCAGCTGAATAATTCCGCCATACTCAGAGACTCTGGTCATACAATGCAGTTTCTCGCTTGTTCAGGGACTGTCATGAAGAAAAACTGGGGTAAAGCTGTCCCCAGCGGCCCGAGCAAAAGGCGGGAGATTTGGGATCAAATCATCGCGATGGAGGACGCTGATTTCGTGACATTATCCGTCGGTGGCAACGATGTCGGATTTTTCGATCTTCTCAACGCCTGTTTATATCGATTTTACGGGCCGGCCTCTCCAGACTGTGCGAAAACCACGAAAGCTACGAGGACGAAAATCATGGGTGGAGAATTTAAGGGGACCTACAACATGGTTTTGGACGCGATCCTGGAGAAAAACCCTGCAGAGTCATTCAGAATCTTTGTAACCGGATATGGCAAATTCTTTGATGAAGAACTTACCGATGAATGTAATAATAGCAGCTTTGGCTATTGGTTTGGATACCGGCCAAAACTGACCGTCGAAGTACGACGATACTTGAACGACATATCCCAAACCCTTAACGACGTAATAAGTCAAATCATAAGGGAGCGTAAGGACGGGAGAGTTATATGGGTCAACTGGGACCCAAAATTTCAAGGCCATCGTTTTTGTGAGCCGGGAAAGGGGTTAATGGACCAGGATACATGGTTTTACGATACATCCTTTCGGACGACGAACATTGGCGTCGTTGACTCGAGAACCTGTGTGGAGAATGAAATGGTCGAGAGTGGTGATTGGGGCATATTGGCTCTCTGTGCGATTGCCGTTACTCACGCCAATTATCCAAATTTGGAGCCCGTTGCTGGAAAGATCCGCACACGGGGAGGACGGGATCCCTTTGGCCCCAAAGATGCAAGGCTTTTCCACCCAAAACCAGAGGGCTACGCAGCTATCGCTGAGCAGATCGTAGAGATGTGGCCATATTCGCATGAGACCCAAATCGGAAGTGAACGAGGCAGATTCAAAACGCCGCAAAGCTACGGAGAGAAGTGATGGTCTTGAACCAGGTGAGCAGCTTTGGCGGCAAGAAATGCAATACCAAGATGAATTTATGCATAGTTCTGTTATTCTTTTTTTCTTTTTTTTTCCCACCCTCTCCTTAGAGCAAGGTCTTAACCAAGGGAATTCATTTCAACAAGAGTGGCAAGATTAATGTTGCTGGTACGTTGAGACAGAGACAATGGGACTAGATATCTTAATGCGCTCGGTGAGCTACTCTGTACACGCTTTTTATTTGTGGCATCTGACTTGAAGGTGGCGGTAATCTCACTACGAGACTTGCACTGGTGACAACTTTGGTTGGTGTCGGCCCGAGATGCCATGTTGAAAGGGGAAGTAGTGACAAGACGGCTGATGGCTAACCGCCATGTCCCCATTAATTATCGATCTCTGGGGGACTTAGGCAGTTGGCTGTGGTTGCAAGTTAGTCCATGTGTATATACTACATTGCTCAGCTGAGCTTCATCCAACATCCATCAAGTACTTTTCACTTCGAAGGGGAGACCTGGTTTAAGGTCATTGACGGTCTGTCGATTGACTTCTCCCCCGCAGGTTTGAATCGTTGCGGCTGGGAGGGGCCAAAGCGCGCTGAGAGGCAGTGAACTCTGCAATCTGATGTCCTCCACACAACTAACCAGGGCTTGCTGCAGTTGTCTTGATTCTCAACATCCGTCACATGGAGGAAGCCCACTCTGCTGTTGGGTCAGGCCCCATTTTCCGATTTACGTGACCGACCTCCCTCTCCCCTCAAGGCATTCACGCGCCTAACATAGGATTTGATTTGGGACTGCAGGAATAACTACTCAGCCTTCTTTATCACGCAGGACAACGATTTATTCGACGACAACAGCCACGGTGATGACCCTGCGAAACACCACACCTTGCATATTTTCATATGATAATTTCTCTGCAGATTAGGAGAATCACATGCTTATGAAGAGTTCAAAAACACCTTTGTAGTCAAACCCCGTGGGGTAGAATTGTGGCTGTGTGTTTGCAGCAATTCTTCCGCTGCGTGCGAGTGTTAAAATACATCGCCGTAACTCACTAACTAGTGTGTGTCTCCTCCGGCACACCGTACATGCATACACAGGCAACCTCTGAAGAAACTGCATCACGTCGAATGCTCGAAGGGACTGAAATCGATGTTGGTCAAACCTCCCAGCCGTGTGATTTTATATGTCAGGGATGCGTCACGCCTACTTCGCTGCCCAAAGTGGTGCTCTTCGGATGGTCCTTCAGGCGACCGAAAGAGCCGCAAGCCGGGAAACCCCCCAGAAACGAATAAGGGAGCTGAACAACACTGCAGCCGCATAGTTCAGGCCCAGACCCGGAAGAAATGGTCAAGGCCCCTCTCTCAAGGGAGACACGGTTGTATCGATCCGAAGACCCGGCGCACTCTCCACAGACTCGGGTTCCTTGCAGCAGAAGTGGCTTTATTGGACCTGAGAATCCCACGGTGATATCTACTACATACCGCCACGCTCGCCCGGATCCGGGTCTCGCAGTTGCGCTTCTCTTCAGCCGAGAGCGGTGGTTAGCGACTTCTGCACAGTCACTGGCTGACGAGGTTTGGAACCTGCGTGCCAGGGTTGATTCGGCGACCGTCGTGGAGGGTGTCGCTGCGGACTGTCATTGGCCGGCCCGCCTGGCGACCACACTTGAACCCACACGATCAACCCAGCTGGCTTGCCCTCTGCTTCTTCTCTTCATCTTGTGACGACGACCTCCGCGGGCGAAATAACCTTGATCCTCTGTCCTCCAGTCATTGCGCGTGGTGCCTGCCTGGCATGACATGGAAGAGAAAGAATTTTTATCCTTGGAGGCATCCACAGCGAAATTACCTTTTTTTTTTTTTTTGCCTTTTTCTCTCACGGCGAAAGATGCCTGGGATGTTAAGCTTAGAATGGCTGATGTTTTAACCTTGCCTTGATTATTCGATGCTCCGTAATGGTGTACACTCCTGCACTCATGCCGAATAGAAGGACGTTGAGCTGCCCTCTGTCGGATTGGTCAAACTTGATCATCCTGCAGGTATTGCTTCTTTGATGTTCTTCTTCCATGTGAATCAAGATTTTCTTGTCTTGACAGCATTTCTGTATATGATCCTGCCCCTTTTATTGAGAGAAGAAAGAGTCAAGGTTATCATTATGCGAGAGTTATTCATTCCTCCTTTAATACTCCAGTGGCCCCATCGAGAGGCGCGAAAGATAGCAGTGGCTGGCTACTGCTAGAGGCGCTTGTATTGGCATTTCACTTCATTCCCTTCGTTTTCCGGTTTAGACACCGTTTGTGGAAGTTAAAACACGATTCTTGCCATCGTCAGTTTATGACGGATAGAGTTGATTTTTCGAACCTTTCGTCGAATAGGGTGGACTGCCTTTTTCATTCGTTGAACTCTATGCTACTTCTCCGGGCCTTAAGATCATCTGTTCTCGAGGATTCCTTGTTTCCCCAGATTTATATGGACACCTTCGCACGCCCGCTTATAACAAGTCTTCAGGAAAAATAAGGAAATCGCTGCACTGAGACTTACTGGTTTCACAAAAAATATCCTAGATTATAAAAGGCTTCAAGGGCCAGGAGGTGCGGCTTGGTAGGGGCTGATGTATAGAACTGCTGCATTTTATTTTGATATTGGGATAAAATGTTGAGTGCGGAATCGGGGAGAAAGAGAATGGGGGTCTACCTGGAGGACTGGGACTCGTGCTTTGCAGTGCGAGCAGAGAGGTCTTTTCCTCCATCTGTTGCGTCGACCCCAAGCCTCTCTTCTCCAAGCGACAACCTCGTTCCTCTTCCCCTCCGCCCTCGTTTCACCTCACAGGCCGCAAAAATCCCTTCTCATTCTCCTCCACTCAGCCCTACTCCTCCAGTTTTTGTTTCCTTACAGCTCGTTGAGCCCGGAAAGATAGTGCCAGGGAACCTCTCCCTTCATCGATACCGTGAATCTCTCTCGCACTCTCGCCCGGATCTGACGGCGCAACCGCCAGCAAGAAGCTTGAAACGAAAGCCGAAAGCTCTTAATCTCAATACCAACTGCACATCCCAAGCTCCTCCTTCACCTCCTCCTACTCCACCCTCGCCCTCAGCATATTCTGGATCCTCCGACTCTCCGCCTTCGCCAGCGCAGCCAGCCGGAGAATACCACTACCCAAGGCTGACCAACGTCTATTCCACTGATTACTTAGCAACCCCCGCCCCCACGAGCGTCACTGAGGAGTTCGTTGTTCACGCAAAAGCATCTCCTGAATATCATGCTCAGAGACCTGTTTCTAACTTAGACGCAACGCGCCCAAGTTCTCAAATCAACAAACTGGTGAGTGAGTATTCCCCGTCCCTGGTTTTGCTTTCTCCCCTTTTCTATCCTCTTTTTTATGTTAACCAATCGCGTCAGAACGCGTTCTGTAAACATATTCGGCAGATTCCTGCCAGGATATTTCGCCATTCCACACCCGCTTCTGAAATTTCTCCATCATCATCTCATTTTCCTAGGACGCTCCATCATCGCGGAGTCTCCTTTGAGATCCTTAGTCCTCAGAAGTGGCAATCGTCTCATCCCCATTCTTCCACCATGAATATCGAACCCGAATTAACTGGGTTAGAAAACATGACCTCTCCTTACCGGCCCAGAGCTCAGTCCCGCTCTCGGTCGCAGTCTCTGGACGGACGAGGGCAGAGGACTCCATCTCGCACCTTGTTTGACGACCTCGAGACGGCCCACTCCTCCATAACATCACGACTCCACGATGGAGGGAACAGGGCTTTAACTACACCCCCAAGGGATGCCTCCCAAAATCAGTCCTCGCCGTCCCTTAGCAACAAGGAAAGGAGGGAACAGGCGGCCATCCAACTTAGGGCCGATTTCGGATCACATAAATGCGTGCTTGCCCGGCATGTTTCAACCGACTCACCTCTAAGAGCAGCGAAGCGCGCCGATCGTCAACGAAAGCCCATTAAACTCATCAAGCACCGGCCAGGCTCTCGCCTTGACCAAATGCAAACAAATACTTCTCCCCACACCCCACCACGCAAGTCTGCCAGTCCCGTGTTGGGTACGTTCTTCAATCAGTACCAGCCGAGCCTCAACGGTATCCGCGGTCGAGTTGACAAATCAACCACTATTGACAATATCATCAAGAGTCGACTTAATATGTTTGATACGCGACTAAAAAACTCACGCTTCTCTAGACTCCAGCGCTCCCGCGAGCTTCAAGCCGATACCAAGAAGTATGCTGGACCGGCCGAAGGACTGACTTCCAATCCCGTCCGGAATGACTCCGATGACGGAAAAGACCGGCATGAGCGTGCGTATCAATGCGAGGAAAGCGTTGACTGTCCGGGGATGCAAGCTCCAACCCCGCCAAACCATCCTCAGGGCAGTACACATGAGCTAGTCCCTCCAAGCCAGTGCCGGCAAGGAACAGGGGCATCAAGCCCAAACTTCTCACGACCAATCCCGCCTGGAAAATGGTTGTCCACCCGTCGCTTCTCTCCATTCAAACCAATCTCTCGCTCCAGCGTGAAGGCGACGAGTAAAGAAAATCCACAAGACCGGGTTCGTTCTCCTACTCACGTTCAGTCAAACCAGGAAGTCCAACGCGAGAATGAGGAGTCAATTATGAAACTTTTATCTCACCAGTCTGCTTCTGTTGCCCGTGAAATTGAGCGGGGGCTCTTCCGGGGATCTGACAGTCACTGTGATGAATCGGACCCTATCGATCTAGGGCCAGGGAGTAGCCAGAGCTCCTCTACTCAGCACTTGAGCCAGCACATGGGCTCATCGACCATTTTCCCATCGCCACTAAGAGTGTCCTCGGTTTCCTCATCTCACTTTTCAGAACAAGGCCCTGGTAATCCCTTTTTCCATGGTGGACTGGGAACGCGTTCATTGACAAAGAGAAGTGAGAGTGGTTTGGGGAGGAACAGAAGATATACGCACACAGCTTTGGATAAACATGCCGAGACCCTAGCTAGTGAGGGAATTCAGGAGGAAGTCGATGATGCTGACCGTGACTGGGAGACCGTCGCTGGCAGCCAACAGTTCACCAGCAGCGTCGGCAACGGCTTTGGCCAGGCGGACACAGAAACCAGTCTGGCAGATTACTCAAGCTTTGGTAACCTTGCCAACTCAAATACACATAAAAAGTCACCCCTGCGTTCATCTAGGGTTGGCATTCCTACGACTTCTCACGGAACTAATGCTGTTACAGTTCCAGCTTATGCAGGGCGTCATTCCCATTTCTTTCACAAAGACCCTAGTACTGGCCAATATGTCTTACTTCCTAACACTAACTACCGAAATTCTGAAGGCTCACGTCTCAACGCGTTTAGAAAACCAATCCCAGCTCTCATCGCTTCGACGTCGAAGTCCCCAACTCCTTTTCCCAACAAGTATCACCATCCGTCACCGCTTAGCGAAGCCCATACAAATCCCTTCCGTTCTACTCCGCCGTTGCTACATTGTCAGCCCGGTCAGAGCGATGAGCCAGAAAATGACGGACGTCGTCTCACCACCGTTGGCAATAGTAAGTCCAATTTCCATGACAACGTAGAGAATACATACATTTCCCACCGTGGCTATGGACATTGTCAACGCAACCCGAACATCTCAGAGAGTGCAAGAGCTTCTTTCCAGCATTGGTTTTCTGAAGTCATTGGAAAGGACCCAGCACAACGTTCTTCTCAGTCTTCGTCTGCCTTCCACTGGGATTCTCGAAACATAGGACCCCATAACTCTGCAGATGCTAGCTCCCTGAACATTTCCAAAGTTTCAACAATAGGCACTGACGATAATATCAGCACGAACCCGTTGTCCGTGAACCTGGACTGCCACCCATGTTTCCGTCCTTACCACACCACTATCCAGCTTCCGAGTCACGGTGACCTCACGAGAGAAAACCCCAACGTACCTTCCCGCTCTCTTTCGACCGATCGTCTTCTCCCTGCGGCACCTGAGAGCAGCAAATATTCACCAGGTTCATTGTATCATTCCATTCGGTCAGCTCGCGATCGCATTCTCGGAGGGGGGCAAAAGCGAAAGTCATTGAACAATACGCTCCCGAGCCCAATCCAAGAATCTACCTCGCAAGATGCATCTCCTCGCCCTGCTTCTACGGGTCTCCTCGAGAGACATATTCCACGGCAGGGCACAGTCAGTTCCCGCAGTTTTTCTTCACGCTCAATCCTTCTCCGGACACCCACCATGACTCGTCGAAGCAGCACTGGACAAACAGCAAGGCAACCAACCGCAGACGAACTACTTAGGGAGCGTTTGGAACAAATGGACCCGGCTCTCCTCGCGGATTTCTGCCAGCCAAGTCCCAATTCAAGGCTTTCAAGGGCCACATGGGAGCCACAAGTGTACGCCAGTGGTCAAGAAACTACGCGACCTGACCCTCTCACTGCCCCGCCGCGCAATGCATTTGACGAGGAATCAGCATTACCCCCGGAAGGGCATTTCGATCATCACGCTTTCCCGGATTCACCACGCCTTAATCCCATACGTAAGCGAGCGGTTGGTGGCGGTTTAGTTGAACAACGCCGCCTAGGCCGAAAGATCATTTTGTGGTGCACTCTTGCATTCCCACTCGGGTGGACCATTCTACTGCTGATTGGGTATGGATCAGGACAGGCAGATTTCCTCATCCAACGCTGGTCAGATGGCAATATTGACGGATTCCATGAGAAGGAGGAGCGTTTGGCTCGACAGGCGGCAATAGCATATGTTATGTTTTTATTGATTGGATCCATAGCTGCTGTTTCTGTGGCTCTCTTAGTTTAACTGCTGAATGGGTGAAGGTGTTCTTTTTGGTAAAGTGGTCTCCAGGATTCCGGGAAGCATAGAGGATTGTTATGCTAATATTTGTGTGCAGGTGAAACGATCTTTCAGCCATCCCTGCAGCAAAAGTTCAGGTTCATGTGCGCACAGGACAATTCAAATATTATTTAATGAGTTAATGCAGAGATGCTGTTCTTGTTTTTGTTTCCTTTCCTTAGTTCGTCTATCTTGTGAATCTCCCTAACTTCTCAGTGCCTTATCCCCCTTCCAATGTACCCTTTTTCACCTAGTGAGCATGTGGCTTATGTGTTTGAGTACTCTGTATGCCTTTAAAAATATTCCCCTTGCTTTAATGTCCATTCAAGGGATTCGGTTCTTCACGCATTCGCAAAAACCCCGAAAAATCTTGAACAGCAATAAGGCCATGCATCGCTGTTCTTTACGTCCCACAATTTAATATTTCTAAAACACCCTGTACTTGTTATCATAAGTAATACAACCTGTCAGAGTTTTCCCCCAGTTACTACAATGACTGTCTTCATTTTCACACTTTTGTTTGCTGAATCTGATGGATATGCTTTGAGGAATGAAATAATGCCCATTGCTCGGTTAACGGAAAAAAAGAAAAAAGAAAAAGAAAAAAAAAAAAAAAAGGGAGAGGGAAGCAGTGAGAAGAATTCAACTATGAATTTTGCTAAGTAACCAGGTGTAACCCCAGATTACAACCATAAATAATCCCATAATTTGTGACTCTGTATCTATCAAGTTCCCAAAGCCGAGTCATAATATGAACACCCCAAAAAATGCAAGTAGGAAATGACAATGAGTATAATGAGTATGTATTGCTCTCAGAGCTTGAAGGGGGGGGGAAAAGAGGAAAAGAAAAAAAAAAAATCTATGTGAGAGATAACAAGAAAAGAGGGCAAAAATTGCTAGACGAGAGAAATCTGATAAAAGTCCGCCCAAGTCCCTGTGAAGGAAGAGGGTATAGTGGTGTAAAATGAGAACAATATATGTATAGGCAAACGGATAGCATGATGATAGAAAAAAAAGAAAGGAAAAAGAAAAGATATAAGAGAGAAAATCAACCGTCCGGCTCAATCACACTTATGTGAACACAGATTGGGAATAGGATCGTCGAGTCTCAGCCTCCAATGGTTGCGGTAGATCTGCGACTGTAGAGTCAACTGTAGAATTTTGATGCTTCGCGGCCGATTCAGCTTCAAGGACGGCCGTGACGGCTGCTAGGACCAGGCTTCTTCTTCGAAGTCCACTTGGTGCGGCCCTTCCACTTCTTCGGTCACTATAGGCGTATGACTTGTCAACTTTCGACTTCCCGGCAGGGGCGCCAGAGAGCTTTGAGCAGCTGGATGATTTTGGCGCATCGACCTTTTTCTGGGGCTGTTTTCGTGAGGGTGTTCGTGAGGGCGGGAGGGAGCTGGGGTGTTGGCCGTCGTTGAGGTAGCCGTCCGCGTAACAGCGGAAGCATTCGTCCTCATCTAGTATTTGGGCGAGACGGATGGTGTCTGCAACGGACGTGGATGCACACTGGAGGATGGATAGCTTCTCGCGCTGTGATCGGAGCGCGCTTATCGACTGTCGGTGCGTGCCTGCCTCCATACTGCCGTGCCGGGGAGTGGATGTGTTCGGGGCGGAGGTGTAAGCGGCAGGGTGAGAGGGTCGACGGTCCAAGCAGGAACGAGGAGTGGACATGGGCGAGGTGTCAAGACAGGAGGGAGCGCACCCGTCGGGCCTGTCGCCATACTGAGGAGATATGAACGCGATGCTCGGCCTGCGGCTTGCCCTGCCGCTGGGATCCAGGTACACACTTCGAGGAGTTACCGGATAGCCACGACTATCGTCGCTATCGCTGCTCGGGTCGTTGTGCTCCAGCGTGTGAGAATTTAGTTTTCGGGTCAAAGTTCCAATCGAGAGGCGATGTTGGTCCATGTAAGAGGGAGGAATAGAGGTTGGCGCTGGGCCAAGGCGGAAAGGGGATCGAGAGCGTTTGGAAATCCGTGCGGAGTAATCTCTAGAGCCCAGTCGCGGAGACGGGCATCGAGAGGAGAGGGGAGAGACTAGGTTGCTCTCACAATGGAGAAAAGGGTCATCGTCGCCATTTGGCACTCGGAGGCTCTCGCTGGAGGACGGTGAGGGAAAGGAGAAGCCTTCGAACATGGTGGATGAAGAGGAAGAAGCCCGGAGGATCAGGGCCACCCGCGAAGCAGAGTCAGTCAGATATATTATTTCTTATTTCCGCGGCGAGAGAGTGCGCGAGGGCGCAAGATGCGTGGCCGGTCGAGATGCGAAGCGGTGCAAATCATGCGATGAATTCTAGACCCGGAAGGGAACAAAAAGGGCCGGTGAAAGCCGCTGTGGGGCGCAGGCTTGTGGCTTTTCAACAGAGTCGCCCGCTCAGCCCTATGGCGCCGGCTGAGTCATCGCCTTCAAGATTTTTCAGCGGGGCCCCGCCCAATCACAGCGGCAGACGCGTCCCGTGCCACCCACTAGCCGATCACCTCAGCCGTCCGTGTCTCCGGTATCGGGCGCCGCTTTCGTGCACTTCGACTGACGACGACGATACAACTTGCCGTCGCGAAGGAGGCATCTCAACCGCAGGGACGCGAAATAATCTAAGGAGTACGGAGTAACTATATCAGACCGCCATTTCAACAGTCAAATGATTATGAAACGTTGTTTCCTTGGTTTCCGGTTAATTTCCTTCAATCTGTCCGCTCTCAACCCATGGCGAAGTGGTATCCACATCCAAGACTCATTCCTGGGCTGAGACAAGTCTTTTTCTTTCTCTTTGATAAGAAAGGTGGCCGGCAGCAAGGCCGAAGGGGTGGCCAACTAACTAGTTAACTACTCCGTACCCGCTGTGGTTATGTAAGTTAGAAACCGACGCACTCGTCCCAAACAACCCCCCAGCCGGCCAGCCAACGCCTATCGAACATGGGAGTCCGGCTGGAGAAGTGCTTCTCCGTCGACGGGCCAGTTACATACTAAATTTGTATGCGTGTCCATGCAAAGTCTGATTTTTTTGCCCGCATTGATCCACTTCTCAAGCATTCTGTCTTGTACAGAGTACACTGAAACTTAATTTTACAAAATCTTTCACACATACACATTTAGCCACGTGTTTGTTGGCTTGCTGTGATGTCGGAACCTAGATGATCATCCACGCCAAACAGCCAAACCGCCACCTCTAAGTTTTGCTTGACCACGGGCATCTTAACAGGCCAGCCCTGTCACAGTGAGTGGCGCCATAACGTTCCGATTGCATAATCATGGGTGAGAATTAACTACCTTCATGATACAAACTGCCCTCATTCAGCAATATAGCCGAATGTCTGCTTTACAAAGGAGTATAGGCTGCAGATCAATTTCTGATGTCTTTGGCCTCCAGAAATAGAACCATTTGTTGTTCATTTTTGGCCCGGCTCTTGCCGAACTCGCTAAAGAATATAGCCCTTCGCCCGCCTGTGATCAACAAGGTCAGGGATGTTGAGCACAAGTGATCCACCTGCATCATGCCACACCTTGCGAGGACACCTTTCCTCTAAGACAGCAGTCCATTCAGCAAGCATCGCCGTCCGTCAACTAACTACATTCTCGCCCAACAGTGTGACTGACATATGTATATCAGTCGTGTCTCTCTATCGCATTGAGACGATATATCCTAGAATTTATGCAGCACAAAGCATACTCTCGCGGTAAAGCTCCCTCCTCAATCGTGGTGCGCCACCTCCTACTCCTAACTGGCTAGATCATCGGGCCCCCGTTTGCTTGGGAGAACGTGGACAGTAAGTTACTCCGTACCAAAGCTTTCTGGAAATCCTTGGCACAAACGCCGAGAAAAAGAAAAAAGAAAAGAAAAGAAACCATGCAAAGGCGGTAGGCAAGGCCGTCTGGGCAGCATGAAGAGCCGGTCCAAACGCGTGAAAGGAGCATGTGCAGGTGTAAATCACAGAAGGCTCATTCTCGCGGCTTATAACCCTGAAACTGCCAAAGAGGCCAAGAGGTCCATTGAAAAGAGCACAAGGCGTATTGGTGTAGTTGAGATTTGGGAGCTGGATCTTTGCTCCTACAGATCAGTCCAAGAATTTGCTAAACAGGCAAAGAAGCTCAACCGGTTGGATGCAGTGGTTGATAATGCTGCCGTCGCTACAGCAAGATTCCAGATTGCGGAGGCAGATGAACTGACGGTAACAATTAACGTCATCTCCACCTTCTTCCTGGCAGCGTTATTACTTCCCAAGATGAAACAGACAGCCCAAAAGTTCCATACTCGTCCGCACCTTAATATCGTATGTACCGGAGCTATATTTCACACATCTTTCCCCGAGGCTCAATCCCGCAGGATATTTGAGCAGCTCAATGATAAAAGGTCCGCTCGCATGCAAGCTCGCTATCATATTAGCAAGCTCATGGTGGCCATGATATGCCGAGAGATCTACGCAATGCATCACGAAGGATCGCCGGTGATAATCAACTATTCGAATCCGGGATTTTGCCATTCAACTCTGCTTCGGAAAATGTTTCCTGGTGATATTATCATGGCTTGTCTCGCTCGTTCTGCCGAATGCGGGAGTCGAACGGTTATCCATGCGTTAACGGCGGGCGCGGATTCCCACGGGCAGTGCTTGAACGATGGAAAGGTCAAAAACCCACCGCATCTATTGTTGACGAGAGAGGGTGCTGATATACAGCGGCGGGTTTATAAGGAGTTGACACGGAAACTGGAAGCGATTCAGCCGGGAATCACAGCCAATCTTGATGGAAGGACTCCAGACAAGTGGATGAAGGATCATTGGCACTGACACACTGCGTCTTTGTCGAGAGCATGGTCGTCCGGGTCACTCAACTTCCATACCCTAGAAACAACCTGGCCAGCTGATATGAGTGTAATGGGCGAAACAGCGCTCCTTGCCATTTCTCAGGTGGTGGGTGTCATGAATGAAGTCGCCACTCAGGGCCTAACCTCTAGAGAATTTTGTGTTGATCCGGTGATTGAAAATTGGTGCTGTGTGTTTCCTGTTCCCCTTAAAATTTGCAAGCCATTCCGTAACGGAACGGTCTTTTCAGCGTACGCTGTAGCTAGCTGCGCATGCTTAATCTGTTGCCTCACAGTTGTTATTGATACACTCTAATAAAGAACCTGCATCATTTTTGGAATTTGGCTGTTGACATTGCATATTGATGGTTCACAGCGGGAGTAGAGTGTTGGAGCAATGTGACCATAGCCAGATTCAATCTATCAGGCTAGGTATGACTCTCCAAGAGAAGTTGATTTTGGGGAGTGGCATTATGGTGACAACAATTTACCTTTCGCAATCACAATTCAAGGTGTGTCTCCAGCATGGTTGTGGGATCTATATTGGGACTATTCAAACAGCTGTCGAAGAATACAAAGCATCTTCAATGTCCAGCCTTTGCGATCCAAAAGCATCGGTCACGTAGAGTAAATAACGATAACATTCCGTGGCTTCTCCGCAACCTAGCGCGAGGGGCCCGAATTCCCGCTAACTTCCAACAATCTTGTCAACGACTCGACCACTTAACAGTGGTTTTAGCATTCGATAACTGAACCCCCTGAGGTAACAGTCATAGTAACCCATTGTATGAACTGTACGGAGTACCTGCAGCGATGATGGCGGCGATCCTCAAGAAACCACTGAAGCTTGCTCTGGTGCAATTGGCCACCGGTATGCCTCTTCTTTGCTCTCAGCGGTCGCACTGCCCTCAAGTTATTAACAAAATTGCTCTGTCTAGGCCCTGATAAAGCCGTCAATCTGGCTCGTGCACGGTCGAAGGTTCTCGAGGCCGCACGATCAGGCGCATCGTTGATCGTTTTGCCGGAGTGCTTCAACTCGCCCTACGGCACCCAGTTCTTCCCACACTACGCCGAGACACTTCTCCCTTCCCCGCCTACAACTGAGCAGTCTCCGTCTTTTCATACATTATCCTCTATTGCCGCGGAGGCAAAGGCCTACCTCGTAGGCGGGAGTATCCCGGAATATGTCCCCGAAACCAAACAGTACTTCAACACCTCTCTGGTGTTTTCCCCAACAGGCTCTCTGATCGCCACCCACCGCAAAACACATCTCTTCGACATTGATATCCCTGGCAAAATAAAGTTTAAAGAGAGTGAGGTGCTCTCCGCTGGAAATAAAATTACCATTGTCGATTTACCAGAGTACGGGAAAGTTGGCTTGGCTATATGCTATGACATCCGATTCCCCGAGTCAGCGATGATTGCAGCGCGCAAGGGATGCTTCCTGCTTGTGTACCCCGGCGCTTTCAACACGACTACCGGCCCGTTGCACTGGTCTCTCTTGGGCCGTGCAAGGGCGCTGGATAATGAGGTCTACTCTGCGCTCTGCAGTCCAGCGCGGGACATGAACGCGACATACCATGCCTGGGGCCATAGTTTGGTCGTAGACCCCAGAGGAGAAATTCTAGTTGAGGGTGCTGAGTCAGAAGATATCTTGTACGCAGATTTGGACCAGGGAGTCATCGATGAAACGAGGAAATCCATTCCGATTTACGACCAGAGGAGATTTGACGTCTATCCTGACATTAGTAAAGGGGACGTTAAGCTTGAGGAGTAGGCTTTTGGGCGTTTTGAACAGATATATGTACAGCTACAATTACGAACTACGGGGCTACGCTTCCATCAATAACTTGATTCAAGGTTCCCTTGTCCTGATAAGCGAGCACTCCGTCCCTCGTTTCGAATACCATCAGTAAACCCGCTACGGAATTAAACCGATATTATCTCCGACGACCCCCAAATCACGTGACAGAATGTGCTGAGTCATCAATAAGCGAGTCCCACCAAAATCCATCAAACATCAAAACCACTTTTGAACGAGCGGGAAATTTGACGACGACAACCGAGCACGACCAGAGAACTCAACGGACATCTCTTAAACAGCCAGTCAGTGCAGCCTGCTTTCTCTCCATTGCAGTTTGAATAATGTATTGACAAGTACCTCTTTCCACAGACAATGTCGAGCGCAAAAGCTGGAAAGAAGGGCGGCCGCTCCGCTATCGCCGATGTTGTTACTCGCGAGTACACCATCCACCTTCACAAGAGAGTACGTTGAACCTGGGATGTTATCTGGAGAGCAGATCAAGAAAGAGAAATTCAAATTGGGAAAAGTGTTCAGCATGCATGTGCAAACTGCGAGGGTCGAGCATGGACGGAAAACCGAATAGAAGGAAGCTTCACAAAATCATTGAAAACCGTTTGCATCCGCCCATCTGCTCTCCGTCCTTGACTCGTTCCATTACACACTGCGGTGGATAATGGAGATGATTCTGCGGGGGACCAGCAAGTGGAAGGAAAACGAACAAAAGAAGCGAAGAAAAAAAAAAAATAATTAGTTTTATGAAGTCCATCTTAAGGCCCTGCAGAATATGCACGTCATGAAAGCACAAAATCCTTTCTCTGCATTAAAATTGGGCATTCGGACGGAAGACTAATTTGTTTCTCTCTTCTTTTCTGTTGTGGGTTAATAGGTCCATGGCGTCTCCTTCAAGAAGCGAGCCCCAAGAGCTATCAAGGAGATCCGTGCCTTCGCTGAGAATGCTATGGTAAGTGGAATTTATGTTTATCTCTTTTTCTTCTCTATTCGTTCGGTGGCCAATGGCTTGCTAACCACCGTCGCTTTTTTTTTTGCAACTGCATAAACAGGGCACAAGAGACGTTCGCCTAGACCCCCAGCTCAACAAGAAGGTTTGGGAAGCGGGTATCAAGGGTGTCCCATTCAGACTGCGCGTCCGTATCAGCCGCAAGCGTAACGACGAGGAGGGCGCCAAGGAGAAGCTGTATTCCTACGTCCAGGCCGTTAATGTCAAGGATCCCAAGGGTCTCCAGACCTCCGTTATCGAGGATGCTTAAGCGTGTCGTCTACAAATGATCGATGTGTACTCTGGTGTTGCGGGGTTGGGAAAGGAAAAAAAACCATGTCTTTCATAGCAGGATTATGTGGAATGCATCTATAGTCGTTCCTCCCTTTCAATGAGCATTTTCACGGGCTTTGACCGTTCAATGAAAATGCATGGTTTTACCTTCATCAAAACTTTCACTATGGAGATTACACCAGCATTTCTAGAGATAAATAACTTAACTGCTGTTACGCGTGACTGATACCAAAACATTGTTTAGCCCCTTTTGCGCCCAGAGCTGCTGGAATCATTTAGATCGATTGTAGAACGGGACGAGAATTGTTGATCCGTGCTGCCATTTGTTACAATGACGACCTACCGCAGCTGAAAAATAAAATAAGAGCAGAGGTGTATGAGGTCGACACGACTTGGGTCTGTTGCCTTGCACTGGGGGACCGATCACGCAATTACTCCTTATTTTCCAAGCCCATGCCAACCAAGAGGTTTACTGCCCTAAGATCGAGATGAATGTACTTTGTGGGACGAGGTGGTCTAAACGCCTTTAGTATGCATGTTCAGAATATGAAGCTGATCCTCTTAGTCCGAGGACACGTCGGTCCGTAACTACACCTTGAAAACATCGATATAATTATGGATGTATCCACTAACCATACTAGGGAGCGGTCGATTTCAAGGTCAAATAATCAAAGAGGACATACCCTCACCTCTGTTTTATGCTCAGAATGTTCGCACAGTACACACAGGCACGCATTTGTTATCCGGACTGGGTTCGTGCATGAGCCAAGGTGTCACTTTTGGTACCTTCAAACAGATGATAGGATAATTCGGTATTAGCAGGTGGCTTTTTGTGACACAGGCAGTATAGGTTAATCTTGAGCCTTGTAGAGAGATGTAGCTGGGGGGAAGGCAAAGTGCAAAGACAGCTGCTATAATCCACGTACGATATAATCGCTGCACCTCAATAAGGCCTGTCGTCATGGAAGCAAGGATGATGAAAGTCGCCACCAGTGATTCTATACTGAAGGTTTTCTAATTTTGGGCACCGTTCAAGAAGAAACTTGTTAAAATTCCGGTTAAGCCAATGGGCCATACCATCGCAAAAGAACTGTCGCATAAGTCGTAACTAGTTAGTTGTCGATCGGTGCGCTTATATAAAAACCGGCGCATGGGCCTCTGATGCTGGTAAGAGCAGGACGAGAAAACTGCCTCCTGGTATAGAACGCGCTCAGCTTCCAGGTATATTGCCTTGCACGATAAGAAAATTGGAAACAAGCTCATGATCGTTCCATCGACCCTTGGTGGGAGGCACGGATGCACAATTCCAGACGGAGGGATGAGCAAATGCCGCAGGATTCGCCTCCTGACTGCCTCTGGGATGGATAGGAAAAGGAATTGTGGATTTGCTGATAGCGGGATTGGAACCGCAGCACTTTCTTGTGAGGCAAGCTTTATTTGGGACATAAACGTTGTAATTAATGGACAGTCTTCCGGAAGGACTTCCCCTTCAAAAATATAGATTATTCCCTGCCGGGGATGCACCAAGGAAAGCAACTTCACCCAACCGCGAGGAGCTGTACAAGTACTGCCTAGAGCAGTTTGGAACGTCGTTGGCTCGTCCAAAAATCCAAACTGGAGTACCTAAAGGTTTCTACACTCTAGTGCACTAAGTTCCATGACATTCCTCCATTCGCAGGCAGGAAGCTCCGACGCGTCGGGTTGGAGACTGCTTTCAAATCATATATGGCGTATAAATCCGCGTTGCCTTGACGAAAATCTTTCTACAATCCCCGTAGGCGTAGGCTCTAACTGCCCTGTTGATTCACAGGACAATCGAAACGTGATGTTAGAAAATAGGAGCAACTCACCTTCCTCCCGGAGTTGATGGCATGTTCGCAGGATAGAGATATCAAAGGGTGGTCGGCCCCCAGACCTAGAACAGCCAGAACAATTTTCGTGGGCACCACAGTGTAGATTAATCATCGGGAACGTTTTGACGGGATCACATTTATCGATGTCACAGCTAGCGTCATCGCAACAAGTGTAGTTCGACAATAATCCTAGGGAGAGGATCTCATCTCGAATTTCACGCGGCAACATTAGAAGAGACCATGAGGGCGACTCGACACGCCGGGTATCCATCTGCGGCAACTTGCTGCTTTTGTATGATATCGAAGCCTGATCAAGGAATAAGTGACATGCCCCGTTAGCATCCAATCCAGGAATACATACGGGGTAACTTGCTATGTAGTTTGGTCGGACATATTAGCCATAGAAATATATGGGAGACATAAGAGCTCAAGCAGCTAGTCCAACACCAAATATACATATCTAGGCAGCAGGTCAGCACCCCGCCCAACAGCAATTGGTACAAACATATCGAAGGCCATGAGAAAACAACCAAGAGATCAGTTCTGCCATGTTAATTGGTCGTGTTGTCCTGCATCCATCAAGGATCCAAAGGGGGAATATGATAGCACAGCAGAACCCATAACCCATCATCACGGCAGCCATCATAACAAATAGAGGCCCCGATAGTCATAGCGGGAATACGATAGGTATTCCGCGCTTGCTCGGAGCTGCAACCCTACTTCAGCAGAAATATGGCTACCATATTAGAGTGTACCACACCGGTACACCCTTCGCTGGGTAGTGGTACAGCCTTGGATATCTGGTTGCAACAAAGAGAGGGTCAGGAGGGGCGGGGAGAGTATACCTAATTGGCGGGCCGGGCGACTTTTTGGCTTGATTGTTTCCCAAAAAAAAAAAAAAAAAATCTTTTTACGCCCATTTGGTCTTCAATTTGCCCTGGATCGATTGCAAGACGTGTGCTGAGCTCTGATGTCAAGTCATAGGCAGCGTGTACAGCACATGCCTTTGAGGTATCTTTGAGGACAGCATAATCACGACACGCAAGTACGCTAGAAGTCGTGACATATGTATCGGGGGTTCGAACCCTGGAGCGAGAAAAAAATTGTTTTCTTTTGTAGTCGCCGTCACGGCGGTCTGCAATCGGGTACATACATACATAGGCTTCCTTCTCCCAATCCAAATCAACATAAGAACGAGACCGGAAAGCAGCCTCTGCCCACTTCATATCAAACAAGAGACCTGATCACAGGCATGCCCTCAAAACAATTTGAAGGGTCGAAAGGTATCTGCAAGTATTCTATCCGGGACAAGATGCAGGGGCTGAAAACTCTGTCACAACAAAGGCTATGCTACTGTGTAAAAGAAAGCCAAAGCACTCCGTACTCCAATCTAAAAGGACAAACATCTTCAAAAGGTCGGACTTGAATCGAAACATAAACAGCAAATGGAAGGTAGAGTAATCAAATGCAGGACAATTTTTTCGCAGTCGAAGAACAAGGGCAATTTTCATATCAGAAATTGCGGAGTAACATGGAGCTATTGCACCGCAACAATGTATCCTATTCCATTCCGCGTGGATTAAAACATGATCTGTAACCGAGAGCCAGTAAAAGCAGCACATACAAGGTTCATCAGAGCCGTTACCCATAAGCAAAAAAAAAGAGATAAGAAAGGGACAGTTTGAACGTGTCATCTAATCCTTCTTCTTGCATTCCTCCATAACTGCGGCCAGCTCTGAAGCTTTAGTGGCCTCTTTAACTTTCAGAGCCCATTGTTCAGCTTCTTTGCCAGTGGGCACCAAGAACTGAACACTCGTTGCACGTTGAAGGTAGTCAACCTGCGGAATCAACGATGAATTGAGAATGACGTTGCCACTTGGGTCCGCCCGAAGCAGAATTCGTGCACGACCAGTTTCTCGGTTCTTCAAAACACGAAGCAAGCCGACGCCCTTACGCTGCCATGTGGAGCCTGGTACTAGCTTTAAAGCACGGGCGCGTACTTCAAATTTGACATCTTCATCTGTCTCACCCGCACCACCTTTTGTGAAATCAACCTGGGGTAGATTTGCCGTGTCATCTGTCGGCTCACCCGTTCCCTCATCCGAGACAGCTGGAGTGGTCGAACGGCTAGGCTCAACGGATGTGTTGGCAGAAAACGGAGCGGGAGACAGCATTGCACTACTGCTCTGTTTTTCGGGTTCGGCAGACATAGGAGGAAAAAGAGGCTTCGAGGTAGAACTGCCGAAAAGAGTAGAGAGATTCGGTGTAGAAACACCATTGCTGGGAGGTGCAGCCTTGGGCGTGGCGCTTTCTGATACTGCTCCAAAGGAGAATTTTGGGATTGATGTGCTTGACGCGAAGATTGAGCTGGGTGGAGAGGCCTTGGGCGTCTCTCCGTCAATTTTTGGATTTGATGGGGAGGGTGTGCGAGTGTTACTAGCTGAAGCAAACGAAAACTGAGGAGTAACGGATCCTGGCGAATCGAAGGAAGATGCAAACTTCGACCCACTGAACAGAGATGCAATAGGGTCAGCAGGCTTTTCGGCTGTGACTGAATCATTATTGCCTTCTGCTTTATCATCAACCTGACGTCGTGGTTGACCGTTAGGTCCCAATTCAACTCTGTCAAATAAGCTACGGCCGTTGGTGGCACCCGGAGACGCTGCAGAGGCTCCAGATGAAACTGTATCCTTGGATAAATCTCCAACTAATCCATCGGAGGTGAATTTGGAAACTTTCTCCTTTCCACCGGTCTCTTCAATATCAATAGGTTGGGGAGATCGCTGTCGTCCTTGAGCAGCGACGTAGGAGCTGATGAACATGCGTAGGGTTTCAGATGCTTCTCCTTGGTCTTCGTCGCCCTCTATCGATGTCTCACCGTTCACTTCCGGAATGTTTGAATCTTCGTCCATCTTGGTATACTTTTCAACTTGACCTGAACAAACATCTGCCCCATTCTCATCCCTCACCTTCCGTTTTGTTGGCGACGTGGACGGAGATAGCTCGGTGGCTTCAGGTTTACCACGCTTTGCGTTCGAAACTTCCCCATCTACAGCCTTTCTCTTTTTACTTTGCTGTTCCTCCTGAGGTGGAATGGGCTCGCCGGCAGGGAATGTTCGTCTGCTACCATATGGTACAGCACGATAGTGGCTGACCAGAGAGCAGGGATATCCAATCTGCCGACGAAGCATGACATAATAGGCGATAAGAGGTTCAAAATCGTTGCAACTAGCATCAATGCTAGCAATTTGTTCCTTGAAACTCTGGTTAATATACTGGAATCTCCATTTATTAATCCAGTCCTTCTTTTCGCTTTCACTAAGCTCAGATGGTATCGCGTCCTCGGGGGGCATCAGCTGTGCAACTTCTGACTCCACATCGTACTGCGTTTGCATCCCGGAGTCCGCATATGCGGGCTTTGCTACCATGGTACCAGCATCTGTGGCAACCGTCTTCATAGCCTGAGGCTGAGCTGGCCCAGTAGGAGTAGAAGGTTGGAAGAGCGCCTTGGAAACGCTCGCTGGAGGTTGTGCAGCATCGACGGGTTTGAAGATCGAGTCAGTGGGCCCAAACGCCTTTTCTGCAGGTTTTTCAATGCTGAACAAGGATGGTTTCTCGGCGGCAGGCTTTTCAAATGCCTTAGCGACGGTTGTGGGAGGAGGCTGTGAATCGGGTTTGGATTGGTCAGAAGTAAACAGGGGTTTGCTAGGTTCAGTTGTTGATGGCTGGGGACCGCCCCACGAAAAACCTGCTCCAAAGGTGGTTTTAGAAGAGGGGGTTGTAGTGCTTGCTCCAAAGATGGATGCACTGGGCGTAGGTGGTGCAGGTTCGGAGCCTTTGCTTGAGATTCCGAAAAGGTTGCTAGATGTGGTAGATCGTGGAAATAAGGCGCTACCGGGAGCGGGAGCCGAAGCGGCAAATAATGAAGAAGTAGGGGCAACGTCTTTATCTGATGTGGTTGTTGAAACACTCTGTTCCGGCTGGGAGACTCCAGAAAACAAAGAGCTGCCATTGGTGGAAGCGGAAAACAGTGTTGGTGCGGCAGTAGAAGGAGTAAAGCTTGCTAGAGTCGATGCCGTTGCTGGGCTGGATGAGGATTCGGGCGCAGAAGTTTCAGTCTTTGACTCCCCAAAGAGAGGCTTTCCAGGTGTAGAAGAAAACACCGACGATGCAGGTGCAGATGATGGCGTTAAAGATCCCATCTCGGTCGGCTTAGTGGTAGTTCCAAAGAGCGAATTGCCGAATTGGAACTTCGGTGGTGCCGTAGGGGCAGCATCTTTCTTAGATTCCTCAGTTTGGTCTTTGGATTCCTTGAGATTGCCAAAAATGTTGCTAGTTGTCGAGGTTGATCCCAAAGATGGAGTAGAGAAGATTGACTGGGTTGTGCTCGACACAGCCGGAGTACTACTCGCGGCGGTTGTCCCGGCTTCAAGAGCAGATTCGTCCGGTTTGGTGGCACTTCCGAAGAGTGAACCACCCTTAAAGGCCGCTGGGGCGCTTATACCGTTAGACTCTGTCGAAGATATAGTCTTGGAACTATCATCTGGTTTAGTAGAACTCCCGAAAAGGGAGGTACTGGCAGAGGTCGGTGCTGAAAAGTTCCAAGTAGATGTTGGAGCATCGGTAGTTTTGGATGCTGAGGTGGTAGGTGTGCTAGTCTGGGTAAACGGGCTACCGAATGCAAACGAGGGAGTAGTGGTGGTAGCCGAAGTAAACGCAGGTTGTGCCGGTGCGGAGAAATTAAAAATGTTTGACTTGCTGGCTCCTAAGGCAGGTTTTCCATCTGGTGACATCTGCATCTGGTCTGCGGCTTTGTTTCCTTGGGTAGCCGGAGCGGCTCCAAACGGCTGAGAAGTTGGAAAAATGCTAGTACCGGACGGCTGTCCGAAGATATTGCTAGTGGCCGCGGTTGACGCTGCAAAGGGTGGATTGGGGGTTTGACCATTGCCGCCAAACGAGAATGACGGTGGCTGGCCCTGCTGGGTACCAAATCCGCTAACTCCAAAACCGCTGGTAGTACTAGTCCCCGACTGACCGTCCTCACCGGTGGTAGCGGGAATATTGAACATATTTCCCTTGAATCCCTGGAAATTAGAATTTTGATTGGAAGAGGTGTTGTTGAACGGATTCGTGATCTGCTGGTTGGGAGTTGAGGCTGAAAAGCTAAACGACGACGGCGCAGAGTTGCTTTGAGAGCCGAAAAATGAGAAAGAACTATTCTGATCTCCGAACGGTTGGGGTTGGGTGTTCTGGGAGTTGCCCTGTGAAAAGCTTTGGGATTGAAATGAAAAGCCGTTTGTTGTGGCTGAAGGTGTCGAGCTTGGGACAATGTTCGGATCGATAGTGCTAAAAGGAGACGACTGGGTCGAGGGAGCTATATTCGGCGATCCGACGCGACCTCGTCGTTGACCTAATGGCTTGATTCTGTGACTTGGTTAGAGGCTGAGCAATCACATATAAAGCCAGGAGAAAAGGGATAGATGTCATGCGAGTAAAGCAAACTTCTCACAGAGGCAAAATGTGGAGTGAAGTATCGCCTACTGAGACCGCAAGGAACGTCTAGATAGGCGGTAGGGCAGAGCGCAAACGCTGCAAAGTGAAAAGAATGGGGCTGGTGTGAATGGGACGGAGCCTATCCGCGTCTGGCGTTGTCAGGTAAGCAGCAAAGGCGGTTTGACAGACTATAATGCCAACGGGGAAACGGTCTCGATAAGACGTCCCTATGAGACAGAGCTCAGGAAGCAATAGATTGGAAATTGAAATTGTGGGGCAAAAAGAATGTCAAAAGGGATCGAGTGATAGAGTAAGACGTGGTAACAAAGAGTGCGAAACAGGTAGTAGGAGGAAAATAAAAGTAACAGAGAACTGAGACGTGAAAAGCAAAAGCGGCCGTGGACCAAAGGAAAGGGTAAGGGTCATCGAAAATCCTTTGACAATAGGTCGGAATGTTGCTTCCCCCCCGTTGTCTAGACTCATATAATGGAGGTGGATTGATGAGAGTGGAGCAGGACACGGGAGTCTCCGTTTTCAGCGGACAAACAACATGAGTTCAAAATATAAACATGGTGGGCAAACCATCAAATCTGCTCCACGATCAGTCAGAAGACACACTTACTTTCTTTTCGCCAACTGCGCGGCCGTAGCCCGCTGCGGCGCTTCTGCATTCATAGACATAGTGTCTAATCCTGTTTCCTTGGAGCCTTGAATCTCCGCTCCTCGTTTGGACATTGGATGAGGCAGATCACCTCGTGATTCGAGGATTCCTGCCGCCTGTCGCCTTGAATATCAAACGTGAGAAAGGGAGAGATATTATTTGGAGACCCCTCGGTCGAATTATTGGTTCGGGTATCAGCCTCGCCGTCCCATTTGACTTCCGGCGAGACCTGGATCGCAAACCGGTCGCGAAGCTCGACGAGACAGCTGTCCTGGACAACCCGACGGTGCCGACTGTCTGTTATGCCTGCCTGAATGTTTACGGGACAAGTTTGACAAGCGGCTCGGGGGAGGGCGCTGGAAGGTAGGCGAATTTGTGAGACTCGAAGATGGCAATGAGATGATTTAGAAGGAATTCCTACTTGTCGCCCAAAGTCAGCAATGTCCCTTCGCAAAGAGACTTTCAGGCAACCGCCTTGAAGCGATAAAGATAATCGACTCACCCTTAGGACTCTTTGAGGTCGCCGAACATCCAAACAACAGTCGATCGCACGCGACAACGAAAACCCGGGTGGCACGCCAAAGGGAAGAAATTAAAAAAAAATAATAGAAAAAAAGACCGACGAAAGGCAAAGCACGCCAAAGTGAAGTGAAATTACAAATTTATGCACGGGTATGGACAAGGTAGGAGGGCAACGGGGCCAGCTTGGATACGCGCCGCCGACTTGTGAGATAAAAAAAATGTTGATGGGAAGCGGTCGTGGTGGTTGCCGGGTCCGTGGTGGTCTTGTTATCCTTTTTTCCTTGCCCTGATCCGCTGACGGCCAAGAAGAACTTCCAAGCACCCACCTTGCACCAAAACTGGAAGTCACGTGGTTAACGGGCCGATGTTTTTGCGGAGGCAGCAAGTCCCCGACTTGCCCAATGAAGGACTCGTATGCTGGTCATTTTTAACTCGGTAATAAGCTTACCTAAAGGGGGATTTCGTCTATTCTATGTGGGTCACGTGAGCGAGGGGCTAGTTAGTTACATGTACTCCGTAGTTGGATTACCTAACAACATCTGCGCCTTGGTGGCGGCGAAGGGTGAAAGGGAGGAAGACGGGTGGACAAAGAACAGCAAACAGTAAACAGTGAGACAAAACAGCTGCAGGGAGGATGGGCATAGTCAGTTCATCCTCAAGATCTGTGGGCACCCTAATTAGGGAAAAAAAAGTAGTGTTTATGCAGAATATCAAGCTCACCCCCGCTGTGCCGATGGGTTACAGTTATGCGGTTAAGAGCAGTCTCGGTGAGACATCGACATGCAGAGCAGTCTGGGCTCTGTGACTGGAAGGTATCTTGGCTGACGGAGACTACAGAGTACATATTGTTGGGATGAAGTGGCTGGATAATGATTGATCAATCACTCAGTAGCAGCGCGCCTCACATAGAAATGGATAGAATGCAGTAGGGAGTGAGAAAAACAACAAGAAATGCGTTACCATATTGTTAAAACTTGTTCAAAATATATATAGACTCCTGAGAACAGTAAACCTGGGTACCTGCATCCAAAATGAGATATTTCCAAGTGCTGAATAAATCGTATGGGAGAGGGTGATAGTGCTCATAAATCACCACTTGTCTCCAAATGGAAAAACAAAAGTTATATAATGCAATCTATGTAGAAGTTCCATCTCCAATTGTCCTGAGCTTTTCTCCTCGTTCGTTGCATTATGATCGGAGTACGGAGTACGGGTTGGAGGTTGGGAGGAAGATGTAGAGGAGCGGGCCGCCGGTACCGATTTACAACTTGGCCTTGGTCTGGGCTTTCTTGAGGATGGGCTCCATCTTCATGGCCTTCATGGCGTTTCCTCTAACCTTCAGCTTGCCGCCCATGAAGAGCCGTTGGGCGTTGGAACGACCGGCGACGAGGGAACCAAAATCAGCATCGGAGAGGAGGAGGGTGACTTGTTACGGTGTCAGTGCATAATCACGAAAACATGGTCGAAGGGGAGGGGAAAAAAAAAAAAGGACTGACCATCAGCCTTTCCACCCTCAGGGGCAGCGCCCTTGCCGACAACACCCTTGTCCTTGAAGTCGAGATACCAGCTCTCGGTCTCCCCCTTCTCGTTGGTCAAGGTGAATGCAAAAACGGCCTTGGCGGACTTGATAGCGTTCTGGCGCTCGGCGTTGTCGGCCTGGAGGACGCTGTTGATGATGTCAAAGGCAGCGGAAGATTTGAAGCTGGCTGCACGCCAGTGTGTTAGCAGTGACTTGAAATTCCGACGACTCCGAGACAGCGCAAAATCAGTGAACTCACGGTTTGCGAGAGACATTGTGAAGGAATCAAGTAGACTCGACGAGGTAGGCCCGAAAAATTAAGTAGAAGGAAATGGGTATCTTAAGAGCTGAAAATATGAAGGAAAAGAATATAATGTTACAGAAAGCGAACTTCAAGAGATGATGGCGCGAAGATTCGGTGGATTAGCAGCTATTTTATGTACAGACATGGCCCAACGGTACTCCGGACGCATGTGAATTTCCCTGTGAAAAAGCCAAAAGCTGGTGCCGAGGCGCTGCGCTTCAGTCTGTGTCACTGGCGCCATGACAAAGCATAATTCCACGCTTTCTCCAAGTCCCACGCTTTCGCCCTGGGAGTTGAGATCCGTGGGGTTTGTGCGCCTAAGGTCGGCAGGTCTACCGGTTAGCGACCTACATCATGTAGAACGGTTGGAGGAATGTATTGGTAATGATACCACTCAATTGTCTGTCTGGTTATTTAACTACTTATGATACTTCCCACGTTCAAAGGCGTAGGGCAGGTCATTTTCACGGGGATTAAATTCTTTGGGACGAAACGATTTACGCCAACGGCTCATCCAGCCAATAAACGGTGAAGCGAATACGGGGCCAAAGCTGGAGATTAGCTGCTTCACCCAGAGAACGCATGCGAAAGTGTGGATCAGTTAGCATGGTTAATCAACGATATCAACAGACGATCCATTCATCATGAGAGATCCCCCAGAATCTCAAGGACACCGTCTTCATAGACGGTGAGGTTGCAACTACCGAGGCACACGATCATGCTCAGGTGCAACGCTAGGGGAAATAACTAAAAAAAAAGAAAAAGATAGTTACAGATCAAGCGGGACATTTTTTTGGTGTTTTACATTCATAAGTCGTCAATCGTCGGGGGGAAAAAAAGCGCCATCATCATTTCCGTGGCATCTTCCAATTCTGCACCGGTGCTGTTGACCCCATTTCCATGCTCCCCGCCTATTTTTTTTTTTTTTTTTCTTTTTTATGATTTGCCATGACCGTAGATCGTGATGGCCAATTTCCCGTGGATAAACGCCTTCATAGGCCCAAAATAAAAATAAAAATAAAAAACAATAAAAGTGGCAAAAGAAGGATAAGGCTCATCGCCAACTAAACATCGAAGATCGAAGAAACCGCCTCATATGATCGGGCCCGCATGACAGCAGCCCACGAGTCTTTGAGGTCGCCCGCTGAAAGTTGGTATACGCCCGAAACTGCCTCGAGCGATCTTTCCTCTTCGTTTCTTGCATCAGCACTTTCTGGAACTGGCGCGCATCCATACCAATCGGACTAAGCATGATGGGCACGTCCATGACTTCCACCGGCGAGGGTTTCTTGCGCCGCCGTCTGCTGACGGCCTTGCGCGTGAGTGGTTCTAGGGCTTCGTCCCACGTCCCGCTGCGAAGGACGGTTTCTTCGAAATTAAACTCGCGGACGGTGTGTCTGTGGTCAACGATGAAGGATGAAACCTGAGATGCGTCCAGAACCACGTTTTCCACTTCCATATGCCGCAGTGATGGGAACTTAAGTGGCCGTAATTTTGATCTTGCAGAGCTCCCGCGTCCGGAAGGCAGAGGTAGGGAATTTGAGGAGGCGTCGAGGCAGGGCTCCGTTGATAGAGTGAGCGGGCAAGGGCCTTTGCTCCCTTTCCAGCGAAAAGTGAACTCTCTTAAGGAAGAAAACCCCCCGAGGTATGAATGTAGAAGTTTCAGGTGGTCCGTGCTTTCGCCACATTCGAAGGGGAAACTGTCCATATGGATATGTAGCTTTTGCACCTGCATCCATCGTTTCCGTGCTGATGGGGATGCACCAAACCCAAGTGTGTGTCGAAGATAAAGGAGAGCGGCGGGATGTATAGGAAGTAGTGACAGCGTCTCAAGGCACTCTAGCGGCGCCTGCTCAACCGCTATACGAAGAGAAATAAGAGCGTAGTCAACAACGCTGCGCCGGTATCGATGACCAGGGACCTGGCGATCGCAAGAGATTATCAGGTGGGAGATTGAAGGCATGGCCGTAAATGCTCGAATAAAAGATGGTATGTTGGTGGCAGCATGGAACAGTGGGGGATATTGCTTCGTCAACAAGTCTGTCATTTCCCACGATCCATACTTGGGAATGCTAAGCCTCGAACCTGCGCATTGAGACGTATGGACCTGGGGCATATATACAAAAGTTTGCTCCTCTCCAGTAAAGGGATCAAGCAATGGTGGTAGAAAGGTTTGAGGCGAATGTGCAATCCGAAAAGTAAGTGTTTCGATGAACCCGCCGATGCGCTCCAGCGCCGCCATCCGTGCAGGCCGAGTAAATGTGCTGCTCCGGAATTCAATTTCAATGTTGGAAAATAGGCAAGATGCCGTTTGGATGCTCAATTCATTGCAAACCAGTCGCAATGACAAGATATCCTCCTTTGCAGTATGCGCCAATATAGTATCCCGAATGCCTCTATCCAGGAAGAGGTCGACGAAAGAAAGGTGACTTGCCATTGTGATTGAGTACTGGTCCAGGTTTCAGAGTCAATGCGCTTCAATGGCATCGTTTGCGCCAGGAGTATTCCACAAATGAGGGCAAGTGTCTCAAGATCGGGGGAAAATTTTTTCTCGGGGAGCGATTCACCAGAAATGCGGTCAATGTGCTTAATGTCCAAAATTGGCCGAAATGCTCCATATAATACGAACCGGCGATTAGAAGTGAAAGAAAGGCAAACGGCGGCGACCGCCTCCAGAAATGAGAGAACTATTCAAATTATGCATCGCCTCAACCCGGTTGAGGCATGCATGAGAGATTAGAAAAATTCAACGAAAAAGGAAAATCGACGGCTTTTTTTCGACAAAAAAAGCCGTTTCCCCTCGTGCTTGAGGCGGCATTCTAGCGAAAATGGAGGAATCTAGAAAAGTACGGGGGTAGGGGGGAAGGGTAAGAATCGCCCTTAGGGCGCTCAAAACACAGGAATTCGGCTTGAAAGGCGGGATCCAGGCGAGGACTAAAGAACTTAGGGGCCCTTCTAAAGGACAACGGCCGTAGTCGCGAGGGCGACGCGGTGGTGAAGAGCAGATTCCGACGTGATAAATGGTGGGCTGGAACGCAGAGCAACAAACATGTTTCCCGTTTCATCACGGCCAAATGGCGGTCATTGGCACGAGGCCGGCATTGGCCCCGCAGTGTGTTTCCTGTGGTACCCCTGGGGTCCAGCCATGGTGTCTGTTCACCGCTCGCTGACCGCAACTGGTTCACAAATCCCGGATCAGACGTCTCTGCATCGTCGAATGAGGGTTGCATATTCGCCTTTGCTGGGGCCAAGCATCAACCATCGTGCTTGGCTCGACTTCCGCGATGGCGATGTCGCGTCAATCAATGCGGGGCCACACCCTCGACGCGCATAAACGCGACCAGAGCGTGCCTGTCTATGGCTTTGCGCGGGCACGACGGGGGTTCTACATACGTACATGGAGCGTCCTGCATCTGACAGCCGCATGGGATGGGTTGCGTGAAGAAGTCCGTGCTTCACAGAATGTCAAGTCCTTGCCAATCGGCGGGAGCTCGTTCGATATCAGTTCGCTGTGGATCTATACTGAACAGCCACGGAGAATACGTCACACAAAGCAAAAGGTAAAATAAAGGTGAAAACCATATCTTCTACTCCGTACCGCATCCGGATGCATCAAGTCAATAATCAATGAACTCCGCACCTGGACTATACAAATCGCGTCATAGCACAGGGGAATAATCTAACATAAATAACTAGTACGGGAGAGAAATATAAAGGCGCAGCCAGCCCCGCCGAATGATATGAATGCCGTGTTATAGTACATACAAAGAGCTGGTGGTAATAGTACCGTCGAAGAGTGACCGGGAGTTTAATTGTAGCCTCTCCGGCGTTTGCCCTGGTTGCGCTCTCTAGGCGTGACAACCGCCTTATTAACCTTGCGCTTCGGTCGTGTTCTGTAACCAGATTTGGCCTAGGAACGTTGTCAGTTTCAATCAGACTAACAGACAAGTCAGGATAAATCAAAGGCGCATACCGGAAGACCCCAAGGACTTTTGGGATCAACGTTACCCTTGGACTTGCCACGACCGCCACCGTGGGGATGATCCATTGCGTTCATCGCGAGACCACGCACAGTAGGTCGAATACCCAGCCATCGCTTGCGACCAGCCTTACCCAGTCGTCTATACTGATGGTTTGCATTGCTTGCAATGCCAATGGTCGCACAACAATTTTTGTGAATCAGCCGAATTTCACCACTTTTGAGGCGAAGGGTGACGTGCTCCGACAACTTCTTCAGTCTGTGTTTGTCCTGAAGGGTCAAATGCTTGACCTCCCCTTTCTCGTCTGTAATAGTGTCTGCTTCAGGGTCATATCCTTCTACAGACTTCGCGATAACAGTTGCGAAAGTCCCCGCACTTCGACACAGCTGGGCCCCTTTATCTTTATGTAATCCTACATTGTAGATCAGCGTGCCAATTGGGATCATGTGCAGCGGTAGGCAATTCCCCCGCCACGCAGTCTTTGCAGCTAAAACACCAGGGTCAATAACACCGCCCATACTCTCCCACAAATCCTTGGGAATACCGGCGCGATAGCTTTGCACGACATCACCCTCTCGCATTCCCTCGGCGGCAATTATATAACTTAGCTTATTTGTAAGCTTGGATCGCAGGAGAGCAATATGCGCATTGCGGTTGGGGTCGTGTTCAATTCTCTCCACCACATGTGGCCCAGGCTGTTTTCTATCAAAATCGACGATCCGTATTCTTCGCTTGTGACCACCTCCGCGATGTCTAACGGTGACATGTCCGGTGTTATTTCGTCCGCCCTTGCCATGGCCTGTTTTGGCAATCGTCAATTCCTTGACCGGTCGTCCTTTCCATAAATGATCGTTTATTGGCCTTCGAAGATGTCTTGTGCCGGGAGTGCGAGGCTTATAGGTTCTCAAAGCAAGCCCGCCTTTATCATGGGACGGCGGAGGCGCAAACGAAACGCTTTCATTAGCTGAGGGATCAGGAACCGCAGGTTGTGACTGGACAACCGTAGCATATGTGCGCGACCAAGCCGAAGAGAGGCATTTGCAGGAGTATTGGAAACCCCGCAACGAGATGCGAGGCTGTAACATGGTGATTCGGCAACAAGTGGTAGGTCAAGTGGTGAGTCGAGATAGAGGCTAAAATGAGGAATCAATTTGACATTGCGTAAAATTTCCAAGCACACCAAACCACAGTGAAAGTGCTCTGTAGAAACAAAGAACAATATCCAGATATTTCAGGCCAGCGGACCGCCAATTGACATTGTTGAGCTCCAAGGGCAAGAAACATCCAGATGAAAATCTTTGGCCGAACATCGCTACACGTGACCCTAGACGTGGCTTATATAATATCACCCGCAGTCTAACGTAATCTACAAGCGAGCGAAAGATTAAATTAAGGTATCTCAACCAATTTAACCCGAAATATCTACGCTCAACAACCCCTAAATAGATTAAATTACATTACAATAGGACTAGGGCAGCTTCTTCTTGTATGGCCTAAAATATGGCAGTTCGTACACCTTGGTGGTGCCCGGAAACATGATGCAGGCTCTGAGGCTGCAGGCTCAGAGATTTGAGTGACTGACTGTTCAACAGATTGAGCAGATGAAATAGAGGCCTGAGCAATCTCTTCCCTAGTTAGACCTCCTTCATTGAATTCTTATTCAAGGATTATAATGTAAATCATTAGAGCCATAAACCATGGCCGAAGGCTGATGTCCTGGCTATGCAGTATGGCAAGGGACCTTGGAACAGATAACTTTCTCCAGCGACCTTCGTCACAGTGCTGCGGAAGGAGGTCCAAGTGTAAGGATATTTCAGGTTCAGCAAGGGGAAAGTGAGGGCAATAGGGATAGCCAGGATTTTCAGAATGATTTCAAGCAGGTATAGCTTCCATCCATATTGCTGAAATATTTGTGGCTGTCCCTGTTCTGCTGATTGTCCCTGCTCATAGATGCATTTTGCTGCTTGATGCGTTGGACTTCTTTCTGTCCCTACTCCATTTGCCATTCCCTACTCATTTCATGAGTTTACACTCTGTGCCGCTACTTGAAGAGATCCCTAGTCAGGCCCAAAATCAAGGTCTGTCCGCTGTAAAACATAACAGTCCTCAATGACAAATGCACCTGGCCTCCCCCATTATTCCAAAATATGGCCTCCCTGAAGGAACCCGATCGGATACCACCTATTTTCCAACATACGGCCTCCCCTGCAGGAATCCGATCCCCGAGGGACACCACTATTTTCCAGTCAAGACGCTACTTGTACTCCGTACTCCGTACATACTGTTGAATTCCTCCTTGTTTTGGGGGGGGGGGGCAGCATCCATTAGGAAAATAGGGGCATCCTTCCTTCCTTCTTCTCAATTTAACGTCCAACCCAGCCGCTCTTGGAATGCTATAGTCCGTAAGGCGTCTCTTTCTCCGTAACTCTCGCGGCGGGGATCGAGGTGCGTCCGTCTCTGCATCCGTATCGTCGTCGATGACCATGGGTTTCTTGCGGCGGTGGATGGAAGGTGGAAAGGGAATTGAAAGAACGTCTCCAGCCCGAACTCTGACACATAGCCATCAGTATTACAATCTGTTAGATAATCCTGCAGCATGCGTCCAAGTGTGGCCTTTCGCTTGCCCCTGATGTTCAAGGGATTAAGTCTTGGCTTTTGGTGCATTGTGAATTCGATGATATAGTACATAGCTACCCGTGGTGGTTCGGGTTGCGGTGTTAGCTCATAGACAGCGATCACTAGAGAAATGTCACTGTAACAGTCAATGCAGAATTGGCAGAGCTTGTTATCAAGGTTTTCAATCGCTGACGTCGCATCTGTTGAATATTGTGAAGATTGAATCTCGAGTCTTCATCCAGCACCTGCAGACATGATGGTAGGCTAAGGAGAGGTAGGGCCAGGCATGGTGGATTGAACGCATTCTATTTACAAGCCAGAGGTAGCCACCATTTTTCAAAATCTGTGGCGTAGCCATGATCGAAGCACTGATATCATTTCATGACGGGCCATGAGCGTGAGACTGGTCCGAAAAGGACGAGTTGGTTTTAGGGCTTAGCGTGTTTCGACATCGAATTTCCGGATTTTTGCATTTTTGCATTTTTGCGCAATTTAGCTTCAATTGGTCGATCTTTTTATTATTTGATGGATGGTCCATTTCAGAACGGTACACATGGCGAGAGATAGGGCGCCTCTTGATTAGATTAGTGTCAACATACCCAAGCCTGTAATGCTCATTACAAAGTGTTCATGATCTAGAATGTCCAAATACTCTCATTAAAGATCAACGAATTCATCATATGTCAAGTGTTCATCCAAACCCTTTTCTGCAGCTTGCTGCATTTTCCTCTGGACGAATCCATCCAGTTCACTGCGCTCCTGCTGAGTCAGAAGAGAGATTCTATCATCCAAGCAGCGCAGAGGGCCAAAATGCTTCTTGTCAAGAAATGTCCAGTAAATGTCGTCAAACATGAAGCTTTTCCTCGCCGCAAGGCAGAACCAAAAAGTCCATTTTCAATTGATTGCGCCATTCGATCTGATAGGTGTTGAGACTCCATGATGGAGCCTTTCCGTATTTGCTGGCCCTCACAATCTCGGAGCACCTTGAGGAAGAGTTTGAGATGCGGTTTGTAACGGGCTAGGAAGGCATTCAAGTCTGATTCCCAAGCCTCAGGGCTTTCGAGAAGCAGCCACCATGGAGCGGTGTAGGTGAATTCAGCTGGGGCGACATAAGTGAACTCCCAGTCAATGACACCAGTAATCATGAAATCTGGGTCGCAAGTAAGTACATTTGAAGGGCGAAGATCGTCACAATAAAGATGGAAGGGGCCAGCCTCTGTCTGAATCTCCCGTGCAATCCTGCGGAAGAGACACCGGGCTATATATTTTTTGCGGCAGTCATGTCCATCTTCTACTGCATCATTACGCTGATGGTGGAGGTGAAGAAACTGCTGTGTGGCGAGTTCCTGAAAATATTCAGATGCAGTTTGAAATGTATTTTTAGCGAATATACTCGGAGGAAGATTTCCAACACGTACGAGTTCGTTCATGTTGAGTGTTAGCGGTCTTTTGCTGACTTTCCAAGTTCCTGAATCTAGTTCCAAGCCCCCAATGGCTGGAAACGTCGGCTTTGCAAGCTCCAGCAGGATACGAGCCATTCCATGATAAACCTTTTGCAGGTGGGAGCCTGATAGGTTCGAATCCAAACTGAGTGATTCTTTTGTAGGATCTCGGAGCCGTTTGGACAGCAGGGTTCCCTCGAGGAAAGTTGTAACAATGTAAGGGCCCAACCCCCAGCGCCCACCACCAAGGACGACCGGGACGGGCAATCGTGTCCGTTGTTTGAGGAACTGCAATACAGCAATTTCATCTCTAGATTTTTCGGTGCGAAACCGGCTTCTGCCTAGGATAGGGAAGCGAACGACCACGCGGAATCCGTCTTCAAATGTGACGATGGAACATATGTTGTAAGCTCCGGTAATGAAACCTGAGGCTTCAACGGGCGAGAGTCGGAGCGGTGCCGACCAGCGAGCTTTAATGGCAAGGCAGGCGATTCTCGCGACAGAATCTGTAGCCAGCCGATGAAGAATTCCTGAGATTTCACTTCAGCGAGGCGATCCCAATCCATCTCAACAATTGTGCTGCTAGATGAGATTGCCCGGAGACAATGTATGGGTCAGCTGCACTAGCTTGGACAAGAGAGAGTCTAAGTGACCTGTGCAGCTCACCATAAAGTTATCGGTTGTCTGATTGGTGGTCTTGGCCAAGTGGGCTTTATCTCCAGTCGAGAGTTTAGAGGAGTCAAAACCTAATAATAGGCTTCAAGGTACGGAGTACGGAGTACTCCGTACATAATCTGCTTTAAAACTTTAAAACACAGCGCTATGGACGACTATTGCGTACTATCCAGTCTTATGCCATTGAGAAGGGGTACATTTGAAGCTCGAGCACATTGTCTATGTTCAGCAGCACAATGTTTTGTTGCCAACACGGTTGGAGGGACTTGAAGTTGCTGCCAAAATGCATGGGTCAGACGCATATGCTACCTCACAGCTTGGACGCAAATAAGTAGCGCTTCTGCCTCATCTACTCTCAGTTGGACCAAGCCTCCAGCCCCCCTCATCAACTCCAGTGGCGATATCCCGATTGGCGTGCAAATCCCCTCAGAAGACCAAACAGAAGAGCTGAAGAAACAACTGAAGGAACTCCTGAAAATTAGGGAGACTATCGATGGCATATCGGAAAGAGACAGGCAGATGGTGTTGGCAAACTCCCAGCCGCGACAGCCGCGCTGCCAGAGAAGAACATAAAAGAATGATTCAAGATCATGCCGGAACACGGAACTCAAGAACGAATGGACTTGGCAGCCAATACGCTGTCCGGCAGCTGACGACAACATCATCCGGAAAACGCTGGCAAGCCAAGCACTGATGTAGCCCCGTCCAAGCGTCTGCCTTTGCCACGTAATACTCGTGATGAGGTTCTATCATCTCCACATGGTGAGGTGATTCCGGGCCGTCCCATTAGCTTATCCTTGCATACCCCTCATCCCAAGTACCAAACCCCAGGGCTCCCTTGCCTGGGCCCTCAAAGATTCAAACAACACGATTCTATGACTTCAAAATCCATATATGTTCAGCCCTTTGCATCCATTCATAACTCACTTGCCTCACAACAGTTCATGAAAGCTTTAAAACCTTGCCCTGCCCTGCTCTTCCTCACTTCAACAGCTGTGATTGCACTCTTCAAGGGTATGAACTAGAAGCGGTTAGAGTCACGTCTTAGACTGATACTCACTCTGACTGTAGGACTCAACATGGCCTTGAAGGATCCAACTATTCTCCTACCAGGGCTCCTCGAAGATGCGAAAACCGGCAATACACAGGACATCAAGACATTTCTGAATGAGTATATTGGAACGGTCTCGAATCCGCTTAACAACCAGGAGTCTGATTATGACGCTGAGTTGTCCTGGATAGAGCCAATGAAAGATGAACCCGTTCAGAGACGCCGATGCTTCAAGGCATCAAGCCGTGGCAGGGACATCATGTATAGGGCAGTGTCTGTAAGGATTCGCCCGCGAACCCCTTACACAGACGAACAACACTCCCGAGGGCTGGGAAGCCAATCAAGCCAACCACCCAGTTTCAAGGAAACAATGTGGCCCAATTCTGCAGATCCATCACTCCTGAACCACACTTCTTCTACATGACGAATTATCTGATCAATATGCTCTCCTGCAGCACTGAGATGAAGAATAACTGCAATTGCCCGATGGATGGCAAGCAATTTTGGGGACGGTGGATCAATGGTGTGATTTGTTGAGAGGAGCAGGGTTCTTATTGCTGGGAGATTGAAGAATAATGAGGCACCATCATCTGATGAATGTATCTTGTAAGTGTGTTTAGGATGAATTGAGGTGTCCATAGCTTCAAAGGAAATTTGGAAGTTGCCAAAGGACCTATGAGCCTCAGCTGTCAAGGTAAGAGCATTGCTTGGATGATCAATATTTGGTCCCTCAATCAGATGAATCACGCCTGGGTCAAACATGTTAAGTATTGCAAGAGCGGTTTTCCTAGATTCGCTCTAAGAGTAGAATTAGAATTAGAATTAGAAAACAGTTGCCGAACACACCTTTATAAAATGCTGTACATACCAACTGCAACTCACCACTGACAGTAGCTGTTGTTGACATAATTGAATGGGGTATAATATGTGCAACTTCAAGGAGTGCAAGTTTACCAGGGGCGAAAATCAACTGCTGGCCGTCATCATCTTTTGGATTTGAGGGATCTTGCTTTAATCTCTCTAAAGCTTGAGTCCAGTTAAATACCCGCGTAACCACACACTGGTTATGATCACGAATCAGACAATCATGCCGAAGGACTGATAATCTTGCAGGTGTTCCAACTGCATTTTCAATTGAAGAGGCTGATAAACCAGCTGGTGTTGGCTGTGGTGTCTTTGTCCCTGATGCCTTCACTATAAACCATGTAAGCAAGAAAGCAAGAAGTATGTGGATGCGCGCCAGGACATGTACATACATGGTAGAAAGAAATTATCAAAGAGGTATTCTGCAAAGGAATCTATAGCCCCTTCTGCCTCCCTCTTCTGATGTGCTGGGGCAGCAGGGCCAAAGGTGGAAAATCGAGACAGGCCTCGCGCGAAATCTGGTGACCCTTGATCACTTTGGGTATCAAGGAAGATAAAAAAATGTCGTAAAAAGGTGTCTTTTGAACGGGAATGCTCATATGTCAGGCGGACCAGAGTGACTTTCTTGTATGGTCTTCTGCTCTGGAACGGTTCACAGTGACTGATGAGCTTATTGAAGATGTCATCAGCCTGGGCCAGCTCGGCTGCAGTCAAAGATGGCTGCGCAGAAAAGTCGAGGACTTGTTCAAGTGATGCCTGACGCCGATGGTGAGCAGTCATCTTTTCACTGGCAGTAAGTAGTGTGAACTGTTTAAAAGATGTGATGAAGGCACAGTGTTGGGAGTTGCCGCGCCAACAGGAAAGAGGCTGCATGCACGTGACCATGCATCTGGAAGGGTTATTTCCGCTGGCGAATGTGGCGAACATGGCCGATCTATCGACGGTAAGTCTTAAGCTGTTTCCCTGGACGGCTTCATCGCCCAGAGCAGCTACATAGCAGCAGGAAGTCATTCCATGGTCGCGGTTGTGGTTCTAGCCGCCCCTATAGAGAGGCAGCCAATAAGCACTCACTTCCAATGCCGCCAACATTCCAACGCTTCTTTCGCTTCGAGCGCCTCCCACGCCTCGTACACCTATTTCCTACCTCTTTCACTTCTTCGCCTCCTACACCTGTGACACGGTAGTGCCTATTTTTCGTTATAAACTGACAGTTACCTTGAGGCTGTGTACCCAAGATTTCTTGGAAGATTGTTCCGTGCCAGAATATAAGACTCTTCCATGCCTGAATCGCACTGGCTATGATAGGAGGATGCATCCACAATGATCTGCTTCTATTTATCGCCCATGTCCGCCGTGTCAGCACGATGTCGACGAATCCCAGCCGGATTGTTATCTTGTATTACCTTTAGATCCAGCTCAAGCTGCAGTCACAGTGGGAGCAAAACCTCACTGGGATCCTAAAAGCGAACTCGTCTTGATAAGGATTTGACGTTGAGCCGATATCAAACATACCCTTCAATTGAGTATTACAAGAGGTCTTTCATTTTGCATCGGACATGTCGCTTCGAAACATCCAGGAACATGGCCGACCTCTTTGTCGCCATCTACCAACCCCGGAACCAGCTAAGAAGCCGGAAAGCCAGAAAGCCAGAAATCTGAGATCCAGGAGTACTTGGTTGCTCATTGGGTTCCATAGCCACCAAAACACACTCAAAGAAAGTTCGAAACCGCCACTATTTTCGAGTAAAAGGCCACGAATTTTGTTTCCTTGAAGAAAGCCATGACTTTAAGTGGCCGTGGCCGCGCGCCGTTTTGGAAGGGAATCCATTTTCGGCTCTCAGCCACTCAACAGGTAAGCGATGGTGCGTTCTTCAATGATGAAACGCGGCGATAGGGATCGGGATCACCTACGGGCGGGGGTGGAGCAGGCCGATCCGTGGCCCAGAAGAAAACTCCACCATGACCACCACCTCCAAACGCTTCGTGAAGAAGTGAAGACTTCGCCGCATCAAGTCACTTCCACAAGTTCCTGGGACCGCAGAGCCTGCTTAGTCACCCTGTGCAACTTGACCCAGTGCGAACAGCAAGTCAATTCTTTCAATTTCCCTTCTTTCTTTCGCAATGGCAACATACAACCAAAGCAAAGCAAAGCAATGGCCCGGCATCGCCATCAGGCCTCACTCCTATCCTCACATTTTGCTCGCTCGTAATTATAGTGTCTGGAATGGCGGCATTTGAGCTCCGTACAGCATTTAATCAGATTTGACACCCAGTTCTTGCCAACACGGGGGGGAGGAGAGGTAGAATCGCATATGGCAAGAAGATGATTAGCCATATTCTCAACAAATGCCGGTCCGGGGGAGGATTCCTCATTTAGCTAGGTCTAGGATCCATTGAACTAGCTGATCCTCTTCAGTCTTAGTCAATTTGGTTGAATTTGCGCGTAGACTGGTTCTTGCAGGTTCCATTTGCTCGATGATGTAGTCTTCATAGTCACTGACTGCATAAGACTATAATGAATAATAATAATAATAATAATAGTTAATAATTTGCTCGATGATATAAGGTAGTATAAGGCACATTAAATAGCCGTGCAGCTTCAGCAATTGAGCTAATTTCTTGCTTTTTAAGAGTAGAGATAGCAAGTTCAATCCTGCCCTCTATTTCTATAGAGGGTCTTGCATTTTTATTGCGAATTGGTGGCATTCTGACGCGTTGAAGTGGATGGTTGAGGAAGTTGAAAAAATTATCTTTCGCTCGCTTGTGGATTACGTTAGTCAGACTCTTACTGAGTCAGCAAAACTTGACGCTTAACCCTTTTCAACCGATTTCTCGGCGCGGCGCGTGACCGTAACCCAGTCACGTCACGCTGTTTTTGTATTTCCATAACATACACGAGCGAAACCCTTGCGTTGCCCTGTCAACGGCCTTTGTTTCGGCTCTTTTCTCCCCTTGTTCCGCGCTCCTTGCGTCGCGGTGGTGTCCCCACTCTGGTATTCCTGTTACATTGTTGCTGGGTCAATACCGCAACTCTGTCGACAATTTCCGTTTATTATTGGTGTGTATGGTATGTATTTCTCCTGTATGCACAACGATGGAATAATAAACGCCAGGCGTTTTTGTTCTTCCTTCACCACCAACTTCCTTGATGTCTCTTCTCCTTTGCCTTGTCTTCTTCTCAACTATCTTCATTTCAGTAACTGCTAACATAGTGCAGTCCTAACAACATCTTCATATCACGATAATTCTACCATTCTGCATACCCAGACGCGAGTATTTCGAGACATTCCTGAGGTTGAACCTCACTTTAGACGCGAGAACTGATACCACCGTGCCTCAACCCCAAATCAGAACCACAACGCCCCAACGATAGCAGCTAAGAGTGAGACTCCCTTCACACATTCAATCTCTCGTCCCTAAAGCCCCTTTGCCTGTCAATCGTGCCAACTCAGACTCCGAGTTGTTGCCTGCCCTATGGCATACTAGCATGCGGTGTTCCCCATAGCAACCTTTCTCTGTGGTAACAAAAGACCTTTGATTCCCCGATTCTTTCATCACAACAATTAAAGGCCGTCCTCAAGCTTACGAGCTATTTACTGGGCATCTTCTCGAACCCACATTGGAATTTTTCCTCCTTATATGACATAGACAACGTTCTGTATGATTTAAAGCATACACACGCAACTCTGGTAGCAGCTGACAATATTTTAATCTGCAGGTATTACCCAGCGAAAGACCTTCTCCCCAGCTACTAGATTTCTGCTTCTTGCATTGCCCCAACTTGTTCTACCGAACACATAGAGCTTGATAATATGCCACCCGTGAGTCTTGCAAAGTCCCTAATATCGCGTCCTTGCGTATCCGCGTGCAGGACACTAACATCCTTCCAGACTAGAAGTCTACGGCAGCGTGCCGTTACTAATGAAAATGATGAGAATGCCCCCACGACACGTCTGACTAGAGCTAAAGCCGCTGCCGCGTCTAGCCATGAAAACCAACTGAACGCTGCAGCCGCGAAGAGACCCCTTCAATCGAAGAAAAGTTCTCTGAATTCTGCTAACACTGGAGCTCAGCGAAAACGGGCGGCATTGGGAGATGTAAGCAATGTGAACAAGTCAGAGGGCGTAGAAACAATGGACGCGAAAGAATTGAAGAAAGGAACCACAAGCCGAGTCGGATTAACATCCAAGGCCACAACTCAAACTGGTGGTGTGCAAAAGATTACGCGCAGCAACACTTCTCGATCTGCATTAGGGGTCAGAGATGCCAACAAGCGGGAAGCGGAACCAAAACGGCCGGGAAGCGGTTCAGGTGTCATGGGCAGTGCACAGTTGAAGCGTCAACAGAGTCAGAAGTTCCTTTCTGCAAATGAAAATAATGCCGTCACAGACGAACCTCCCCGAAAACGGATTGACAGTGGAAAAAAGACGACCGCATTCCAAGAAGAAGCAAAGCTAGAGGAAACAGACAGCGTCCCTACCGAGGAACCACAGGACGCAGATAAGCCGCTTAATCTTGATGCTGAGGATCAATTCGACCCGTTGATGGCGTCTGAATATGTCATTGAAATTTTTGACTATCTTAAAGAGATTGAACCGCAGACAATGCCCAACCCGGATTACATTGAGCATCAAGAGGAGCTAGAATGGGAGGTGCGTGGTGTCCTTATTGACTGGCTCATCGAGGTCCATACACGCTTCCGACTACTACCGGAAACACTTTTCCTTGCTGTCAATATCATTGATCGGTTCTTATCCATCGACATTGTTGCTCTCGACCGTCTACAACTTGTTGGTGTTGCTGCCATGTTCATTGCCTCAAAATACGAAGAAGTCCTCTCACCTCATGTCGCGAACTTCAGTCATGTTGCCGACGAAACATTTACAGACAAGGAGATCCTCGACGCAGAGCGACACATCCTTGCGACGCTTAATTATGACATCAGCTATCCCAATCCCATGAATTTCTTGCGAAGAATATCGAAAGCGGATAACTATGATGTTCAAACTCGGACCTTCGGCAAATATTTTATGGAGATCAGCCTGTTGGACCACCGCTTCATGCGCTATCGACAGAGCCATGTTGCGGCTGCTGCCATGTATTTTGCTCGACTAATCCTCGACCGAGGCCCATGGGTAAGCTTTTTTATGTGTCAAAGTGAAGTAACAAATACTAACGCTACCCATAGGATGTGACTATTGCACACTATGCCGGGTACTCTAAAGAGGAGATCATACCTGTGTTTCACCTTATGATCGATTACCTCTATCGTCCTGTTGCTCATGAGGCATTTTATAGGAAATACGCCAATAAACGCTTTTTGAAGGGTATGTTTTGAACAATTTGTTGTCATAGGCTAAAACTCCAATATCTGATTTATGGCTACAGCTTCCCTTCACGCTCGTCACTGGGCCAAGAAATACCGTTCCATGTACCTAAGCCAAGAGAGCTACGAGAATCGCCAGAGACATAGCTGATCAACAAACTCCTCAATATTGGTTGCAGAGCACCTCTTCTGCAAGTCAATTCGCATGTGGACGAGTCTGTTGCGGTTGGTGTTTCACTAATAATATACTGCCTCGCCGCCATGTCACCACGCACTTCTTTTTTTGGTTACCCTTCGTGGTGTTGATACGACGACATGCCATCTGCTTCCTTTGCTTAAACATTCTCAGTTTCGTCATCTGTCGGATTCATCCCTTTCGATTCCAACGTTTCCGGTTCTATTCATAATCCATTTTCTCTTCTTGGCTTGGTTTTCATCACGGTGTTGCTGAGTGAACAAGGGTTGGAAAGGATCCCTACCGTCTCCATTTTTCTATTGATTATGCTGTGCTTATTCTACATTTTATGCTGGGTTCATCTGGCGTCCAGCGTGGTTGCATTCTATTCTCTTTGTTCATATCCTGAAGTGTTTAATGCGAGCTCATCTGCAAAGATGGCTGCCTGCAAGGCAATTGCTGAAAGCAGGAGCATCGCTTGATGTAATTTCGCATCCACTTTGTGGGATTAGAGTATACGGATGGTTTACAGGGACAGGGGTAATCCTTAAAAAGTGATGTGTGAGCTCTATTTTCTTTTGAGGGGATGGGTGTTGACGGCCTTTGAACCTTGAAGCTTCGGCGCTAATTGTGCAGGGTTTGATTGCTTGTCTTTATTTCTCATTTGCACTTCTCCCCCCGCTGTTTCTGCTTTCGTTGTGTTCTTGTACATATGCATGGGCTTGTGGATCGGCTTCTATTGCAATCGAACTCCTGTTTGAGTTGCTTGCTAGCTTCGTAACCGTCTGCATTTTTTCCACGATGGCAATTCCATATTCAGAAAAGGCAGTGAACCTGCAAGTAGGCGAACAGATAACAAGCATATATTCTATTGGTAAGTATCAGGATCATCTATTCCGTATTGTCCGATCCCTGTACGGAGTATACCGGTGGGAGATAGAGAAAGGTGGTCTGATGACCAGGATTGGGCTGAAATGGACTGGCTCCTTGTACCTCGTCATGTTTTGATAATTGGTCTTGAGCTCTAATACTCGTCTGTTGGTTCGCAGTCAGTTGGTTTAATCGAGTGGATTGTCCATTCAACTTAATAACCACCAACATTACTCCATACACATAAACAGAGACAGCAATCAGGCCTGCCTGAATGGATCCGAGAGAATCAGGTCAAGGGTCGTAACCACGTCGGGTCCGATCGCTTTGGGCTGCCCATGGATGGGCGAGCTCTACAGTACATGCACCGCACGCGGCATGTTCAGTGAATTTCAGATTACAAGCAGAGAGTCTGAGATCTCAAAGGAATATGCTAACTGTTGCTAGATGAACATCTCCTGACATGCGAAGACGGCACTTATTGAAGCTTCCCGGCCGTGCGGTAGCACAACTCACGACAAGCTTCCGGAAGGATTCAATTCCGGGTACGACCAACTGCTTCATTCCTTGACACGGTTGATTATCGTCCGATGGCGACCAGAATTTGTGGGGCACAACGGAGTACATGACATCGATTTTGTAACTTTATACGGAGTAAAATGATGAAGTTGATGTATGGCATGTCATCCCCGCCATTTCTCGAGATGGAGGCCCTAGAGAATTGTCTATCGTAGTGGAAAAGCCCGTCCTATGTCGTTGAAAAGCCATGGATTCCAGGAAGATATTGATGGTGGTGACGGTGAGAGGGTTTACGCATGCTGGTAGGCGGTCTATATCCACCTGCTCGCCTCCTTTGTACCAATGAAAGCTTACACTCATAGGTCCAGCTCCCGTACTCCGTACTAGAGTTGGGGACAGTGTTGGCAGGAAGGGGTCACACTCTGGATTTTGCGACTCTTGAAGGTCAAGAGCATTGGCTAAAGGGCGATGAATATGTCAACCAGCTTCACTTGCTTGGTGCAGGTCCGACGGAGGAAGAATGAGATGCTCATTACTTGCATGTTCGGCATTGGGACGTCTCCAAAGGAATTTCTAGAGTAATGGCATCAAAATACCTTTTCGACTCGTACGGGGCGCAGACCTATGAGCATCTGAAGCCCATTGTGGAAAATCCTGCTACACGGCCGGATCTCCTTCTGGTAGATTTCTTCGTTGATGCAGCCAAGGACATCCTCTATCAGTTCAATGTGCCTTTGGCAATGGTTTTTCCCCAGATGCCAGCATTGATGGCTCCTTGTTCGTACATCCCAGGTCAACCAGGGTTTCAGATCGATGGAACCCTCACGTCAGAAAATGCATCCATTTGGTTGCGTATTCGAAACGAGCTCGTGCTCATTCACGCTTTACCAGCCATAATACGCTGGCGGAATTGGACAAACAAAATGCGCCACCGGGCGGGTGTCAAATATAACTTGCCAGTGGCTCCCAAACCTAACTATCTTGTTCTGATCAACTCTTTTTTTGGGCTCGAGGTGCCAAAAGATCTACCTCCATTGATAGCGCCTGTCGGGCCAATTTTGGCGGACGAATACTCGCCGCTGACAGAACCGTATGAATCATTCCTCCAGAATCACCCTAAAACTCTCTATCTTGCACTAGGTACCCACATCGCTCTGTCGGATACGGATACCGCCAAGTTGGTCAATGGCATGCTAATGGCCATGAAGAACGGCTTCATCAACGGTGTCATCTGGTCAGTCGGGAACAGCGGGCGAAGGGAATCCCAGCAGAATAGAGTATTTACCGATTCCCGAACCGGAAGTACGATATCGTTTGGATCTCTTTTAAAAGTAAGCATCCCGATGTCCTCTTTGCCACTTTTGCACCACAGCGGGCCATCCTGGATCACGAACATGCGCGGGTCTACCTTACTCATGGGGGCGGATCCAGCGCCAATGAGGGGCTCTTTCACGGCACGCCCATGGTCGTAATGGCTTTTGTTCCGATCAAATATCCAACTCGCCTCGTCTGGTTGCTAGTGGTGCTTCGATTGCCCTGAAAAAATTCCAGTTTACATCAGACGAGCTGAACGAGAAGATAGGGTTGTTGATGGAGGACAAGGATGGATTATACAGAAAAAACTGCGAGCGCATGAAGCACATTGCTCGCGTTGCCTCCCGCCGGAAGGAGCTCGGAGCTGACCTGATTGAGGAGCTTATCTATGATTCGGAGGCGAGATGGGATGGCCAGAAAGAACTTCGCCCGATGGACCTTCAGACTGCTGATATGAGGATGTCAGCATTCAAGGCGAAGAGCTGGCACCTCGTGCTAGTTTATACTGTGACTTTCGGTGTCTTATCTGGTGTTAGTTGGGCTGTGCGTAGCTTTACATGGGCGAATAGAGGTCTGACTCGTGCCTGGGTGCGATCAGCATTGGGCAAGCTCAAGTAGCAACCGAAACTCTTGTCCTTGCTTGTCATCATCTATCACTGTATATATACGTATGCCACTGGAATTATCCTTCAATATCATTTCATCCTGAAAGCGGTGTCGGTGGTCCAATATAACCAGAGAACTGAGAGAATACGGTGGTATTGACACTGATAGGCATTCATAAAAACATCTGATCTATGAGCATGGCATTTGTCCAACGCCCGAGATGTCGCTACCTTGCTAATATGTAGCTGTGAACGCCATTCCGGGTGACGCTGAGAGCGACGTCTCCGCGTTTCGGATAGTGCGGCGGCTGCAGCCCGCCGTATTTTAACGCCGTCCTTGTAACCTCGGCAGAGGCGACGGCTGGTCATCCACTTAAGTGATAATGGGCGGTTCATGGCAGTCTTTTCAGTCGTTGTACTCCGTAGCCCATCTGCAATGGGACTCGCGCACGGAACTTCGCAGGGTGCTGAATCTTTCTGATATTCTACGCCTGCACACAGCCACTAGAAATCCGGAGGGATGCCTTACGCCACTGACTGAAGACGGGATTAGAATCGTTAAATCCCATTATTATAAACCTCCCAAGAGCACATATCCAATATAAGGGCCTGGAATATGTCCCAGTCTTCTCCTTATTCTCCAAGTTGTCCCTTTTGTGGAATAGCTTCCGCCCATTCCCCTTGTCCGCCATCCACTCCAGCCCAAAGTTTACCGACACCAAATGAAAATCTATCACAAACGCATATAATTCTTTCGACAAAGCATGTACTCGCATTTCTTGATATTATGCCGCTGACGAGGGGCCATGTGCTGGTTATCCCGAGACGACATTTTCAGAATCTAGGGGAAGTGAGGGTCAACGAGGGAAGAGAGGTGGGAATTTCCTTTACCAGCCTGGTGATAGATTTGGATTGAGCGATCTATTTCATGGGCCATTTAAATACGTTTTGATCTTCCAGGAATGCTAGCTGACTGTTTTTACGCGTGGGGAGGAAACTGCAGCTTGGAAAATGGCTTCCTATCATCTCTAGGGTAGTTGTGAGAACAATATTAGGCACTCAGCCGGATGAACGCGGCGAAGATCCCGCACATTGGAATGTAGTGCAGAACAATGGTTTGTGTGTTTCCTCCCACTCAATATGACAGCCCGCATATAACTTCTGGAAAAGGTCTCCGTGCAGCGCAAACGGTTCCCCATGCGCATTTCCATATCATTCCGAGACCCCCTCTAGAAAGGATGACAGCATCCAAAACGAGTTGGGTAATGTTTGGCCGGGGTCAGCGCGATGAACTTGACGACGACGAAGGACAGAGACTGGCAGCTGAGTTAAGAACGGAACTTGCAAAAGAAGTCGCAAAAATTAAGGCAACGGAGGGCATTGACCTTGATGAAGATTGTTCCGAATCAGGGCCAAACATACCTCGAGCGGAGAAGCTGTGATCCATAGAGTTCTGGCTGTGTAAGACATATATGGTGCCATTCTTTGTTGTGCATATACCAATGTTTGTCATTCAGCCAATGCTCTTTTCATACATTTCTAAATTCCTTCAAGACATTCAATGACCTTTAATGTTGTGTCGCGGTGCGCTTTCAAGTTGCCCCTCAAGGGGTTGAACAACTGTTGGCTTTGGGTGTGAATCGTTGGAAGTACTATAATCATCCATTCAGTTCAATCTCTAGACAAGAATGGCGAAAATTGTGCGTACCCTTTTCCTGAAGGAATTCAACTCATCCGCTGTTGTTCCCGCGGGAACGATTTTGGCTCGAGGCTCAATGGCTGAGCCTTCGCCTTCTAGGCATCTTCGATATGTGAGTAATCTCCGGGACCCTAAATACATTATTAGATCGGAGTTTCTGCATATGTGTTCGGGGGGCTATCCATACATTTATTGAACTGCTGGACGCAAACACTAACTAGTTCCAAGTGTCGATTGGAAGGGATGGCAAGTTCTATATCTTCATCGTTTGCAGTAGGCATCCAGAAAGAAATCCGGCCGTTGGGGACCAGAGTTTGTGCTGCAAACTCCAAAATATCGTTCAACATGGCTTCAAAACTATAAGGCTTTTTAGGAGGAATGTAACCCTCTAAGCTATTACCTTGTTAGCCAGAGACACGAGTTATTATTAAGTTGGCTACTCTCGTACGTATATGTTGGTACCCCATCCACGTAAACAGGTCCTACATTCTTTCCTTCTCTCGTTCCAAGGACTTTCAATCCTTCACGTATACCGTACGGGGGATCACATATGATCCCATCAAATATTGGCATATTGCGAAAGGGAGTGTTTGTCAAATCGGAGGTAAAGGCGTCTAGGTAATTGGCCTCTAAGCCATATTGAAGCATGTTCCTCACGAGACCGATGGGCTTTCCTTCCTCCTTTTGGCCTTTGAAGCTGCGCGCATCAATATCCGAACCAAAGGTGAAGGCCCCAAAATGTGCTGCGGCGACACAGAAACTTCCGGTTCCAACGAAAGGATCATAAAACACTTTTCCGGGGGCGGCGAGGGTAATGTTGGCAGAGACCAAGCTCAGTTCAGCGTCCATAGACGTAGTACTAATATAACTTCTCTTTTTTAAGTCGTATTTGTCCATCACATCTCTGCTGCCGCTAGCTAGCCACCTGCCAAAATATAACTTTGTAGGCTCTGGCTGAGGACTTGGAGTCCGAGACGTCTTGTCCCTAGACGAAGCTACGCGATGGTCATACAATTCAAAGATGATAAAGGTCTCATCTGGATCGGCCATAATGATCGGCCCTTCAAACGCCATGTATCCAAATGACTGAATCAGGGGAATTTTCTCTTTGGACGTCCGCTTCCCAGCATACGAGTCAAAGTCAAATTTGAAGGAGCAGGTCCTATAATCGGGCCATTTTGACTCGGTGCGCCGTCGGACATCTTCATGTAACTCTTGATAGTTCTGGCCTTTGCCCCATAGCTCATAAAGAGACTTTACCAATACGCTACGGGAGACGAGCGCCCGAGCTGCTTTTTCATCTGGCACTTTTATAATACAGAAGGGGGACTGGAAATTATCTTAGCACCTGCAATATTCCGCCAATAAACCAATTTCAATGTTGCATACAATAATATCCAGGCAGTCGACTTACTTCCTCGTCATACTCAACAATCTCCAAATCCACATTTGACACAATGGCAAGGGCTTCGATTTCCGATCTCCTAAAAGACTCATGAACTTGCGCGAAACGGACCAAATACTCCATGTTTCCGTGCAGTGCCTCGCCTAAATTTCTCCTTTCTAAATGCGTACGTGCTTGAAAGGGTTGAGTGGCAGCGTCCATCATCGATTCCCCGCGGATCTTTTGCCCCTCCAAAAGGATGCATTTTGATGCCAAGCATTTCTCCGAAAATGGATTAGTGTCACCAGTCCTAGTCCAGTCTATATTAGGTTAGAGTAAAATTCGGCGCCTCTGCACCAGAAGCCGGGAGGAGAATCAACTATCCGATACATCCTCCGACCTCACTTTTCCATGTCTGCGATTACGCAGAATCAAACACGAGCTGTCTTAAAAGTCGAAGCGCCCTCGGAGATACAGTTCGCCCCCTGTCAAAATGAGAATACGATATCTGGGTCCCGGAACACCTCGGGACGGTGTTTCATTTAGGAACCTTTGCCTTGGAAGCCAGTGCTGACTCATCCTCAGAACCGTGGTCGATGACGTCGTATTGCTGACAATTTACTCCGTAGTTGAAGAGAATGTCCGGCCCAGGCACCGAGAGGCGAAAGTTGACGCCGGGAAAGGTTGTGAACCTACCGCGAGTTTTTCATCCGGATATAACCAAGATGTGCTTTCTCTTGATCAATTCTGTTTAACTTGATAAACAAAGGGGTTTCTTTGGCCGATATACTCCCGTCAAATGGACCGTTTTGAGGATGTCGAATTGAATGACAACTATGGCTCCGATAGCAATAGGGAGTTGGGAGATAATTGCACCGCAGCTACTAGCAATGCCAGAAATCGGCCATGTTCAAATTTACGGCCGGGATCAATGGGTTGTCGTCCCGAACGACGGCCGAGTATACGGCTTATGCGCCTACCGAATACTCAACACCTTCTTGTGCAGCCAGTACTGCCAGGTTCTGATCCGGATCATGGCTCCAATTTGGCATCCGAACTGCTAGGCGCTAGGCGTCGAAGTAGCTCTGAACCTAGGCGTATCCCACTAAGCGCGTTGCTTGGTAAACGTCGTGCGTCTTTTGGACGAAGCCCAGCGCCAATGTTACCATTAGATGAAGAATTGGGGCCCCAATCTTCCAAATCAACTCAGAAAGACCAAGTCCTCCAGCCAACAGAGCCACAGGCTGTGATCCTCAGTCCTATCGAGAACAGACAAGCCACAAGCAGCTTTAGGCAAGGAAGAATTAGGAGGATGAGTAGCGGGGCCCGTTCGATGCTAGGATTGAGTCGTGTTGCCACTCACAATGGAGCTATTGAAGCTCCATCTCTTCCTCAGGGAGAGTATGAAGCGGATGTGGTGAATTTGCTGGACGTTGTTGGTGAGTTGGATATGGCCGTAGCTGTCAAGAATCCTGATGATTGACCTGAGTATAGACCCTGAAGTGTCCACCATCACGACCCTTACCAATGTTCAAAACTCTCTCTTTGTCCCTGACCTTGGACATTGGGTAAACCGTCGACCCACTTATACTGTGAGTCCTGGCCCAACCCGTGGCCATGTCGAGATGGAACGACCGGCAGTGCCCCAAAAAAGAAAGGAAGATAGGGGCGAGCAAAAGCTTGAACGGTCAAGAACAATGGATACAATTACGTCGACACTGAGCGATTCTCGGTTCGCTGTATTGCCGGATGGCGTGTCTTTGGAAGGCTGGAGTGCCGAAGATAAAAGAGCATTGGACGACCACGTCCGACATATGCTTCACTCGCGAAGATCTGCCTTCAAACGCGGTTTAAAGGGCTTCATTAAATACGTCAAAAAGCGTGAGTAGCCCTCATTTGCTCTGAAATCTAAGCTAATTGAGCCTATCAAGCCCTTGGATTTTTGGTCACTTTGTACGCAACACTCATTACGCTTTTTGGTCTGGCCTGGGTACTGTTCTTAATCGGTAAGGATGACACCTGAACTCGACTCTGCTCAAAACTCACTTGGGTCTTTTAGGTTGGATCAATGTTGGTGGGAAGCAGCTTTACGTCATTAATATCATCGACTACATCCTCGTCGCCCTATTCGCCATCGTAGGCGATGGCCTGGCTCCCTTCAGAGCCATCGACACATACCACATGATCTATGTCGCTCACTACCACCGCGTTACCTATAAACTCCGCCGCAAGCAACAGCTTCCTAAACTTCGAAACAAAAACGACCTCCCAGAACGCCGCGAGGAAGAAATAGACCAACATGTCGACGTCGAAAAGTCTGGAGAAACCACCAAAGATTCGGACACGACAGAATTGTCCGTCCTCACTGCAAGACAACAGGAGCGTCTCACTCACCATGCGAACAAACTCGCCAAATCACATACATTCTACAAGCCTCACGAAACCACGACCCACCACGCATTCCCTTTACGTATGTTGATTGCAGTCATTATCTTGCTAGATTTCCACTCCTTGTTCCAAATCGCACTCGGCGCTACAACGTGGGGGATTGACTACCGCCGTCGCCCCTTTGCGCTCACCACGGTGATCCTATGTTGCTCCCTGACTTGTAATTTTACTGCAGGGTTGTTGATATGGATTGGGGATCGACGAACAAGAAAGAAAGATGTTATTGAGAAGATGTTTAGGCAGGAGTTGACGGAGCAGGCTATTTTGAAGTTGCAAAAGAAGAAAAGTAAGAAGAGAGAGGAAGAGAATGTAAGAGAGGGGAAAAAGCAAGGGGAAGAAGAAGAAGAAGACCATACAGGGCCCTTAAGTGAGGAGCATGCGTTGTTAAAGAGATGAACTTTCAGTCTAATTCCAATATTTTAACTGCTTGGGGGGAGGTTGGTTTTTGACTTTAGAGATACCAGGTTGGCGCATCTTCGGCAAGTCCAGGAAATGATTTGGCAAATCATGTATATACAAATTTTAGAAAATGCAATGCCGTCTATTGACTATGAAATCAAAATCATAATAATCGGTAATCGCAAACATAAACTGATACTCGACCCGAATCCTTGACGCCAAGCATCCAAAATAGGTGCAAACCACGTAGAAGACGAATGATTCATGACGCCTGCTGGGAATCTCTTGTAAAAATGACTTTAACACCGACAAAAAAGCTTCCATCCCTTCATGCGAGATCTTTGAAGGATAAATCTATGACCGAATGTCGCCCGCACAAAAACAATTCATTGTAAACCCGCCAACGCCAGTGAAAAACAAAAGGAAACAAAAGAAGAGTCCGCTATGTGGTCTCAGCAGTAAATCGATACCGAGACGTGAAACCATTTTCTTTCTCGACCTGGATATGCTGTTCGGCGGGGATCATCTCATGCTGTAAATCCCATCCGGCGCGTCGACAGAGTTCGGCAACAACAACATCGCTGTCGCCTAACATATCGATGTCAAAGTCTATATGAGTAACAGGCTAATATCCAGCGCTAGTTAGAAGGCAAAATGACACGTTCATATGGAAGGTTGTCTTGACTTACTGTCCGAGAAATAAATAGTTGTGGGACATCACGTGGCATAATCCCGGGCACTTCAGAAACAGGGGCAACCTTCAATGATGTCCCGATAACTATGACAAGATCGGCAATCTCCCGATCGTGGTCTATGAGGCGATCCCTGAAAGCGCCAGGGAGGTCTTCCCCGAAAAAAGTAATATCAGGCTAGAACGCGTCAGCGGATGGAGAGCTCATTATAAAGGGATATCTACCTTCATGATGCCCGGATGTGGTATAGTGTAGTCATCGTCATCGTCGTCAGAATCGATATTCGAAAATTTCTTTCGATCTTTTTTCTGATTTCCATTTGAGCTGCGTTTCCGCTTCATCCCTTGAGATGTTTTGAGCTGCTTTAGGCATTCTTGGCACTGTGGAACTAATCCCTTACGAGTTTCCTCGAAAATGGCCTCTCCTGGCACCTGGGTCTTGCACTGAATGCAAGTGGCAGTGGCAAAAGAACCATGACACTGAATTAGCTTAGATGGGAGGATTCCGGCGTTGGCTTCCACGTTATCGATGTTTTGGGTGAAGTTAGTGAGCAGTTTTCCCTTTTCTTGAAGTAGCTTGATAAACGCGTGGGTCGGCGAGAATCTCTTTTCTGTTGGTAAAATATCCTTCGCAACAGAATAAAAGATGGTTGGGTCTTCAAGGAACAAGCCAATATCAAATACCTCTTGTGGATCATTGAGTCCAAGGTATTGGAGCTTTGCATACAAGCCAATATCCTTCGATCTAAAATCAGGAATCCCTAAGCTTGTAGAAATCTGTATTCAGGGTAATTAGCTTGCCTGCATACTCCTAGAATACTTAGGGGTATCTTACGCCGGCACCAGTCAAAACAATAATGTTCTTTGATCGCTTCAGAAGCTCGACAGCATCATCAATGGTATTGTATTGTGGGAGTTTCAAGCGCTTGGAATATTCACGGTTTATGCCCATATATAAAGGGTTGAGATAGACATCATCGGGCGCGCCCTCAAGAAAAACTGGGGGGATAATTCCAAACGCTGTGCAGAGTTTCTTTGCTGGGATCTTGTCATGGTAAATTTTTTCCGCAAGGAATGCTGCCACACCAATTTCACGCAAGCGTTTGCGAAGGGCTCGCGCTTCTTCCAGTGTGAATGCATCCGGAATTACTGAATACCACCATTTAAGTTAGCTATTTGAATCCGGATGGGGTACAACTAAGGATAGGAAGGGCATACCTCCGTCGCGGAGTTGTTCGTCGCTCAAGAACTGAACCGCTTCCTCGAAGATAGATTCTGTCTCCCACTGATCATCAGAAGCCTCTCCGAGACTTGACAACTCCGAAAGAGACGCGTCGTCGTCGCTCTCTGGCACTTCTCGAGCCTCACTGGCGACGCGGGAGTGAACGACAACCGAGTCCAGAATTTCTCTTTTCGGAGGCATCTCGTTATCTGCTGGCTTCGGCGCGACATCCATGGTGAAGGATCAGGATGTATCACGACCTTCGCCAGGCAGAGGTGAAGACATCACATTCAGGAGATATATATGCGAGAGCCTCCTGAGGTTGAAGGAATGCGATCCCGACCGGAGCTACGGATTATCCGGACTTGGCTTAAACTTTCCGCCAATAACGATCGTCTTTGACCCCCGGAATGTACCTTTCTACGTAGTTTACGCGGGAGAGTACTCCGTACCTCGGTGAAGGTACAAAACCACTTCGATGTTGGAATCAGTCCCAGACACGGCAGCACAATTGCGGGATATCATTAGGCTTCATTAGTCCTTCGTCACTGTTTTTTTTATAGATCCCTTTCAAGTGTCTATCATTTCGTCATCAGAATCTGATTCGCCTTCAATTTCGTCTTCCCACTCATCCTCATCCCCAGCCTCTGCCTCATCGTCACTCTCTTCGATGAAGTCCGCAAGGTCCCGTTCCAGCTCTTGGACAAGTTCTAAAGCATGCTCCTTCAATCTTGCATCTTCATATTGCACAATATCAAAGAGTTTCAGGCTTTGCCTGAGCCAACCCCGACTTGACAGCAAAATAGCACGTTGCTGCTCGGCGACGGCTTCGTTAACAGCACCAGCAGATTGCTCTTGGGTTTTCTTGCCTAGCAAGTATTGACACCATCCACCAAGATACCAGGTCTCTATACTTTGGTCGTCTTCGAGGATCATTCGCTCCAGAACCTCCAACGCCTCCCTTTCCATTTCGGCCTCCATTAGAAGCCTCGAGAGACTGACCCGAACAGGGAAGTCAGGAACATTAGGGCTGTCAGGAGGCAAATCTTTCCATAACTCTAAACTTCTTAATAGAGCAGTCTTCGCGTCATCGTGCCGAAGCTGTGATATTCTGATTGATGCAAGTGTCTGAAGGCATTCAGGAGATTCGGGGGCCATCAAGAGGGCTTCTGTGATGAGCGTTTCACATCTGCTCTCGGCATCTTCCTCCCAACTGGCTTCGTGTTAGTGGTAAAAATCCATCAGCGGTTCCACGTAGACTCACGATAAGTCGGTCATGTAAATTTCAATGACTCCACAAAGCGCGTTGGCCATCTTCTTTTTCTGCTCCTCCAGCCCATCCGCCTGCTCTATGCTCATATTTTCTTCGAGAGCCTGTATGTTCTTTCGCAGCACCGTAACTCCTCGTTCGAACCACCTCACACTATCTTTACCGCCATCTTCACTCAATTGCGCTAGCCACAAGAATTTCTCTGCTCCTCCACCTTGGGACTCGGGTATAAGGCCTTCGGGATCGAGCGTAACAGCGCGCAAAAAGTGCTCTCTAGCAGCATCAATGTCTCCTAACTCAACATATATCTCTCCAGCCAGGTTTAACCCAATCAATGTGTTAGGAGACGCAGGGGGCGCGATTCTCAAGCCTCGTTCGACGAGGACGAGTGCTTCATCTGGTTGTCCGGTTTGAAGGAGGGCAAGCGCCTGCTCGTATAAGACTGAAGGATCTTCAGTCACTTTCTCTTTTTGCACTGCTCGTGTGCCATTTAATACTGATTTTTCCTTTCTTTTCGATTTCTTTTTCGAAGGCCTGGTTTTGGCCATGGCCAGTACGGGGTCAGCGTCGTAACGGGGATTTCGGCCGTCGCAAACAAGCTCTTCGAGCTCCGGTCATAGAATTTCTTTCTTTAATGTAGCTGGGCAATCCGGCAGAGAAATATAATATGTATTAAGGATTTAACGAGTTGGATTGGGTGTTAAAGATGATGTTTAGCAGGACTCGAAAAATTGTAACTAGCAGCTATTGGTCGTAGAAATTCAAATTTATGTTTGGCAGGTTTGTCTTCTGACGACATGGGGAAGAACATGACGAGGGGCTTCAAAAAGCGCTTTGTCGTCTCTCCAAAACGCTCCACCGTCTCTTCTTCCTCTGTTGGGCGTCTTTATGAAGATCGCGCGTGCTCGCCTCTACCCAGAAAACCTTAATACCTATTCTTTTGGATTCCCCGGTCCAGATACAGGCTAGGAAGTAACAGTAGAGCCAGCAACATGGGCCGCGCCGACCAAGAGGAAGAAAGGGAGACACTAAAGTCCATTTTCCCGGACGAAATTACAGGTGTGCAGCCTAGCTTCAATTTTCCTGAGGCAGGTGGTTAACTAGTATTTGCAGATATATCAGAACATACGTACCGGATATCAATCGTTCTAGACGTCAGCCATCATGGGGAAGACTACTCCGATCCTCCAGTTCTCATTCTTCAAGTAACCTATCCGGAAGATTACCCTGATGTCGCTCCTCACCTTGAAATATCCGCCCCTCCTAATGCCCCGAAATACCCACATCTTGATATACAGGAGGATCGAGATCGACTTCTAGAGTCACTTCAAACTACAATTGAAGAGAATCTGGGAATGCAGATGATATTTACGCTCGTCGATATGCTGAAAGAGGGTGCGGAGCTACTTATTTCAGAGCGTCGCGAAGCCATTCAAGCGTTAAAAGAATTTGAAGCGGCCAAAGCGGAGGAAGAGGAGAACCGAAAATTCCAGGGTGAGGCTGTGACAAGAGAAAGCTTCCTTGCATGGCGGGAGAATTTCCAGAAGGAGATAGAAGAAGAAGAAAAGAGGAAACAGGAGGAACGAGAAGCAGAGGAGAAAAAGAAGAAAGGAGCTACTAAAGAGCCGAAAAAACTCACCGGCAAACAGCTATGGGAGAGGGGCCTTGCTGGAAAGGCAGATTATGACGAGGAGGATCCGTTACCGGCAAAATTAGCTAGTGTGGACTTAAAAGCATGACAAGTGCTCCAACGCTGCCAGGGATTTTACGGCGAGCCGGTTGAAACGAGATGCGCGATCTCTTCAGATTTGGATATATTATAGCGCTGAACTTTCTTCTGTTCATACAGTACACCCTTCGAGGCGCAGAATACAAGTCATGCCTTCCTCGTGCTGCCGCTGATAGATTTTATTATTGATAGGATTCACATTAATCCTAGTATTGCACCACTTTCTTACGAGTAAATATATATATTTGATGCCGTCCTGTTTCTTGAATTGAGCTGGTGTTATCCACAATAGCCTGTAGCCATACTCTTTACAAACCTGTAGAGCATGGAGCATTTGACCACGGGGCAGCCACCCAATAACTGCTACGCGAGAAAGTCAAAGCCATATTAGTATTATTGTCTCCGGCTTACCAATTCTAGCGCTGTAGTCCTTTTAGCCGAGAGCCCCGAATCTAGTGTCTTGTTGAGTGAGCTTGTAATGCCCGTTGAACGACGGTTCGGCTTCTTGTCACTATCGAATGATAATATAAATGGTCCCAGCCATTTCGTTCTTTGGAGACAAGGTCAACGACTGCGTATTCGGAACACATAAGAATGTCTTGCCCAGGCATGTTCGCCACTTATCTCATGGAAAAAGGCCCAATCACAACGATTCTAGACACACAGCAGGAGCTGCATTCCCTAAGGGAGCTGACCCCGCCAGATAGGCTTGTAGACGGAGTATTAACGAGAAGAAGGCCGATCTGGAGCTGGGAATTTCCGCGAAGGTAGCAAAGGCTGAAAACCTCGAGCTTAACGTCCACCCAATGCCGTAGGGATTTAACATTTACTCGCTCTTCGCTTGTTGTTCGGATGGCGTCTTCTGCCTCCTCTCCAGAGCTTCCTTCTTTGCCAATTCCCTTTCCTTCAATACTATCTCCCACATTCTCTGAGCCATCGCTCTGTTTTTCCGGTCTGCTTCTAATATTATGGTGTTGACCTCATGTAGACTCTCTTTTACAGTTCCTTCCCAAGATAAGATATCGCTCTGCCCTGTAAGCGCATCCCAGCGATCCTCATCCCGTGCACGTACAAGCTCAAGCTCCAGTCGATCACGCCTCTCAATTCGTTTCCAGCGCCTATTCAGCAAGCTCCTAATCGTGCAGCTCAAGCTGGGAGGCTGCGGTTTCTTAATCCGCAAGAAAGGAATACCGCGTGCATTAACTAGCACAGGGACATGACGCCTACCACTCACTACTGGCCTTGGTCGGGAAAGAATCGAAATTCTCTCGGGGTGTGGGCGACGAGCTTCCGGGCGTCGATTGGCCCTTTCCTTCGCAGCCAACGAGGTGCGATCTGGCGGCGGCGTATTCGCAGCCTGATCACGGCGTTCTTGTAGGGTCTGCTGCAGGAGAGACTTCGTTGCGGCGAGCAAAGAATCGACGCGCTGGTTGCTTTGCTTATTTCCACCCGAGCAAGCCTGGAATAGATCAAGGGCCTGGGAGAGATTGTCGTTAGCGCCTTCACTTTCCCATTTCTTATAAAGAAGTGGGTGATAGCGTACTTCCTGCCCTGCTTTCAAAGCATTGGCTATTTTGCTTATGCTTTGTAGCTTTTGGTCCTTGCGGAACCTGGTTCTTATAAGTTCACGGACTTCATCTGCTTTACTACTCGTAAATGCCCGGGAACAGCTGGAGAGCAGTGCATGATAAAGTGAAAGACCTGTAAGTACTCGTTAGAGTTACGGAGAAAATACTTGTCGTCGATATGAGCCGGGCGAGAGCATACATGCGAGCCGATGCACTCCTGAACGGGTGGGAGCTAAATGCCGGGGCATTCGGAGCGACCACTGATGTTGTATATTTTGATCCTTAAACAATATTCATCGGGCTTACGGAGTACATGCCGACCGCATTCGCCATTTGAGCGGTGTCGAACAATCAATGTCCAGCGCTCTTCGGTGAACTCGTCGTCACAATTAACTAGCCATATCCGGCTTAGCGTAAATCTTGACTTGCGCCGGGCCAAACCCCCTTTTCGGGAATCGGCAAATTATAAGTTCCCCGGCGTCTGCAGCCATCTGCCTCTGGTCTGTAGATGATGGAAGTACCGAGTATGTTCAGTCCACCGTAGTATAAGGGGCATAGAAGATATTTTATGTACGGAGCATTCCGTAGTTTCTACGCAAATTGAGATGGCTGTACTTTGGGCTGCGGCATTTGCTCCTCATTATTCACACATAAAGACTAAACTAGTGGCTATGCCTCAAGGAGGGTGAGAGGAGGAATGTAAGCCGTTGTAGAGGAGATATGAAAAGAACTTCCGGTTTGACCAAAATCAATGCTCAAGCTACTCATTAAATTCATTATCAAGTGGTGTGTTGTGTTCTAAGCCAATGTTAGAAAGGGGGAGAGAGAACTTTGACAGGAACTCTATGGTCATCGAAGCGCAAAGACATATATGACGGCAATGGAAAACGTATGATAAATTTTCTGTAGCGTCATCTTGGTTGGGTAATATCCGACTCTAAAGCCAGAAGTTAATACCCGTTGCCGACCCGGGCTTCTGGCTGCTCTCGTTCGATACGGCTGAATATGAGTATTACTGTAGAATACAGAGGTTCCATTCTAAGCAGAGACTCGGGGACTATGAGGATGTCCCGTACTCGAGCCTAAAATGTAGCCCCTTCCGGTGGTTGTGGGAGCTTCTTATGTTGTGGTAGGGCCATGTATCTTGCAGAAGCTGATTAGCCACGTCCCCTAGCCTGTTATCCAAGGAAAAATTTCACCTACCTTCTAAGTTCAAGAAGGATAGTCTCCATTGTGAATTCTCGCTTCCATTCAGCCAGGCAAGGTAGTCTTGATGGATCAACCTAGAATACCGAATTCCGTTACCAGGGTTCCGCCGGGGTAGTTTATCTGCAGGTTGGCTTAATATGTACCTTTCCGGAGCGCGGGTCAACGCATGGCAGATTTATCCGAGAGACAAACTGAATTAAAGGTGGAGCGTCGGGGTAGTCATCACCACAGCGGATGTTAACGCTGTATATACGATTTTCATGTACGCTCTAGACGTGTAGGTGTTAGGCCACGTTCGCTTTTCTATGGGTAGGAAGGTTGGGCAGACATGAGGGGGTCCGAGAATTGTGCCGTTCCAGTTTCTCATCATAATATCCTCACCATCAGCCAGGCCATATGAACATGCCTCTGTCAAGAGCGTCAGAAAGAGGAACCTTCAGCGTTATCGGGGTTCAACGACGGAACTCGTGGAGACCTCACCTGGACCCAGACCCTTCTCGCCCTTCTCTAGCTCCTCTAGAAGACGGAAATTTCGTGGAACCTTCGCCGTCATGATCGCGGATGATGTTGAAGTAGGATCAGAGAGGGGGCTTCTAAGACTCGAAGAGGGGTGCCTCGCACCACAAGCTGCGGCCATACAAAGTTTAATGTGGCAGCAGTGAATGGCGTACGGCGAACTGCAGCATCCGGCCCTGCGGCGCTGCGTCATTGCAGCCGGAGTCCGTTATCTAGTCCTATTACGGCCTAGTGTCTTTTGTTTTAGGATACCTGGTCTTGGCAGAGCGAGCGCCGAACTGCCCATGAGTGACATCTGGACTTCCGGATCTGGTTGCTTCTATAGTTTCGTCAACGTCGCCTTTCACCGCAACTCGAGCTGTTGGAACCGTAAAAGGCCCCTTTCACATAAGCCTTAACATCACCGGACGAAATCTTTTAGACCCGAGATTACTTAATACCAAAATAGCAGGCGAACCCTGCAATTCAACATCATCTTTAGACATATACCAAAAGCCACGTACGAATGTACAATGCTGGCGTCCTATACCTGACATGACTTCTCAATTTTTCCAAGGAGAACTATCCACTTTGATCCAAGAATCCAAAAGGAAAAACTCTGACCTTAGAAATGTTTGTGTTCAAGCCCAGATGTTATCCCTGAGTCTCCGACCAGTCTCAAACTTACCAGGCAATTAGGCGGCAGAAAAATCCCTCGGTGAACTTAAGGCTCTGCCATCAACTTCAGAGGTTCAATTGGCGGCAGGTTCGGGATATCTGACACAGTGCCTTCTTTCTCATTCACTGCTGACCAGCCAAGAGACTTGGTACGAAGGCCGCAGTTTGCGAACCCGTTTATTCTAGCCTGCCATACTCGCCATGCCAAACTTGCGGCAGTAGGGGTGGGCTGCATCCATAGGCTTGTAGCCTCCGGAGCATTGCCGTCTGAACAGCTTAAAGATGTCGTGGATGGTTTGCACGAAACCACAAATCTAAGTACGACACCAGCTCCAGACGTCTTTGCATACCTTTTCTAATACCTCTCCAGGTCTTGATGTACAGCTCAAAGTTCTCCAAACATTACCCTCGCTGTTCCAACGGCATGCAGGCAGCCTGAGCGGTCAACTTCTAGCCAAGACACTGGAAATATGTGCAACGATGCAGACAGTGAAAACAATAACAGTTGCCAATACGGCTGCAGCAACCCTTCAGCAGCTTGTGGTATCTGTCTTTGAAAAGGCTGTCAAAGAAGACGGTGCGTCAATTCCAACTTGGCCCAATCATACTAATGAAATGTACTAATTTCAAACAGAAGCCTCAACGGACACTACCCCGGTATCTGTCTCACTAGGAAACGAAAAGGTTGATATCTCGGCGGCAAATTATGACGCTTGCCGAGTAAGTAGGTTCCATGGTAATTCTTTCAATTCAGATCTGATCTCGCATTTAGCTACTCGACGATCTTTGCCGGCTTGTTGAAGGCGAAAGCCTTAGATATCTAAGCATAAAGCCTCTGTCTAAAATATTTGTCCTGGAGTTAATTGAAAGCATTTTTATCAACAATAATGACATCTTCGAGAGTCATCCAGAACATGCCTATATTCTCCGATACCGTTTAATGCCGTTAATAGTGAGGATTTTGTCTGAACGACACAGCTTCCCGGTTACAGTCCGCGTTTCAAGGATATTATTGCACTTACTGAGATCTCACTTGCGCCTTTTAGCTGCAGAGTCGGAAGTAGCTTTGAGTCTTCTCATTCATTTACTCGATACTGATGCCTCGCCACCCTGGAAACGTGCCATATCCATGGAAATATTTAGGGTCTTATATGCAGAACCAGGGCTAATAAGACTCATTTTTCGCTTATTTGACGAGAATGAGGAGCGGAAAAACATCCTTAAGGACCATATGGCTTGTCTGGTACGGCTGGCTGCAGAAAAGCCATCACTCATAGGTTTAAGCCACCAGTCAACAGTTCCAACAGCTCCTGAATCATCTGGGGAAACTCTTGAAGATCAGGTTGCGCTCGAAGCCGTTGGGGTTGCGGGCGTAATTGGAAGCCCTTCGACTAGTGCAGATGCATGCGGAATCAGTAGTCAGTGGAGTTTACTGCGCGCCCCATATATTGAAACATTGGAGAAACTAGAGGCACCAAGCCCCCCGGAGACCTATATTTACAGCCTTATTCTCAACTGTATCAGCGCACTTTCCGATAGCATCGCGAAATTCATCCTTCCCCTAGCGGTTGCCGAGACAAAAAGCAGGCGGAGACGACACGGCTCGTCATCTAATAACACTAGTGGGACCATCCCTGAAGAAAAGGCAGCCGCTGGCGAACCGAGAAGCTCAAAATATGTTTCCGTTCCGCTGAATCCGCTTAGCCTCAAATCTCATCCACAGATCGGGGAAATTCAGATTGTGGCAGGAATAATCGATGCTTGCTGGCCTGCTGTTCTTGCTACCTCTTCAACTTTCCTGTACGCTGCCTTGGACGGTGATTTCTACCATAACCTAGTCCGCGCTTTTCAAAGGCTAGCCCATGTTGCTGGCCTCTTGAGATTAAAGACACCAAGGGACGCGTTTCTCACCACCCTTGGAAAAGCTGCAGTCCCTGCCGACGTTGTGAATATTACATCAGCCGCGACATTATCTCCTAGGACCGACGATCACCATCTATCGGCTCCTGAATCTCCTATTCCAAAGTCCCCACGCGTCGCTGAACTAACCAGCACCTCCATGGAAAATCAAGGCGCAACACTGAATACACGAAACCTCTTATGCCTTCGGGCGCTGCTGAACCTGGGAATAGCCTTAGGCCCAACTCTTGACCAAGAGTCCTGGTCTATAATCCTTCAGACGCTGCAGCATGCAGATCTGATAACCGGAGTATCCGCTACTCCAGCCTCCAAACTGCTTGCTCCGGATCAAAATGGCGACCCCGTCAGTGTGGAATCACTCAAAGGGACACTTGGGAACGAAATCCTAGCCGTTCGAACGGCAGCAGCCAAAATGCTTGAAAACACACAAGATTACCCGAACAAATCGCTAAAAACATTTTTGCTTTCCCTACTCAACCTATCAGAACGTACGGAAGAATCGAAATGGAGCGGGATTAAAAAAGAAGCCGGTGCACCTTCTTCCCAAGTCGGTCAACAGACAGGACGGATCCATCAAACAAAACGCAGCATGTCCATTGCATTGGGTCGGTCAAGAATTAGGGAGGATGAATTGAAATTTGTTCTAAATAAAATGGGCGAATTGGCGAAATCAAACGCTGAAAGACTCGCAACGACTGCCGACAGCGAAGATATTTGGGATATGACTACGAGTAATCTGATTTCAATCACCAGTGATGAGCAAATCAGTCTTTCTCTCCGCTCAAAAGCTAGCGAGGTGCTCAACAAGCTTGTATTGGACACAATCAAAATTGCAAACCCCTTGAACCCTTCGGAACGAGACCGAGTCCAACTTCGTGGTCTCCGTGCCTTAGTAACTGAGATCTCCATACTTTATGAGACTGAGCTTCATTTTAACTCGAAAGCACGTGGTACAGATTTCCAACTGCATGAATTTGCTCTTGAGACGCTCAAAGCTATACTAGAAGAGTGCGGCGACTCTATAACGGCGGGATGGGACCTGGTTTTTGCCATAATATCAACGGTGTTCAACAGGCGAAAGTCCCAAAATCGGAATAGGGAGGCCCCTTCCTCTAGTCTAGCCACCATTAGCGACTCCGAAGCGGTGCTTGTGAGGTCCCCAAAGCTCGTTCGAACCGCTTATGACTCCCTCCAGCTTGTGGCCTCGGATTTCTTAGGTTTACTACCTGCTTCTTGCCTCCTTGAGTTAGTGGAAACATTTTCTTGCTTTACTTCTCAGCAAGAAGACTTTAACATTTCGCTTACTACAACCACATTCTTCTGGAATATTTCTGATTTTATCCGAGGCCAGATTGGTAACTTTGCCATAGCGGATGAAATTGATGTCGCATCCAGCGAAGAGAACTTAGCTAAAATGGCCACGGCTACTGACTCATCATCATCGAGACATGCACTATGGCTATTATTGCTTCTTAATCTCGTGCATCTTGCAACTGATAGTCGCACGGAAATACGCAATAGCGCCATTCAAACCCTTCTTCGAATATTCGAGCACTACGGCGAACAGATAACGCCCAATGCATGGCATTTGTGTTTAAACCGTGTTTTACTTATGATGGCGGAGTCTGTTCAGCAGAAGTTGCAAGAGGCGTTGGAATCTACTGAAAGTGGAAACGCCGATGACCAAAAAGCCTGGACTGAAACAGCCGTGCTCGTTACAAGAGGGTTTTCAAGCCTTATCGCCGGATTTTTTGACGCGATTATTCAGTATCCAAGCTTTCGGGAATCATGGAGCCGGCTGCTACAATACTTTCGCAATATCCTCAATTCTAGCCAACTAGAGTTACAAAGTACTACCTTCGCAAGTTTCGCAGACGTGCTTCATCGCATCAAGGGATACCAGGATATTGGCCGAGAGGCGCTGGAAAAAGCCTGGTCAGTCTGGGTTGCTAATCATCCTTCCACTAAAGGCCACGATTCCGAGAAATCGAACCAGGAAGCCCTGCTAGCCTACTTGAACACATATAAGCAACTCTACCGGCTGCTTGGAAATAACTTGAACGATGAAGAAATTGTTAACATTTTAAGGAACCTTCAGTTTTGTGTGTGGGAGTCAGTCACTTCCCGATACTCTTCGGACTTGGAACGTCAATCGGAAGTTCAGAGGTCTGTAATCGAATGCTTAAGAACTCTTTGCTCGGATAAACCGGATTCTCAACGTGCAATAATAAATTATCTGGGACAATTCGCCGATAGCGCCTTGACGAGATGGTCGTCCACGGATCCAAAGGAAAAGCCAACGTTTGTCGCCTTTTCGAAGGCATCTATGCAGCTCTTGAGCCAGTATATTACAAATCAGGGGATAAATATAAATGTTCTATTGGGGAATACGCTGAGTGAGGCAGTCAAACATCTGGTGAATGCGATTCTACATAAGTATATCTGGAAGGGGAAAGATTGCGACCCGCCCCTTTGGCAAATTGCGACGACGGCTTCATTAGACATTCTTGAAATTGCCATTCCATCTATAGAGAAGGAATATGAGCAGATTCCGCTGGATGTGGTTGCAAACTTCTGGCTTCCGGTCGTTGATTTAACTCGCGGTATTGTTTCGGCTGATCATTCAGAAGATCATGATGTTCCCATGGCCACTGTTGCAAGGGATGAAAAATTCGATATAGATGCTTTTTCCCGGCTGCGGGCGCTCATCATCCCTTCCTTGGGATCAAACCTTATTCCCGATCGGATCCGTCGTGACTTTGCGTTTATCCTTCTAAGTTCGTCACTCATATATCACCCGCAACGCGTTGATATTCCTTTGGAGCAGCTAAAGCTCGAACCCCTCAAAGATCTATATGTGATCCGCAGGGGCCGCACGATCGATCCTCGACCAACACTACGATTTAATCTATCCTATCTCTTAATAGACACTCTATTTGACCTCGTGTCAATGCGGGTGTCTGGAAACAAAATCGATTCGCAGGGCGACGCAAAGAGAAACATGTCGTATGTCACGCTCGCTAAATCAATATCGCCTTATTTAGTTCTACGTTGCGGGATAACGTTGAAATCATATATTGCTGACCAACCTCTACGAGGCCTTATGCCTCCACCTATGGCTGCTCGGAAAGAGCTTTTACATCTTCTCAAGCGACTTTATGACCTCCGAAGCGAGCCTGTGGCGATTCCAGCTACAGGTCCAAATGCACGCTCCAAAGCTGATTCAGACAAATCTGATATTATCGACGATGAAGCCAAATACAAGAAACATCTCGAATGGGTGTACCCTCTCGTTGTTAAAGGAGTGCCAATTGCGGGTAGAGAGGCGGATGATCGCGAAATTTTGGAGGCATTAACAAGGATTCTAAACTCCGTTGCAAGCCATTTTGTTCTGCAGGATTAACCAGTTTTGTATGTGCGATTTATACTTAGATCGGACGCCTCTTCGGTAAGGGCCCTATGATGCTCATACGTATTGTTTTGAATTCTATTCAAAATGGCATTGATTCTCAGGGAGATGAGGACAAGCAGGAAATACCTGACGAGACTGTTGATAACGTTTCCGGCGAGACAACTCTGTATTCAATGTGCTAGCATACTATTTTGGAACGATAACTAAATGGAACACCTCCAGTAATGTTGAGAATTCAACAGAAACTTCGCGCAGATACATCTCAGCCCTTCCCCCGCTGCTTATGTCTACGGTTCGCTTGGCTCTTCTGGGGCTTACCGATCTTTAGACCCAAAAGACTCGGCTTCAACAGTTATGAAAGAGCAGGAGCAGCTTGCAATCATGTATGCATCTAGCGTCTTTGGCCTAGTCGGAGAATCCTAAGATGAGGGGAACATTGCCGAGTTGGTCGGTCGACGGACTATGGAGCTGGGAGTGAAGGCGTTCGTCCTGGGCACCCGACACCCTGATAGACAGGCCTAACGTTAGCATCGAACTCATGGGGAGCATGAAGCCGTTGAAATGAGGCCGAGAGCACCTGGAGTTCGTCGGAGAGTGCTTGGACTTGGGACCTGGACACATTAGAAAGCACTCTTGATCTCCCAGTGGAATCAATACACGGTAGGGCTTTGCAAATAGGAGCTTGGGATCGAAGGATCCGGACATCATGAAGAACACTAGTTAGAAGGATGCATAACCTTGCAGTCTCACTCGGCGGCCAAGGAAAGCATGGCGTAGCTTTAGAAAATGTCTTCTCAGTTATCATGAACAGATTTGCATATGACTAGGTAATCGAAAGAAGCCATCGTCGAAGCGAATGGGCCTATTCAGTTAGTAACTGAATAGTTGCAGCGGCCTGCGTCCAAAGCATGTGGTTAACTGGTTAACCAGCTGGTTGCTTGGTAGCCATCGGAGATATTTTCTTGACTTGACCACGAGAACATCGCAAGAACCCGTCAACAAACCATCTGGGCTATCCAAGCATCAGGATCTCCATCGATGAATAAGCTCCTCCTAATCACTAGTTTCAAGTTTACCCCGGATTTTCACGATATATTCTCTTCCTCTACGGAGTACATATGTATCCCCCTCGCCTCACCGCTAATGTTAACTGGCGGTGGCGAAGTCTTTGCACCCTAATCGGGCTGGATTCCTGTCACCCCCGCCCCCGCCATCGGCATTAACCCTTCATCCATGGTCTGGATGGCCAGAGATTCGCCCCTCGTGCTGTTTTTCCTCTCTTCAAACTCGAGAGAACATGCGGGGAACAGAGCGGGCTTCGATGGGATTCCGAGGCTCGATGGAAGAGTAAGGTGGAGTTCCCGCCGACCCATGATCCCTGGCCGGGCTGCCTCTTCCTAGCGGGCTTTCGACGTGGCCCCCTGCTCGCCGCGAATGATGTCTGGGGACTTACCTGGGGTAGTCCTTTCTCAGCGGGCTGGGCACTTTGCTTTCTTGCGATCACTACTCCGTAGGTGCAGAAAGAGACGGGTACCCTTCCGTCTACCAGGCTATCTTGACCAGATTCGGACCTCGGGAGCCACTTCATGGCATGCCTTGTTTTTCATCCTGGAAACCCGTCAGTGCTGCTGGAAATGCATGTCGGTCAAGCGAGATTTTCTAGGCTAGCCGTCGAGCCATCGCGGCTGGCCGCAATTTCAGGTCCTGCGCCATCCCTGCAGGACGTTTAAAGATGACCATCTGTGCCCTGCCCTTTTCATTCCACAGGGGCCCGCGGGACCGTCCACATTCTTTGTCTGAGATTCTTTACCAAGTCATCTTGCCTCCAACACAGCAACATGGAGTCCAAGCAGGCCTCAGACGCCCAAGGAGAGCCAACGCTGATGAAGGAGGAAATTGAGCAGTCTTCCAACAGCTTAGACAGAGATACAGAGTCCGGCCAGATGGACGACAGGGAATTGCAGAGACGACTTCGAAGAATATAGTATGTTTTCCTCAAATGGTCTCACCCCTTCTTGCCATTCACTCAATGTATCTCGCTGACCTTTTCAGCTGGAAAGTCGATCTTCGACTTATCCCCATCCTAGGAGGTACAGTTGCCAGTAATCTTAACCGAAGTTGCTTATGCTGATTGATCAATTGTCATTTCCAGCTCTCTATGCTGTTAGTGGGATTGACCGCATTAATGTATGTCTCTGTTCCTAGTCTTGCTCATGATGGCTGGCTCCTACAAAGAAATATGATCACTGACGTGGGATTGTAGCTGTCCTCTGCTCGCGTGGCGGGTATGCATGAAGACCTGCATTTCTACATTGGCAATCGCTATTCCGTCGTTCTTCTCGTCTTTTTCATCACCTACTTCATGTTCGAAATTCCGAGTAATATCATCTTGAGAAAAGTTGGGGCTGCAATATGGCTGTCGTTTATTGCAATGAGCTGGGGAATTGTCATCATGTGTATGTATAACACTCCATAAGCCATTTCATACATATGGATTTGCTAACACACTTATCTTAAAGGCGCGGGTTTCGTTAAGACATGGGGTGTGCGTACTAAGCTTGAACCTTACCCTCTCTCTCTCTCTGTGTTTTTTTTTTTCTTTTCTTGGCCAATCAACTAACTGGTATTCAGCCGCTTATTGCTATCAGATTGCTTCTTGGGTTATTTGAGGCAGGCTTTTTGTAAGTGGTTCTTGAGCACTCCGTTTATATTCCTCATCAGCTAATAATATGTACAGCCCTGGCTGCATGTACCTCATTAGTTGCTGGTACAGAAGATACCAAATCCAGCAGCGGTACGCAAACCCCTTATATTCTCCCTGTTTGGAGTACCTTTTACACGGGCGACTAATCGTCCATTGAAAGTATTGCTTGGTTCTACTCTATCAATGTCATTGCAAACGGATTTGGCTCTCTACTAGCTTACGGAATCATCCAGATGGAAGGGCTCGGTGGTCTTCGAGGTTGGAGGTGGATCTTTGTGATTGAAGGACTCCTTACCTGCGTGCTCGCCATGATGGGTTACTATCTTATCATTGATTTCCCGGACAAACTATTGAAAAAGAAGTCATTTTTGACGGCTGAGGAAGTCGAACTTATCAAGGCAGAGCTGGATAAAGATAGGGGCGACGCTGTCCATGATCCCATTACTCCAATGAAGGTTTTAAAGACGCTTTCGCGCTGGCAGCTTTGGATCTAGTACGATTCTCCCCTCGCCTTGTCGTCCATCAAACGTGCGAATATTGACTAGGCTTATAGCTCGCTCCTTTTCATGTGTGTTGCCATCGGCATCTATGGATATGCTTTCTTTGGTGTCGTTATTCTTCAGGGAATGGGTTACTCACCAGGCCGTGTTTTCCTCCTCTCGGCTCCGCCAGCTATTGCCAGCGTTCCGTTCTCTCTGGTAATTTCTTACCTTGCTGATCGAACTAAGCTACGTGCCCCATACGTCGCGTTTATGGCCATTACATGCACGATTGGATATCTCCTTGTTGCATATCCAAAGCAAAATGGAGTGAGGTATGACTATAGATATATATTGCCCTCTCCGCCTTTGCACGACGAGAATTCATACTTATCTACCTCAATTCAGGTATTTTGGCGTCTTCCTCGGTCTCGCCGGAGCAAACGGCGCCCTACCAGCTGTTCTAGCCTGGCAGGCGAACAATATTCGAGGCCAAAGTACACGAGCGTAAGCACATACCAATCCGGTCTAATGTCGCAATATCTTACATTCTGTCAACCCTGACCCTTCCATAGTACCGCATCAGGTCTACAAGTTGCCTTCGGCGCAGTCGGTGGGATCTATGCCTCCGTTACCTTCCTCGAAAGAGAAGCTCCAACGTATTTCAGCGGGTTGTGGGCTGGAATCGTAAGTTATCCTTTGATATTTTAATTTTCCCCACTGGCTTTCGAACCTGTCTTTCTCTCTCTCTCTTTTTGTGGCGTCAGGTTTGAATATTTGAGCTGACAAGCTTGGAACTTGGATGACACAGGCGGCGCAACTTTTTATGCTTGCTGCGTGTATAGGAATGAGTATTTATCACTATATCCAAAACCGCAAGGCCGCAAGAGGAGAGATGGTAATCGAGGGCCTAGAAGGGTTTAGATACACATACTAGGCCTGGTAGATACGTTATACTTGGAGAAGTGGTGAATCATTTGTTTGGCTGGGATGACTTAAACAGATTATATGATGCAACATCTTGTACAGAAAATCCTTTTTGCTTAATGATGGGCCTAGCCATGACATATAGGCGACTAGCAAAGAGGCATGCATGTCAATAACAAACAATTATAAATCAAGAACTCATTCATCATGATGGGTTATGATCCCAATTTTGATTGCCATCCACGTGCATATTTGCATTTACTCGATAAACAAAAGACCAAAGCAATTTACCAAAGCCATCAACATGGAACGAAAAAAATACCTCTACGATATATGCGCCACCGAACGCCCGCACCTAGGAGCTGATTAAGGTCTGGAAAGACGCCACTACGTTGCCCGAAAAACGTATGTTTATGCAGCTGCAGGAACCTGCTGCTGTTCATGGGCCGCCGGATTAGGCTCGGGCTCGGAATCTAGAGCTTCTGCATCCCCTCCTTCTTTCTGAGTATGCGGGGGCATAGGCTGCTGAGGCGGTAGTGCCGCTGCGCCAGGAACCGGAGGAAGTTCGGGAGGCTGTCGATAGAGGGTGATTTCAGATTGTTTGAAGTAGCGACGAGCATCTGTGTGGCAAGGGAATACGTCAGTCTTTGCAAAGAGCTGATTCTTGGATGTCCATTTGCTGTCTCTTCCCATTCAAGTTTCAGGCTGTGTGGTTGGCAGTGGAGTGCCAATTGTCGACTGAGCGGGATGGTGGGCTGTCTAGTGATAGCGGGATGGGTATCGAGATGCCAGTGTGGGGCTGGGACAAGACGCCAAGGCTGGCGTGCAAGACGCGTGGGATTATTCATTGGGATAAAAACGAAATTAGGAATGCACGGAAGCCACCGAGAAGGTGTGTGGAAGCGAATCCCTGCGTCCTCGCGAAGGGGGGCTGAAACTTTCGATGCCGTATCCACAATGGTGGATAATGTCTTCAAGAGGGCCGGTATGTGTCGGAGACGGGGAAGGGGAAAAGATTGCACAAAAAAAAAAGGAGAGGATATAGGACAATCAAGGAAACTCAGCTCTCGACACTCACCTTCATCAATTAGGACCAAACTAAGATAGTATCTAGTCGAATATTTCTTATTGACATCGCGGAACGTGGGTGTCAGATCGAATCCGCCGAGGAATAATCGAATGGGGATAGTCTCTCCTGTGCGATGAGAAAAGAGGTCAGCCAGCCACCCACCGAATGCCCAGCCTTAAAATGAAAAGCCTCCCGTCCAGAAAAAGTGGTATGTGGCAAGGATGTGGAGGAAGATTAAAAAAACAATAGTGGGGAGGACAAGGAGAGCTTTTCCGTACCTCTTGATGGAGAACCGTCCATGATCTAGATGGCAATGTTAGTAGTGAGACACACGGGAAGCACTGCGGTGACGATTAATCACTAACTTCAAATCTGACAAGCGTCTCGCTCTCATTATACTGGTTTGGCGGTGAGCCAGTCGTCTCCCGTCGTATAATCGACAGCTCCATATGTTTTATCTTGAGCCGCACGAGCAGAAAGTATATCCTCCCAACGATCACATCTTTGAGGTGGTACTTCGACTTTGAGTATTCGAATTCAATGTGTAGACAATCCTCGATACCGACGTCCATTTTAATGGGACTGTTGTTGTCCGGGGGCATTTTGTACGAATATACCCAGATATCCTTCTCTCGTACGATGTCGGCTATCCTGCGTGAAACGGTAACTCGGATAAAATATCGCAGCTTGACATTGATGCCATTATATGACTCGTACTGCTTCTCGACATTCTTGAAGTTGAAGGTAAACGTGCGCGGATGCTGGAGCTCCCCGGGAGCCGCGAGTTCCTGCACAAGGGAAAGAAACTCATAGTGATTACCCCGGTCAAAGAACATCTCTGTGAAAGGTTTTACATAACAGTCAGCATAGCTTTATTCTTAGGCCCTTGCTAAAGAATATACCGCCTCCAACCCAAAAGGAAAATAGGGGCGATATCAGCCATACCGATCGTGCCAATAAACTGCACCTTGATGCCTGTATGTTCTAATCGCTTCCCGTCTTTCGGCCTGACCGTAACTGCGCCCTTCACAGACTCGCCATCCATGTACAAGGGCGCCTTTTCACGCCTATTCTTATCGAGCTTGATATCGACGGTTTCTCGTTCGTCGGCATCCTCGAGGACTATGTCGATGTCGACGGGTGTGGAGAAGAAGAACGATGACATCTTGGACCTAACGGCCAATTATAGGCGGACGGTCAATTCACAAAGGCTTCAGCTTAGGGACGGCGTCAGTATCGGATTCTCCAAGCACCTGAACCCTCGTAGCTGATCTGACGGAGTTGGTGACCGTTGTGCCTTGCGAGACTCCAGATCGAGATACCTCCGCCCGCCGCGGACGGTTGTACCCTCTGACGTAATCCACGCTAAGGCCAATCCGGCTAGCACAGTTGAATTCCGGAGCAAATACCGCTGCTAAACCCCTTTTGGGGCTAGTCTCGTCTGATGGCTTTTGATACATATCTTTGAAGCTTCGCTGGGCTGCTGACTGAATTTCCTTGAAGGCATACTCGCGCGCAACATCACGGAAAACACCCAGACAGCCCAACATCTACCAGCAGAATCAAAATGGGCTTGCTGCCAAAGCTCGTGTGACAGTCAATCTGCATCCCTTTGCCGCAGCGGCTCGAATGACCTGTCGATGCGCGCTCCTGGCTTGTCGCTCTCAGCATCCTTGCACTCCAGTTGTTCAGTCGAGATAATATCCAATAGTCCTCATAGCAAAATGAAGTTCACTGCAGTTTCTCATCTCAGCTTAGGATGTCATTGAAGGAATAGATGCTCATCACTGAGAAATTTGCACATTAACCTCTCTGTCCTCTGTAACTAATTGGTATTACTGGATTTATAACAAGGAATGACTCTATACAGAGCATCCATGACGAAACAAGTCATACACCCATAAACAGCTGTGGTTGTTAGTTACATCACATCGCATGAGGCTCATGTTTCCAAAGACATGATTAGCGGGAGGCACGAAAACCCTGCATGCAGATTGCCTCTTAACTACCTGTATGGTATGCATCCTTATGGGATACTGGCGTTGAGAAAGGTGGGATTTGTGACTGTTGAGCCCGGCTGCAGGAGGTGAATGCTTTAGTCAAGCTGAAGCTGTTTTTCCATAAGTCTGCCTGCCTGCCCACAGCCGAGCAAAAGGATGGTACTACAGAGTACAGAAAGGCATCTCTTGTTACGCCTCATTCCGTATTAGCTTGCTCGGATTCGCGGAGATAGCGGCCTCATCAACGTACTCCGTGCTAGGGTGGCCTTTGCCGCGATTCTCTACGGTCAATCAACACGCATTCCTCAAACTAAAATTTACGAGCTTTGAACCGTATATGCAGTTTGACCAATCCTGTTACTGAGCTACGTTGAATTTATGGATTAGGAAAGATGTCCAACCAGTGAGGTGGTGCACCGTGATTTGGTGATGTTTGTCAACTCGCAGGAGGGAAGATCCCGGCTCGGTCCGGCTGAGGCTGGTATTGATCGCGGGGTTGAGTGAAAAAAACTCGAAGTAATCCCTCTAGTGCGGATAAAGCAGAAGTCATAGTTTTACACTGCATGCTGGCAACCTCAGTTTTTACATGGCTTCGGATTGGGGCCACTTTTCTTACGACTCGAGGCGTCTATCACGAGAACGAACCGAGAAAGCGAGGCCTGACCATGGCTCCCTTTATTCAAACCCTCCACCTGATCTATGCGCCCGGTGTTTTTTTTTTTTTTATCAAGGTAGCCTGCGCGTGCAGACGAAAGGAGTGCCGGACCTCCTTGGAAAGTAAATATTAATTCCTTAGTTCCGCGGATGCGATGCAAAACAAACTTCCACGTTTCCACAGATCGCAGCCTAATCGACCATGGATGGAAAGCCTACGATCGCACGCAAAGCTTGGGCTTGACAGTGAAGGAGGAAAGGCGGAATGAGCGGATTTTCAGAAGAGCTATCTAATCTCCTCTGGTCGGTTACAAAAGGACATACGGAGGAGAGACGCCCTCATCGTGGAGCAAGGTGGGATGGCTGTCCAGATCGCATGTAAGGGATGACGTATCGGACACATAGTTACATCGATGAGACAGCGGGATTGGCTCGGCTGCATGCGCTCGATGTATAATGACATCAGCTGGCTGGAACCAGCTCCCTGTCGAGCCAATTCTGCGAGCGCAGGGCAGAATTGCATGCCATTACTCCGTACAACAGCACATCGCGCTGCAGATGCTCGCGCGGGGTAGAGGACAAACTCCCCTTCAGCGTCAGCTCCAGCTCGTTCAACGACGAAAAGAGTGGCTGTGTTCTCCAGCGGTTGGGCCAACGTCGTTCAACCGAGCCAACAATTGGGTCGACGTACATACATCACACACGCAGGCCTGCATTCTGTCGTGCTTGCAGAAAAGGAGACGATAGCGATGTTTATTTGTGACAAACACAAAAGTCAGAAGAACTGTGGGGAGGAGCAGTTAAAAAGGCAGCTAGCTACATAATAGCTTTCCCCACACTATGGCCACATGGACAACAATCTGTCGGCAGCGTCCATCTGTGCGATCAGGAGTAAACAGGTCCGGCATGGCCCATTTCATGTAACTACATAACCGCGGTGGAGCAGTACAGCCCTCGGACTCCCGCACTAACGCGCCTCGTCAGAAACTGCCGTTTCCATTGGGCAGCGTGCGAGTTTGCTGCGGCCTGTCGAAGGAGCTGTGAATCAAAAAAAAAAAAAAGAGGCCCGGGGAGCCCATGAATCATCCCATCCGCCTGTGGAATGCTTCCAAAGATTCCGCCCACGCCCGGAGTAACCAGCAAACCAAGCTCCTCCTCACAGCGTCCGTGAGTCCCGACCTCGAGCGTTGATTCGTAGTCAGTAAAGAAAAATCACAAACCGCCCAACCGCACACAGGCCCCGTGTTTGCTTCTTTTTCCCTGCGTTGCTGCGCTTTTGATGTCATGGACGGCGATCGCCGGTGTTAAGCCCATGAGTTCGGAGTCAGTAAATGCCCGTTTTAAGTTCATATTTCTTTCAAGAGCGGTTTTGAACTCTGGCCTTGACCCTTGCACAAAAAGCCCGTGTTATTTTATTTCCCGGTAGCCGCGCAAAATAACGATTGGCCCGATTTCTGTGACAAGAGAAGGGCTAAAAGCCACTTCGGGCCACTCAAATCGCACACCAGCCCAAATTACTCCGGACATTTGTAAATAGTTTAATATAATCACAGAGAGAGAGAGTGTGTGTGAGAGAGAGAGAGAGATGTTTGTCTTGGTATTGCCACTCAGGTCGCTTCCGGCCGCCAATTCCGGCCGTCTGATGGCTTCTCGCAATGAGACAGATCAATTTTTCTCCGCAGACCGCAGATTCTGATGTTAGTTAGCTGGCTTGATGTTCGAGTGTTGGTTTCTCTCTAGACAAGACTCCCTTTTTCAGCTCCCGTCTCCTTTTCACTGAAAAGGGAGCCCATCTGGATGGGTTCCAGATCTACAAAAAAAAAAACCCCTCCGGGGCAGCAGCCCAAAAACGCATCGAACGGCGGGTTTGCTCGTGCATTCGCTGTATTTTTATTACTCGCAGCAGGCCCGTGATTGGGCTTCCGAGCGGAGCTGCGACGATTAATTTCACTGCTAAGACGGTGATTTGTTAAGCGTTGGTAATCCTGCAGGAGAACAAGACAGGTCGCCTCCGTTATTTCTGTTCAGAAGCCGTTGCTCCACGTTTCCTTGGCCGTGATGCTAAATCTGTCCACCGATGGATGGCATTCCATCCTGTCCGCTCTCCCTGGCCCTCACATGATCCCCTCGTTTTTCTTTTTTTGGCCCCGGGCTGACGGCTGCGCGATTGCGAGCCAAACTCGATGAGTTTTACGGAGGGGTACGTTGCCTCTATCTCGAAGCCGTGAATTGAACCGGTAAAGTTATTTCTGTTTCGGAGGGCAAGGCGTCCGGAAGGCAATCCCACCTTTTGCCGGGTCTCCTTTAACCCCAAACCCCAAACCCCCGCCGCGGAGACACCGCTATCCCGTCCACAAGCAAGGAACAAAACAAGCGACCCAGAATCGGTTGTTCTCCGGCTCCCAGTACCGTGATACCGGGTCCAATAAGGCTCTCCTAAATCCCGTTCTTTCGCTCGAGCTAATCCCACTTACGCTTATTTTTTCGACCCTGAACTCCCCCAGCACCAACGCTCGGATCTCCAATCATTGTTGACTCAACAGCTCCTTGAAGATCCCCCTCCGGTTGATTCGGACCTGTCCCAAGGTTTCATTTCTCTGGGGGAGGAAGGAAAAAAGAAAAAAAAAAAAAAAAAAAAGAGAGAGAGAGGGAAAAAGTAAAAGAAAAATGCCTTTAAAATCCAGACCATCCCCGGTCTTTTTGTCCCCTTTCCCCCCTCTTTCTCTCGCTCTCTTTTTTTTTTTTTTTTTTTTTGCCTTTCTACTATCCATCCATTCTATTCTCGTGTCTTGAACCTCCTACTGGGATGTCCCGTCCCTGAATAATACTTATTCCCTTAAAAGTCTTATACCGGCCATTACTCTCCTTCATTTCCCTTCACTGACGCGCTTTGACCGGGACTTGCACAAACTTGTACTATACTTTACACATACCTTCTCCAGGCGACTACCTTGTCATACTCCCGTGTTAGGACCGATTGCTATTCACGACGTTGACATCAACCACTTGTTTCACCGTCCTGCAACTCAATTCGGGTGGCGACTTGCACTTTAAAAAGGAACCATTTTCCTGGCAAAAGAAGCGCCCTGCTAGCCCACCATGTTATCCACAGAAGAGCCTGCCCGCCGTCCCCATATCATGGCTTCAGTCGGCGCCAGATCGCTCAACAGACGTGCCCACCACCTACCTCCAAAGATCCCCATAGCATATCCCCTAGATCCATACGCCACCATGCAGCATATCTGGATCCTCACCGGGCCAGCCGGCTCGGGGAAGACGACAGTTGCCAGGGGATTAGCAAAGGAGTTTGGTCTTCCATACATAGAAGGAGATGATGTACGTCGTCTGCAGCCTGCATCCCGTCAGCCGCATTCCGCGCTTCAGAACAGCAAAGAGCTAACCATTATTTCTTCTCCTGCTCACAGTACCATTCCACGTCCAACAAAGACAAGATGGCCAACAACGTTCCCTTGACCGACGCCGATCGGTGGGACTGGCTTATCCAGCTCCGCGAAGCCGCGATCAGCAGCCTGGAGTCGAAAAACTCCCCCGCAGGCGTCATCGTCACCTGCTCAGCCCTAAAGCACAAGTATCGTGACGTCATCCGCGTTGCTGCGTACGACCACCCGTCTGTCAGAATCCATTTCATCTACCTGCGCGCCGACGAGCAGATCCTCCTACAACGGGTCAAGCAACGGAAGGGCCATTACATGAAGTCGGACATGGTCCAGTCGCAGCTAGAGAACCTGGAAGAGCCGGATTCGGAGTGGGATGCGATCTCCGTTGATTGCGCCGCGAGTCTGCCGGAGGTGCAGAGGCGCGTGAACGTAGCGGTGCAGAACAAGCTGGACGAGTACAAATGAGTTTCGTTTTGGCGACGGGCTGCTGTTGTTCTTTTTCTCCCTCGTTCTCTTTTGGATTGGGAGAATAACAATAGGCACTGTTCGCGTGCGGCTCCCACGAGTAGAGTTCCCTTTTTCTTTTTCTTTTTTTTCTTTTGAGACCCATTGACACCTTTTTTCTGGCAGTTAACTCCCCGTGCTGTGTCCGATATGTGTCACCTATGATCTTGTGCCACCTCTACGAAGTTCTCATTTCCCGGAATTCTTCAACAAGTCGGCTTCTCAAGGATCGAATCGCGGAGTACCCGATTGTGGGTCTGCTGTTTCTCTTTATTTCCATTTTATTTTTATTTTCTTTCTATCGAGCGATTCCCCGGTTAAGCGATAGGCGCATTAGGAGTTAGAAAGGAGGGTATTCCTGGGAACCCCATGTGCGTTTTCCTTTGTTTACGCGATATATCAATTGTAATTGGTTTCGATTCTTTGTTAGCTATTGTTCTTCTCTCTGGGAGGGATGTGTGTTTCTTTGCTGTATTGCTAGGCATTTCTCATTAGCTACCCCGGTCCAATTCCAGGCGTGATTACAGTCGCACAAATTCTCCCCATCGAGTTATCACTCGCTTTCATCATACCGACCAGGTGGCCAGACCCGGATAAGATGCACCAAACAGAGGGGCTCTCTCTCGGGGAAGGACAGGAACACTCCCGGACTAGCACACGGCGGGGAAACTCCCTTGGTCAGGAAGCGAGCTGGGCTTCTGCGCTGGAAAAGCTAGGGTCTCCATGATATAAGTTCCCGCGCACACGACCGAAATAACATCGGCACGCTGATCGGAGGGCCCTGCAGGCTGCAGTGCAAAGGAAGCGGGGATCCGGTTTCTCGTTTATTCCCTTTTTCGATCCTTTGCGCATTCTTCCAACGTAAGGCCCCCACACCAAAGACCGGGGTGGGGGAATGCCCTGGTGTCCAACGGTCCCAGGCCCTGGCGTTTCTAAGGCGGATAACGACCGAAGGTTTTGAAGGGGAGAAACGCATGAAAGGAAGAGAGAAGCCGGGGCCCAAAACAGGACTTTACACACAGCCCCCCCGGTGAGGATGCATACATACGGACTACATGTTCCGTACATCATACCATACATGAGCGGGCTGAACATATGTATGAGCAACGGCCCCGTATCCGGCCTCCTGCATTAGCGAAGTACAAATTAACCAAACTGCGCTTTGTACTCCGTATGTACGTCTGTATTTCCGGAGTCCTCCGGGTGCTCGAATTTTGGAGGAATAACGTACTGATCATCTGCAGCCACGGCTGGACCAGACAGCGCGTTCCCCCGTCCTTCGCGCCTGTTTCAAAGCCCAAAGCGTGCACAGACCCCTACTCGCCGTTGCGTGGTTTTCCGACGGGCATGCACCATTTTAAGCGCCCAAACCACCCGAGGCTTTGCTCAAGGTTACTGCGGAGGCCGGAGCCGGGCGAAAGAAGAAAGGCAGCAATGTTTAGCCAACCGCGTTGTTCCTATTGCCAATACATAATTGCTTCTCAACCTCGGGGTAAACACTCCCGCACCCGAACCGACAATGGAGCTTGCGAGTGAGTCGACGGCTTTTGAGGCGTGCGCCTTCTTGCGCTGTTGTGACGCATCATATCCACCATCCCTGTCCACGAGCCAAATCAGGACTAAGGAAGGAATGAAAATGGAGCTCCCCGTCCATCTGTACGGATGGCGCTTGGTTGCTTCCCGTTTCTCTTTCGGTTAGCCATGCGTGGGTCATGTCTCAAAGCGCTTGAGATGCGAAATGTGAGATGTCGATTACGGATGATTATATGGAGCAAGTGATTGGCATCTTCAATTAGCGGACAAGTCAGAAAGGGGTCACGGTACGGAGTAGATAGACGGTGAAGGGATATGAAATATAACGACTTCTTGTCACCCTCTTGTGAACCAGTTAGAATGTTAGCTTTAAGAGGGAGGATCGCCTGATCATCGGTGTTTGCGAATGTTGTCGTTTTTCCTCGGGAGAAGTGTCTTTGAAATGCCAGAACAGGAGGAACCCTGTATACGTCTCTGAATGGCTCCTCCAAGTTTCAGTTTATCTCTTTTTGCTGTCTGACTTGCTTGATGGAGGATTCATCTTGCCTTGTCCTAACCCTGCGTCATGACATATTACATTATTATTACAACCCTGAATCATTTCTGCTAGTCAGCATTATCTCACAAAGCAGTGACATTTAGGGCTCTACAACACTCAAACACCTAGGAAAAGTGCTCGCTCAGCCGGCATTGAGAGATGGCGAAGCTTTAAATCGTTAAGGCCTACGACCTCGAGAGCCTTTGGGTTTAAGTCTGGAGCGCTCTCGCCGCGCTCCTGAAGTATAAAGAAAAGTCATCAGCATCACTTTACGGAAGGTTTCACACCATATCCTCTGAGCTGCCTTATCCACAGAGTTCTCAAATATGCTCAGCCAGAAAACAAGGAATTACACTTTGTTTAACACCACAACCAGTGACAGGCGTAGCAATACATGGGCCTGCCGTAAACAGACCGGAAGCTATTGTGACGGTGGAGTGCGGTCAAAGAGTTTGTAGAGTGACAGGTAAGTCGCAATATTAAGCGATGCAAAGTTACAGACCTTTCTTTTTTCTTTTAATGGATAGAGATCAGCTAACTAGCTATGAACTAGGTGGCTCGTATGTAGTTAACAAATAACTGCCGGCTCGATATGTTTCTAATATTTTTTTTTTTTTTAGAAAACATCGTCTATGCGTATGACAGAGCAGGCGAGGCCATAAGGGTGGAAGAATGTGAAACGCTTTCCACAGGCAAGCTTGTGTATACAAGAAGCACACAATTCTAAAACATGATATCCTTTCCCAAAATAAACAGAAAGAAGATTAGGCAATCAGGAGATGCTGTATGCTCTCCAGAGCCAAGAAACATGTAACCAAGGAAGTACATAAACAGCATACTGGGTATCTTGCGTCCCATTATGGCTTATCTCAACGCCAGCATCATCGTCTCCGGGGACTCAACATACATTCTAACCTTCTCTGCCATTCTTGCCATCGTTGCTCCGTCAATGACGCGATGATCGGCACTCCAGTTGAATGTCATCTTCTGGTCCTTGACCACGTTACCCTGCTCGTCAAATACTGGCACGGTCCGTGACCTGCCAACGCCCAGGATGGCAACTTCGTTTGGCACCAGGACAGGCGCAACATATGTTCCGCCAATGGTTCCGATATTGGAGACAGTGATGGTTCCGCCGTTGAGATCGGCAGGAGTCAGTTTTCCGGCACGTGCAACGGCAGCGAGCCGGGTTACTTCAGCCGCAATGTCTAAAATGGAACGGGCTTGGACGTTTTTGATGTTGGGTACTAGGAGCCCAGTTGGGGTGTCCATGGCCACCCCGATGTTGTGGCTCGATCTCATTACTAAAGATGGCTTGTCGGGGTTCGTTGTGGTGTCCACTCTGGCATTAAGGAGAGGGTACTGTTGCAGGGCAAGGGAGACAGCTTTAATGATAAATGGCAGGAAGGAAATTTTCTGTGGCTCGGTAGGATGCGAAAGGATCTTCTGTCGGATAGATGCGAGTGCGGAGATGCTGAGATCATCGGCGTAAAGGAAATGTGGGACTGAGAGGGACTTGGTCATTGTCTTGAACATCTGGGACTGGATGGGTGTTAGACGTGTTGGGGTTTCGATTTGGGGAGTGTCCACAGATGGCGTGGTGGCGGTAGGCTGCGCTGCTGGGGCTGCTGCTTGCGAATCTCTCTCCGCAAGATATTTGAACACATCTTCTTTCATCACTCTGCCATCCTTGCCAGTTCCAGTGATCTTTGTAATGTCTAAACCATGTTCCTTCAACAGTCCGCGGACCGCTGGCGTCGCAAATGTAGCATATTTGGACTTTGGCGCAGCTGGGGCGGTTTCGACCTGGGCTTGGCTATTCTCAGCCAATACTTCTTGGGCCGTCTCTTGAGATACGGCAGATGCGGAAGTGGTTGGCTCTGGGGCCGACTCCGCCTTGGGGGGAGCAGGGGCATTTGTCTCAGGATATTTGGCGTCATCGACCTCTATCTCGCAAAGAGCCTAGCCCGATGTTAATATATGACTAGGAGAAAGATTTCAATTGAATGAAAGTACCATTCCGGTCGGGACCGTGTCATCGGCTTGAAAATGGAGCTTCTTGATGACGCCCTCGTAGCGCGATGTGATCTGCGAAACGGTGTTAGCAAGCAGCATTTCGGAAAGTGGGGGGGAGAACGTACATCATCTACAGCTTTATCCGACTGGTACTGGCATAGGGGCTTCCATTCCTCTATTCTAGCACCCTCCTGGACGTACCACTGGATGATTTGAACCTCGGTGATACCTGCGGAACGGCCAAGAAGTCAGCTATGATGCCGCCGGTGGGCAGATCCGGAGTTTGCGGTCACAATGATCATACCTTCACCGACATCCTTCAGGATCTGAGACCTGATCCCCCATGGCACCGGGGTGCTGTGAAAGCGCCGGCGGGAGCGATGGTTGAAGCCGGCAACCGGGGGAGCGGCGGGGAGGATGCGGGACGAAATGCGAGCTTGGAGTGCCTTGGAGAGCGATCTTCTGCAGTATAGGGAGCCCATGGTGCAGCTGGAGAAGTGGACGAAGCGAATTGGGGCAGAAGACAGCTCTCTTTTCCTTCGACGAGGATGAGGAAAAAGAGGACGTTCCCTCCAACCCCATAAAATAGCCCGAAAAGGATTGTTGCGGTGTTGACGTGCCGGCGCAACACCGACGATAGCCGCCGAGCGATAAGAGCACGTGACGCGGCGCTGGAAGGTTTAAGGTTATCTTTCGCCAAGACACACTAGTCGGACCGGGACTAGTGATGCCCTGTCCGCTAGCCCTAATTCCCCCATCCGGAATCCAAACCCCCCAAATGACCAAAACAATAGCTGTTCGCCGCTGCGACAACGAGTTTCAAGATGCGCGAGATGCTCTGGACATTTCATTCACGTCGAAAACCACTCAAGCGGAGAAGACAGTCCAGTATGGTACTACACCGGACATTTTGTTTGGCTCATGCGCCTGTACCAGCGCGCCAGATGCACATTTCGCTTGGGGTCGCGCGGGATGGCCCTAACCGGCGTTTCGTCAGACACGCCCCAGATATCGACTTTCATCTGCTCTCTGTATGGAGAAGCCGGCCGAGCCGATACCAACGCGGCCTTGAATTGCGATAGCCATGGTCAAAAGTGGATGACTGGCAGCATATCGTTTGGACCACTCCAGCTCTAACTGGCGATTCCACCCCCCCCTTTTTCTCTTTTTCTACGGAGTATATCTTTTCTTTTTTTTCTTTTCTTTTCTTTTTCCTTTTCTTTTCCTTTTCTTTTGGCATTGATAGGCGTGACTTCAGATGTGTCTCTGGCTCTCCTAGTTCGCTACGTAGGCTTTCAATAAATCAGATCAACAGCTTCGTTGACCGATTTTCTCAACAAGCGTCTTGGCTTAGTGCTCTTTCGTTCAGCCCTACACCAACTAGCAAACCACAGCATTCCCCTCCCCTCCTTGAACCCCGCTCCAGTTGTCCAAAATTGGAGTCGAAATAACTACTTTCTAGCACTGCGAATCTATTCAATTCAACCAAGCCCGCCCGCCCTTTTTTCTACACAAAAGCCCGCTAAACGACCGCCCTAGACCACCATGGTTGCAGAATATTTGACCATCCGGAATCTCACCCCAAACCCAATTGAACTGAAGCATGTGGAACGCTTCGCGCCCCCGGATGTCCCCAAACCAGACATCAAGAACATCACCAAATCCTTTGCGACATTGATGAACAATATAACAAGATCAGCCAATGAAGTGGACGCGATCGCGCATGGCTCAGAGGCCGTCTCTAAAGAGGATGTCTCCGTTCGCGTAGAGCCTTTCACCGCAGTAAAGACAGAAATTCGCGCCTACAAGAACTCCGACAAAGAACGGTCGAAATTGACCGTCGAAGTGGAAGGGGAGCGTCACCAGGTTCAAACGCCGGTGCCCACTAGCGATTCGGCTACGATGAAAGCACTCAAGGACAACCCGCGCTTTCGACTGACAGCCATCTACATCACTCCTGAGTCGCACCTGACGATATTTTCGTCTGCAAATCTCAATTCATGGATGAAGGAGCTCAAGGACGAGACGCTGCTGTCTGCGCTGTCGATCCCAGGCACGCACAATTCCCCAACCTGCCATGTCGCCCCACCCTCTGTGAGGTGCCAGGCCGTCAGTCCACGAGAGCAGCTGGAAAGCGGCGTCCGATTCTTCGATATCCGCGTTCAGCCTCAATATCCAGACGACCCAAGCAAAGATAACCTTGTTCTTGTGCACAGCGTATTTCCAATCTCTCTCACTGGCAATAAGTATTTCCGCGACCTCGTCAACGAGATCGAAGGGTTTCTCCAACGCAACCCATCAGAAACGCTAATCATGTCCGTCAAACGTGAAGGACCGGGAAAGCACACAGACGCTCAGCTCAGCAAGATTCTACACGACCACTATGCGCGGGATCCACATAAATGGTATACCGAGCCCAAGGTCCCTAGGCTTGAGGTAGCACGAGGCAAAATCGTGTTGATCCGCCGTTTCGGGTTGGATGACAGTCTCAAAAAGCAATGGAATGGACGCGGTTGGGGAATCGATGCCACTGGCTGGGCGGACAACACTCCTCATGCTAACTGTCCTAGCGGCCACGTCTGTATTCAAGACTTTTACGAGGTCCTCGAAACCGAAAACATCGATAAGAAAATCGAGTACGTTACCGCGCAGCTTGCCAGATCCGCCGCCCTGTGCTATCCCCTCGGAGGAGGCGATGACGAAAAGGACCGATCCCCGTTCTATGTGAATTTCCTCAGCGCGAGTAATTTCTGGAAAGTACAGACATGGCCGGAAAAGATCGCTGCGAAATTGAATCCGGCCACGGTGGACTATATATGTCGAAAACACAGTCATGATAAGGACGGAGATTGGTCTACGGGGATATTGGTGTGTGACTGGGTTGGATTGGATGGCGATTGGGATTTGGTGAGGTGCATTGTGGGAATGAATACAAGGCTGATGATGAAACAGAGATAAACGACAGAGTATAAATGTGTTTTTGTTTTTGTTTTGTTTTTATTTTTTACTTTTATTTTATTTTATTTTATTTTTTTTGGGTCTTATTACTTTATTTTCGGGGCTTTCGTGTAAATCTGCTCTCTCCTGGTGGGACAGCGGATTTTATACTTGCTAGAGTTGCGCATTTATTCCCCCAGAGCTCTTGGTATATAGAACTGAATATTCCGGGTTAATATCATATTCATATGGGCTGGCTATTGCAAGAGGGTTTTCCGTTGAATAATTTCTAATAGAGGTTTATTGCATCTTATAGTACATGAATTTAAGCCCTGCTGACAACGTAAAATGAAAAAGGAACAGATGGCACCATCTCCAAAAAACTGAACGAGTATCTATATGTCCAACTCACGTACTCAAATATCCACTCATTCTTTCTTCCCACCGTTTTGTTCTTCTTCCAAAACACTTCTCCGGCTCTCCATCGTAAGATACAGACTCTTTCCAGCGCCTTCCAAAGTATTTGTAAGGTTGGCCCCCATAGACTGCAACAGGTAGACCAGCTGGGCCCTGAGTCCGCCCAATCCACCTTCGATACCTCCGATCCATCTTGTACCCTCGTCATCAAACACCTTTCCTTCCACTCTTGCCCCCAACATGACCAGCTTCTGCAACCCAGATTGCGTAGCAAATTCGTAATAACCCGGATTCGCCCGGCGAGTTGGAGCGGGGAAGGTTGGCGGGCTGGGCGCTAGAATGGACAGGGCGGCCTTAACATGCTCCGGCGAAACATACGGAAACGAAACGACCGCAATCGGACCCGTGAGCAAAGTCGCTAGCTCGTGCTTGCCACGCTTGTCGAGAACAGCCTGATACGCTGTGTATGAAAGGTCGTGGGTTAACCTGGGGTCTTCTCGTGAGAGGATTGGCGCCGTTGGATCGACAGTTGCTGCCGCATCACCGGGACGGAAGAAGTCGACCACTCGCAGAGCAGCTTCGAATATATGTGTCTGGATGGTCTGCATTTTGATCGCGTCTGCCAGCGGTGGCATGTCCGTCCTTCCTTTCGAGATGAGATCTTCGTCGACTTTTCTCAGCGCGTTGGAGAGTTCGCGGCGGATATTTACCCATTCGATGGATTTGAGATTGTTATGCTGAAATAGGAGTATCAAAGGCATTGTTCGCAGGAGAGAGGTGTATTGGCGGTGAAGTTGTGACTTGCGGTATTCTGGTCGGCGATGGGAAAGCGGTTGTGTTTGCTGATATAAAGGGGCGGGATTAGCGGTGGCGGAGGCAGTACTGGCACCTCGAATGTGATTGATAGAAGTGACTGATGACTGTGAGAGAGCCATTGCTGCAATTGCAGCTCCGGACTGTCTTCTGCACTCATGTCGGAGGGAGTTGGAGATCGTCGAGCATGTTGAGAGCCGTAGTCTCGGAGGCATTGAGACAGTTGGTATATGGCAAAGTGGAGATCGGGCTGGATTTAAGCGTTTTTCAGGTGTCAATTAAGCTAGACTTCCATCCACTGGCCAGCAAGAAGGCGGGTTTGAGGGATATATGCCACTTTGACGGCGCTCGAAGCTTGCGCTGCTACATTTCTTCGCAGTTCACTCAGATTTTCGTGATAATTATTACATAAGCAGCCGTCGACGGGATTATATAATATGCCAGGGGGACCTCGTGGGCGGTGAAGATTGTGCCACGCGATGACTCTTCCGCCAGCGTGATCGGAGGGGCTAAAAACGCCCCCGTTGGCGAGCTACCTGGTTCTTCATTGTTCAACCGCTCTGTCCCACAGCAATCTCTCGTTCCTTCACTTGACCCATCTACATTCCATCCACGAATCTGCTACGCCTTTACTTCGATACCGAGCTTACGGAGTTCACAGGAACTCATTTGCACAGCTACAATGGCGGCAGAAAGCCCCACAAGCAAGCCGGAGCCAGTGTCCATTTCACCACTGCTTCAGAGGCTCGCCTACCCCGACACCTCAGAGATCCAGGTATCAGCTGGAGAAATTGCTTCAGCATTTGCATTGATCTTTGAAGACCGTCTCTCAGTTATACAGACAGCTGCCCTACTCACTTTGCTACATTCGACTGGATTGGACAGAGACTCGGATGTAATTGCGCAATGTGCCAATCGTATGCGCGAAGCTGCCGAACAGACCGAGAGGGGGCCATTGAGGAAAGTCCTACGAGAGAGGGGTCGAAAGGAGGGTGCGTATCAAGGTGGATTGGTATGTGACTCATCCGCCGTAAATGTTGCGATTGTGGCTGACCAGGGATCCTTGGATAGTGTGACATTGTCGGTACCGGTGGCGACCAACATTCGACCTTCAATATCTCTACGACCTCGTCCATCATAGCCTCGCCATTGCTTATGATGGCTAAGCATGGCAACCGGGCACAGACTTCTTTCTCCGGTTCGGCCGACGTCTTGAATTCAATCGCACCTAGGCCACCTAAGATATCCGCCGTAAACTCGAGTAATATTGCGCAGGTCCTTGCCGAAACCAACTACGCATTCCTCTTTGCACCCAACTTCCATCCCGGTATGATGTATGCCAACCCGGTCCGACGAGGCCTGGGACTCCGAACGATATTTAATCTAATGGGGCCGCTTGCCAACCCTGTGGAATGGGCCCTGGAAGCTCGGGTAGTAGGTGTCGCTTATCAAAGTTTGGGACCGGTGTTCGCCGATGCGCTTCGAATAAGCGGAGCTAAGAAGGCACTGATAATCTGCGGCGAAGAAGATCTAGACGAAATCAGTTGTGCAGGGAAGACGAACTGCTGGAGGCTTTCCGAATACCCGAACCCTGAATACAAGGGAAGCGAGAGCACCGAAACCGAGGATGACGACGATGACGATGACGATGATCATGATCATGAGGCGCCACCCAGAACTATAGTTAAGCTGGATACGTTCCAAATTCAGCCGTCTGACTTTGGATTGCCAGTCCATCCACTGTCAGATGTGGGCGGTGGCAAGCCGCCACGCGAAAATGCCCTAAAGCTGATGAGCATCTTACGGAACGAACTCCCCCGCGATGATCCAATATTGGACTTTGTTCTCATGAATGTGGCAGCATTGATCGTTACTTCTGGCGTCTGCGAAGCGGACACCAGCAATATGGGGCCCGGAGATGATGGAAACGTCATCAAAGAACGTGGCCCCGGCGGTCTCAGATGGAAAGAAGGCGTGAGACGTGCGCGCTGGGCCATCGAGAGCGGAGAGGCCTTGAAGTGTCTTGAGAAATTTATCGATGTCACGAACAGGCTTTAAGGCGGGGATGCTCAATTTCTGCAATATTAAAAAAAAAAAAAAAAAAGGGTAATAAGCTCCGACATCTTCATTTCCAACTCTCATGCAGAGTACACAGTTAGAAGGATTTTGGGGTTGGGACACATCGTGCCCCCGAGGGTAAAAGCGAAATTGGACATCTCAACATGTATTTGGGTTTTCGGGATTAGAAACATCTAATATTAACACTCCATAGCGCCTTGCAAATGCTCGTTGTAAAAAGGGAAAGGACAAGTTTTATCGACGCAAAAGCAGTTAAGGCCTTCTTAGCGTGTAATCGGGGCATCATCGGGCTTGGAACTGGACCATCCTAAAAAACGAAAAAGAATACATAGATTAGCATGCATCCATCAAGGCGACTTGTGTACCCTAAATCGTTTAAAAAAGAACCCCCGACAACACCACGCCTAAAAGCAAGGAGTCTCGAGTAACCGACCTCTTTGTTCTCTCCTTATATAACACCCGGTGCCCACACTCTTTGCACCGAATCTGATCTCCACGCTTCATTTGCACACGAGCGCTGCAGTCGCCGCAGACATAGATGACGGAGAGGAGCTCGTCGTTCGCATTGGTGGGCGCAGAGCCAGCACCAGCGGAAAACTGGGGCTGCTGGTTGTCGAAGGAAGGGACTTGGTAGGCTTCGCGAGACATGGCTATCAATATGAACTGGAGAGTCTTTCCTGGGACAGCTGGAAATGGGTTTGTTTGTTCTTCTGAAACGACGGCGACGGAGGCAGAGAGGCTGTTCGTGGATGAGTTTTGCGGTTGAGAAACAAGCGGGCGGCGACCGGCGACAGAAACCTTAAAGATGCAACATCACATGACCGTATTACTGACTAATCTGACCTCATCATCCGACCAAACTAATGTTAACTAACTAACTAACTAAATGGTCAACATCGCCAACCAGCATCGCACGTCCATCGTCAACCGTCAATTGCAACCGAACCCGGGTCTCTGAGCCGGTGTGAATGATGTCCAATGCAAACTGGGCATACTGCTTCTTAAATTGCCCCCCCGATTCTCGAGGTGCACTGCGATTCAGTTGCAAATTGGCCCTATTTGGACGATGAAGCCATACTCGGGGACGGACTTCGCCCGTTTGTTCCCCTAGAACTTCGGCTAAACAGCAGTATGGATCGCCTGACTCCAGGTTGTTACTTCTTTTCACCCGGACAGCGAATAATGCTGGCTTCACTGAAGCTCACGGCCTCTGGGCCTTCTCTCAAGCCACGCCCACCGTCTCGTTCCTGCACTGTGGGCCGTAGCTGGTGGTCGGGCTTGCCTTGAGATCTGGGATATAGCCCATAGTTATGCTATATCCGTGGTCGGTAGTCTCTTCTTTGCCCCAGTCTTCTTCGCTTTGAAGACTTTCTTCCGTGCCTCACGTTGTTGGTCGCATCTTCATATCCATTATCGCGACCGCCTTTGGGCTACTAGTCAAGTTCTACAAGAGCTGGCGGCGTTTTGCTTTTGTTCTTGGATTCACCTCGCTGCTGATTACGCTCCCTGTACAAGCTATTGATTACTTTTCAAAGGTGCATAACTCTACTACGCGTTGAATAAAAGTTACTTCATCGTTAGAACCTATTTATCCCAAACGATCATTCAAGTCGTCCTTGATATCTACACCAGGAACTAGACGCACTATGGTTGCGAGACGTCCCCAACATTCCCCTCATACCCCTCGAACGCCCCGAGAGGGTCGCTATTATCGTCGGGACGAGCTGTCGCCACCTGCCCCACGACATGGACATCGCAATCCACCCGATAGATGGGTTCCACAATACCGCCGTACCAACCCCCACGTCATTTATAGGAAGTCAATGGGCCCTAGATCACCGCCAAAATGGAGGCGAAGACCTGATTACTGGCGGCCCAACAACGAACTTTATAGCCCCCCCTCAGTTGATCTTGAACCAACGTTCTCCTCGTTGTCAATTGACGATCGTTGGAGAGGAGAAGATGTTCATCATAGCCCTCAGAAGATATCGAAGGAACTATCTCCTGACGCAAGGGAAAAGGCCTTTGCCGAGATTATAAACGGGGCGTTTGATTCGGAAAGTTTGTACTTGGGCAAGAGTGCACCTCCGAGGCTTGCAAGTCCTTCCGAAACTGAAAGTTCCGGTATTGGAAAGACGGGTCCTATTTATCGGCCATGTGAAGAGAAAATCGAGTCCTTGCCGCGTGAACCATCGCCTGGGCGTCCGAATCATCTATATTCATCATGCGAAAAGCCACTTCAATCACCTTCGATTGACTCGTCGGCATCGACAATAGACGGAACGGTACACCAGCCTGGAGAGATGAAAAGGTTGATGAGGATGATCAGGCTTAATCCTAATCGCTCGAAAGAGATTGCTGACCTCGTGTATGACTTCCTCTACAGGCGCACGAAAGTTTCCCAGGAAGCCAATTTTGAAAAGTGTAATGGTCTCCAGGCTAAACTTCAGCAGCTTAGGGGGTCTTCGCCAATTCTTCCGCAAGTAGCCACACTCTCCGGTGGGGGTGACAGCCCACCCCGCCGTCCCGGTGGCATGTTTCGGGGACATATGATAGATAAACCGGATCCTGATATACAAAGCGGTTTGTCGGCACATGCATCCGAAGCTACAACCAGAGATACCAGTGCTGCCGTGGAAGATGTCGAATGTAAATTGTTTTACCCAAGCCGCGCCAGCTCGTTTGACGAAGCTAACCTTCTCCATCAGTGATCCCACCAACACCACTTCCAGGACCGCATGACTTCGCGCCCAGACATTCTGTTCCCTCGAACCCGACATCCGGGGTGTCGGATCATTCTTCCAACTCAACAATATCTTACACAAGAAGGGATGGTAGCCCTCTGCCCGAACCACTATGCCCTGGAGCGGGTCCTTGCTGCGATCACTGGATTGCTACTTATTATAATACCCTTGCCGCACTCTCGCCAAGCTCGCTATCCCCCGAAGATTGGCGAGCGGTCCGATCCGCTTTGGCTTCATCCCCCGAATCACCTCCGCCATTTGACTTGAACGAAATCAAGGTTTGCTCCAGTAGCAGTGGCTCTCAAGGCAGTGGAGAGGTTGCTGCGTGCTCAGGGTATGAGAATATGACATATTCACACCAAGATGGTCTTCCTTTTCGACCCAAGACTGCCATGGGAGTAAATAATGGGGACCAACAAGAACCTAGTCTTCGCATAGAATCTCTCAATGCTGAAGTATTTAAGCGGCCATCGAAGCGAGGCCTCTCTCGACACAAGGCCATACCGCGGTGTCCTCGTACCCCAGTTTCATCCCCGTGTGAAATATGTGGTCAACATCACAAAGCAGGGTCAAATGGTAATTAAACAATAGCAACAGTAGCTTGTGCCTCCTTAGTTTTCGAGGCGCTAGAAAAGCGGATTACTGGCTAAGGCCCGAAAATTTTCATTTCTGTGTCCATTTCATGGCTGTGCACGAGCAAATGGACTATACACGTCTTTCTCTTATGGAGCAAAAATGAATATTCTTGAATTATATACTTATTGTTTCAGAGGTAAAAGCCTATCGTGACGTTGCATGATTGCGCGACTCTATATTCTATGATGTCGTATTGAAATTCCACACAAGTACATATCCGTGTAGATGCCAGCCAAAAATGCGAAGAATACGCGCCCCCTATTATTTTATCACCAACCTCCCCCAATTTTCCCTGCCAACTCAGCAACACGTGCTGTATCGGCAGCGCCATTTTTACTCTTTCCAACATCGCTCTCCACTTTGCGGAACGTAGTATACACCAATTTCGGCAGGGGAATGCCTGTCATATCGGACCAATACTGGAGAATCGCATGGACAGATTGTGATCGAGACTCGGGTTCAAGAGGGCGGTCAATTTCCATTTCATCACCGAGACTGGTGGAAGGGGAAGAGGGGGGATGAGAATCTGAATCTGCAGAGTAATACACCTCGTCGACGCGGGCCAGCCAGGCTCGCTGTTCTTGAGGCGTGGGCTTGTGCTGAGATGTTTGGGCGGTCGGTGCGGAACCATCGATGCTGCTGGTGGCAATGGTTGCAGTATCCCTTGCATCTTCGACGCGAATTTGGCCTCCGCCGTTGGTGCAGCCGCCGGGACAGGCCATTACTTCGATATATGCGTAATCGCTGACCCCTCCTCCCGCGGCCGTATGTGAAGCGGATATCCCGGTCCTGCGGCTGACTGCTGCCCTTGCGCCGGGTAATCGAGATGTTTTGGCCGGTTTTAGCTTGCGGACGAGGTTCTGGATGTTTCTGAAGCCGTAATACCGGGCTGCCTTTATGATGGGTCGTCCGGTTTCTGCGGAGACGAGGGTGTAGTCGATCACGTCAGCATTGCGGCCACGTTGGGCTTGGATAGTGCTGTTGGGGTGGAGGGCTTGATGGGTTGTTAGGAGGTGATGGAGATAGCCACCTGAAGGACCGGAGGAGACAGATTGGTTGGAGGCGTGATGCTTGGGAAAAAGAAACTGTGCAATTCGGGGATCCGGGAAGGGTGTCGTGAACGAGGATGGGAGAGGTGTTAGAGGTAGGGTTAGGAGAGAGATGTTCCGTGATGAAGCGAGCATCAGGAGCTCTCTTGAGGTTATCACACAGTCGACATCGCGAATGGGCTGATCCATTGCAGGGGAAGCGAAAATGTCGTGGTTGGTTGTTTGCCAGGAGGCATCTGTTAATTCTTGCCGGCTGGCCTCGAGCTTCTTGTCGAAACAAGGCATGATTGCCAGATGCCATATCCTGGAAGGAGGTACATTAAGCCTTTTGCTGAGTATGGTCTTGATGAACGTTCCAGTCAAAGCCTGAGGTGATTTTAAACGGGAGAGGTGCGGGAGGACGTGTGGATGGGTCTTTTCAGCGTAGCAGATCCAGCCCGGGCAGGCGGACGACAGAATCGGTTGACGCGGAATGGGGAACTCTGCAGACTCCGAGGTAGCAGTAGAGTCAAACTTCGCCCGTGACGCGGTGACTTCATCCGTGGTGAGCTCCAGGACAACATCCCGTATCACGTTTGTATCCACAACCCATGTAAAACCACTACCATGTTGTCCACCAGCTCTCAGACCCTGCGGCCCGGAAAGAAACTGTTCAATCATATAACCTGCCTCTTTCTCCGACACTCCATACGTGGCCGCCATGCTCGCGCGCACCTGAGGGCTGACACTCGCCACGAAGATCCGCGCATCTCCTGTGGCGCCATTTTGGACTCCGTTCCGAAAACCGTCTACTCGAAGCTCAGGATATGCATCTAGGGTGTTCAGCACTTCAGCATGAGATTGTAGGGAGATCAGGACAGCCTCCGCAGAAGTTACGCATCCAGAGCAAGCTAGGCAGTCGGTCAAGGATATCTGCGCGGGTGAGGGGTTTTCGGCGGCGACTTTGTCTTCTGTGGTCACTTCGTAGGCAGACTGAGTGCCAAGGGTTAGTTTTTTGGGGCGGTGAAAGGTGATGGGCGACATCTCATGCTTACCTCGTCCCGTTCAGACTTGGCCGGCAGTGTTTCGACCGGCTTTATACATGCTACCCCTGGTGATATGAAGTCATTCAAATCGTCCGCTGAAAGGATCGCACTCATGGTGAAAGAGCGAGCACCGCTCCAAGGGCTAGTAAATCTCAAGAAACAGTAAAGGAAGCTCTTTACTTGGATTCTCACACCTTTTCCCTTTCTAACATCGACGACAGAAATTACCAGCTTTCGCAAAATGGAAGAAGTTCTAAGAAAATCGGACGAGCAGGCGGCGGCGGCGGGACATCGCTGATTATCCAATCAGAGGGGAACAAAAGCAGCAGGTCAACAGAGCAAACGCAGCAAACATTCTTATCAGCAGCCAACCAGCGTGCAAGCGATTCATGTGACAATCCATTCTTATCTTATCTTATCTCATCGCTCGCAAGATGGTTTCTGCCGCCCAATGTACAGTACCTTTCGCACTCCGCATCGACGGCTACATAGCAGCCTTCCGTGTCTAATCGCCTTTCTCAGCACAGTTCAAGAGGCTTATTTTTGAATTCCTAAATAAACCTAAACGGCGTATTCCTTATTCCGTCCGCAGGCGTGCCCTGCGTAGATGTATGGTTGTACAGGGGTACCGGGGTTCTGCGCATCTGTTTCGCATAGAGTTTAGGAGCAGCCATTAGTCAGCCGGGGCTTAGCTCCTTGGCGCCTTTAAGCCCGTGGCTGCCTATGCGGCTCAAAACGACGACGTGTGGCTTAGCAGCAGTCTGTCCGACTATTTAGTTCGCAACGCAATGTCTCGTTGGCGAAGAAGCCGCACGGTTGAGCCGAGCACCACGTTTTTTCCCTCTATCTCCATACCATGACGTCGGATCGTTCTGGCCGGAGAATGGTCCAGACTGTCTTAAACTTTGGACAGGACCAAAAGCAAGCAGCCGTTACGTATCCGTCAATTCGAAAGCCGGATCGCGATGAGATGGCAGCTCTCGAGTCAGACTCGAATCGAATGGAAGACGTTCAACCCACCCAATCTACCGCAATCTCCTGGGAATCCACTCCAGCGCCGACGTCAAGAAGCGGCAGCTTCTCCGGCAATTATATGCCTGCGTCCATACCCCGTCACCAGACCCTCATTCACGTCGCACGTGAAACCACCGCCCTTCTGCCCAATATCCTCTCCGCCGTTCCCCACGCCCCTGCAAAGGGCTATCTCTACACAGACCCTCCTTATCTCGACCAAAAATACTCCCCGCGCTTCCCCCGCACCCCAATCCGCATCCTCAACTCCGACACCCTCGACACAGCGATCGGTCTAGCCCAATGCGCCAAGTACGTCACCGTCCGCGACAAGAGACCCGTCTGCGTTCTCAACATGGCCAATGCCTATAACGCTGGCGGAGGTTGGAAGCGCGGCGCTCTCGCACAAGAAGAAGCCATCTGCTACCGAAGCAGCCTCAGCTTCACGCTCAAACTGCGCTATTATCCTATTCCGGAACTGAGCGCCATATACTCCCCCACCGTGTTGGTGATACGCAAGAGTTTGGAGGACGGCCACGAGCTGCTGCCGCTCGATATGCCAGCGAATTTACCCATTGTGAGCGCGATTAGCGTTGCCGCGCTGTGTGCGCCGAAGGTGACAATGGGACCTGCACCACCGGGTTCGAAGGAGTCACAGAGACAAAAGTATCGGAGCCCGAAGGACAGAGAACTTACTAAAGAGAAAATGAGGGTCGTTTTGAGGACTGCGGCAGTGAATGGGCACCGGAGACTGGTGTTGGGTGCTCTGGGTTGCGGAGCGTTTAAGAATCCGAGAGAAGAAGTGGCTGATTGTTGGGCAGAGGTCTTTGGCGAACAAGAATTCGCTGGGGGGTGGTGGGAGAGCGTGCTCTTTGCCGTTATGGATGATTTGGGCCAAGGGGAAAATGGCGATGGAAATTACGGAGTTTTTTATCGGAGGTTAAATGGAATGATGGTTTGAATAGCACTGAGATACCCGGATATACTGTTCTTTTGACGATGATATGAATTTATTTTCGCTGTTGCTAATCTTCTTCAATCTTGTCGTACGGCAATAATACCTGAGCATTTTGAAAATTTATTTTCCACTGCATGATACCGCGACATGGTTTGTGAAATATTGAACCGGCACCAAACGCCGACCGTCACCTCCAGGAATGAAGCCACTAAACTCCGATTTAGAAGCCAATTATTTTTTGGCAGCTGAGCGCCCTCTTCTCAAGGGTGCCGTTGTAGACGGAGCTTCCTTCGTGGCGTTACCTCTGGTCTTTTTGGCTATTCCCGCTGCATTCTCAGCTGCTTCAGATTTCACGGCTGGAGCCTTGCGCTTTCGGCTTGGAGTTTGCGCTGCCGAGTCGTTCCCTTCGGTGTTCTTCTCTTCCTCGGCCTTGACCGAAGAAGCCTTTGAGATTCGGGTACTCCTTTTGTTTCCATTAGTGGTTGTGGTCTCATCTGTTTCTTTAACAGTAGCTTTTCCACGGCCCTTGGATCGCGACTTCGTGGCAGATCCATCGTCGACATCCTCTTTGGCGTTTCCCCCTTTGTCGTTTGTGGCGGTAGGATGCGTCTTTTTCTGAACTGCTGGCACTATGGCGCTAGTCCTGCCTCCAACCGTGATAAAAGTTACGGGATCACCGTTTAGCATCTTTGACGGCTCTTTCTTGCCTTTGTTCCATCGATGGTGCATCAGCCAATCTGCAGGAAAGCGAGCGGAATCACCAAGGAGATCGACCGATGTAGCGCACACATAATGAATTGCAGAGTTTAGCTCCCGAATTTGTGAATCGTCCAGGGTATTGCTCGTTTGCTCGGGATGAATTTGTGAGTGATAAAGAACCTCGTCACTGATATATTTGTTAGCCTTCATGCCATTTTCAATCACAAATTCGATAAGAAATTGAATTTATACACATACGCCATCCAGTTGCCCAGCCCACTTATTATAGACTGATCCAGGAGAAGGGCCTTGATAGGGACTTTCTTCTTAGACACTATGCTCTTGAGCCACGATTCTGTGACAATTCCCTTGTCTATAACAGGATCGGGACCGTTCTCCTTGAGTGGCGTGTGAGACCTGATTTCTTCTCCAGGGCAGTCAACCAACCGGACACGGCCGAGTCTCCTAGCATCCACAAAGGCAGCTTCAGTCTTCTTGTCATCGTCCATCACCAGCTGGAATTTCCAGAACTTCGGTGGCCACGGTCCATCATCCTCTTCCTCCTTGGCGCGATAATGGCAGCCGTTTACGCCTTTGATATTGAGCCAACCGGTCATACCAAAATGCATGACCGGATGCGGGGGTTTAGACATGATCATCCAGAAGTATTTGCCTTGTTGCCCAGCTCCAATAATCTTGTTCCCTTGCATAGTCTTTTGGAATTCCTGGGCAGACGTGCCTACTTTGCCGAATATGAGATCGTCGTGGTTTGCCACGGCACTGGAGACCGTTTTTCCCACCAGTTCTTTCCGGATGAAATGAACAATCCGGGCAACTTCGGCTAGCTCAGGCATGATAAATATAACCCAAGATCGCTAACCGTTTGACGTATTCGTGTCCTTTCGAAGGAGTAGCCTCAGTGGGGCTCCAAAGGCAGAGGATATTATTTAAGGGGAGAAAGTACAGGAACAATGCACTGAATCAACAAAGGAGAAACGGTTTAATGTCAAGTGTGTAGGCTGAGTTGAGGGCAATGAAGACCAGGCAGGACAGCGTGAGACAAAAATCAGGCAAAACCAAGCAAAGGTAAGCGAGACAACTATGCTAGATAAATGATAATCAATGAAAGTAAGTAAAATCAGAATGAGGCCGTGGAGCTGAACAGATGCCTTTGGCACAGCAGCTTGAGCTCTCCACAATGTTCAGATTGATTATGTAGTAGTATAGTAGTGATAAAAACTCGCAGAACCAAAAAAAATATCTCTAAAAACACCACAATCGTGTAAGATTGAGGATTTAAAATGCAAACAAGAAAGGATTCCCCTATTTAAAGAAGGGTATGCGGGTGCAAAGGGAAAGACACGATGCCCTGATGTCTGGCGTTTCCTCAGCAGTTCGGTGATCTGGAGAGAAAACGCTCGGCGCCAAGACTTGGGTGGTGGACTTAGTCAGCATAAAATACCAAGGTCGTATTTCCCCCTATGGCAAAACGATAAGATGGATACTTTCAAGGCAACGAACGAGAGTGCAGTTCTCAAGGGGGATAGGAACGGGAAGGGGGGTAGTGGAGTTCCTCAAAAGATATTGCAACTCAATATCCAGGTGGGTGCTGGATGAGAAGCATTGAGTGTGGTGCCCGTAAGGTAAGCCTCTGCAACGTATTTCTCTTAGGTCTCATACTCATCATTTGGTCCGCTACTCGACATCAAGCCCGATACGATCCCCCAATATCATGCGAAGTACTCAAGGATCGAGGGCGCGCATCGTTTAAAAGGCCATGCCTTTGTTGGCTGCCTTCTTGCCAGGACAAGTAGCCAACCATTTCAATGTTATCGAAGGTCGCAGTCCTCCTCCGCGAAACCAATGGAACTTTCATAACTCGGAACTTGTTGATGGGCATTTGTGCTCCGAGAGGCTAGATACGTTTCTGCCAGACTCCCAGAGTAGGGCCGTAGGTTCTCACTTGATCGGGTGGAAGTGCCTTCCAGAAGCATTGTTTGTAATTCGACTCCCGGCCTGCAATAGATATGCGCTCTCGTAGCACCACGGACTGTTAAGCAGCCAGCGCATTTTTTTTGCGACATTAGCGAAGCAATCTCAGCACTGTTGACATGCGTGAAATGCGTGAAAATCGTTGGAGAAGCTTTCCTGGCCCCCCGCTGCACTCTAGAAACGCATCCACATGTGTATATCACGTGACAGGGTCAACGCAAGTTTGGGAGTTGGGTAGTTGATGATGAAGGGAATGCTGTCTGTGTGGATTGAAAGGTCAAAAGCGGCTAGGGAATCTTTCTGCTGCATCGTGATTTTCCGTCATCATCTTGCTTCGGTGTGGGTGGTCCTCACTTTGGAACCGCAGACGCGATCCATCCATGAGATGCGCCCCCACGTGATCGGGATGCTTTCTTCGAAGTTCCGTAGGATGACGAACGGGGCGGCGACCATGAAGTCTTCCGTTGCAGGTATCCTAGATCATATTCTACATACTTTTTACCTATAGCCAAACGCAGGCATTGACCTAGATTTCAAAGTTATTTCTATAATTGAAGCCTTCGGCCACAACCGTTCCGAAAACTGGATTTGTTTTGGGCAAAGCGATCGCAACCAGCCACTGAGCCGGTTCGTTCACAGAAAACGATGTCACGGCCATCGACAACGAGGCCAACACTGACACCTCAATTCTGCTTTAACCAGCGTGCGTTAAGAGGTGGGTGATTGTCCCCGAGGAACCTGTCGATGTACTGTACCACCCGCTTTCCAATGCGAGACCGCAGTTGGGCTAACGAGATTGCCTCAACGTACCTTTTTCAGACTTCCTCCGAATTTCACGATCAACAATTGACGACTCCATTACCCAAAACCTGAATGCTCTCGTAACACCGGCGCGCAAAGGGTTTGACCCGGCTTCCACTACCGCCCGACAGACGGATTTCGCCAACAAGACCCAGATCGACCCGGAGAACTGCGAGATATTCAAAAACAAAGTACTGTTTCCCTCTTGGCAAGTACGTTCAGACGTGTTGAATTATTGCGCCGGTGTTGCTACCAGCCCAGACCCCGAAGATCCCGACCTTGTGCTACGACAGGTTGAGTCAGCTAAAGATAGAGAAAGACTCGTGGATGAGCGGCTGGATCCGTATTCGGCGAGATTCTTCCCCAGAGAGGCGCGGACAGAGTCGTTGGCCATGCTAATACGAAATGAGCGAGGAGTGGAGACCATCATACGTTCTCGGACCTGGGGAATGGTTACTGAACGATGTGGCAATTCCTTTGAAGGGTGGGAAGATGCACTAAATCGATGGCGAGAACAACAGGATCAGGGCAAATGAGCCTAATCTAATAGGGTAATGCTGCTGGGGGGGGGTGCTGGGGGCATGAGTATCTCTGGATGGGTCGATTTTGAGCGGGGAAATCATTGCAGATGTGCCCCTCCTCCAGTGCACTTGGTCTCCTCTCCGTCCATCAAAATGATTTCTGCATGATGTGTTTCCTGCTGTGGGGTATGCGAGAATCCGCAGGTCATGCACTCCATTTTGTACGCCCTCAAGGCTTGCAGCTCTCCCATAACGGGAGCAGGAGCAGATCCCGAAATTCCCATGACTGTAAGATAAGAGCACTGTATATACTTTGTTTCCATCTCACTGAAAAGCATGCAATCAAGATATAAGTAATTGACTCTCTACAATCATGAAAGGGTATATCTTAAGTCTACTCTGTATGTATGTGCTCTGTGCTCTGTACTCCGTAATCTTTTTTTAGTTTCTGCAGATTACATAGCTGTCCACGACGAGAGGGCGGATAAACTATTTTGCGACTCTAAGTGGGCAACCACCTGAAATCACCGCACGGCGCAGTGCAAGTCGAAAGAGAACCACCAGGAAATCCAAGGGTGCCAATCAGTGTCGGATTTTAGTAAACTGATAGTTGTGAAGTGTATTTTTTTGCCTGTCTATTGGCCCCATTACAACAGTTTCATATTTCCCCCCTTCATCAAGGTGCTGAAAGCCCTCTCCTCCGTTGTGCACCTCCGGCCAAAATTTCCCTCCACCACACCAGGCGACAGCCTCCAGCACAATGCCTCAGCCATTGAGTTCAAAAGATGGCTCATTATTCCGCCAGGTAGTGCGGCATTGTGAAAATAAACAATATAAGAAAGGTGCGATTCCCTGGTGAGGAGGAAAATACCAGACATGATCCGGACAGAGCCATTACTAACAACGCCGAGCAGGGCTCAAGACTGCCGAACAGATCCTCCGCAAGAACCCCAACCATGGAGACACACAAGCAATGAAAGCGCTGATGATCAGCTATCAAGGCCAACAAGAAGAAGCATTTGCGTTGGCCAAAACAGCTCTAAAGAACGACATGAAGTCCCATATCTGTTGGCATGTCTACGGCCTGCTCTATCGCGCCGAGAAAAACTACGATGAAGCGATTAAAGCGTACCGATATGCCCTGAAACTCGAGCCGGAGTCCCAGCCGATCCAGAGAGATTTGGCATTTCTTCAAACGCAAATTAGAGACTTTCAGGGATATATACAAAGCCGGACAGCAATGCTGCAGCAGAAGCCCGGCTTTCGCCAGAACTGGACTGCGCTCGCAATCGCGTACCATCTTTCAGGCAATTTAAGCGAGGCAGAAAATGTTTTGACAACTTATGAGGAGACTCTGAAGACCCCACCACCGAGAACTGATATGGAACACTCAGAAGCTATACTGTATAAGAACTCCATAATCGCGGAATCCGGAAATATTCAAAAGGCCCTTGAACACCTCGATGCAGTCGGTAATCAATGCTTTGACGTGTTAGCCGTTATGGAGATGCGGGCGGATTACCTTTTAAAGCTGGGCAGAAACGACGAGGCTGTGGCTGCATATGAGGCATTGTTGGAACGGAACCCTGAAGATTCGCACTATTATGATGCTTTACTGAAAGCAAAGGCTATTGATGAGAAGGATCACGCATCTTTAAAAGCCGTTTATGATTACTGGGTGGAGAAATATCCGCGAAGTGACGCACCACGTCGCATACCGCTGGAATTTCTTGAAGGGGATGATTTTCGCCAAGCTGGAGACGCGTACCTTCAACGCATGTTGAGAAAAGCTATACCTTCGACTTTTGCTAACATTAAGTCCTTATACACCAATTCATGGAAACGCGACACCGTCCAGGAGCTTGTGGAAGGATATGCAGCGGGAAATTTCAGCAGTCAAGTTAATGGCTCTACAGAGCAGAACAATGGGGATAACTCTACCTTTGAATGTTCGGTATATTATTTCCTCGCCCAGCACTACAATTACCACCTTAGTCGTGATCTAGAAAAGGCCATGTCGTATATTGACAGAGCCATCAAACTATCTCCAACCTCCGTTGACTATCACATGACCAAGGCGAGAATATGGAAGCACTATGGCAACCTTCCAAAAGCTTCAGAGGTTATGGATATGGCACGGTCGCTAGATGAAAAGGATCGGTACATCAACAGCAAGGCAGCCAAGTACCAACTTCGAAACGATGAAAATGAGAAGGCAATCGATACTATGAGCAAATTTACACGCAACGAAACTGCTGGTCCACTTGGTGACCTTCTTGAGATGCAGTGCGTTTGGTATTTGACTGAGGATGCTGAGTCATACCTACGCCAGAGGAAGATAGGACTTGCACTGAAAAGATTCCATTCCGTTTACAATATTTTCGACATTTGGCAAGAAGATCAATTTGACTTCCATGGGTTTTCTTTACGAAAAGGTATGATCAGAGCGTACGTTGATATGGTTCGATGGGAGGACCAATTACGATCACACCCATATTACACGCGCGCAGCCCTCGGCGCCATAAAGGCTTACATTTTGTTGCATGATGAACCGGACCTTGCGCATGGACCGATTCCAGTGGGGACAAACGGTCTTGATGGACATGCAGACAGTTCAGAGAGGAAAAAGGCTCTAAAGAAAGCCAAGAAGGAACAGCAAAAGCTGGAAAAGGTCGAGGCTGAAAAGACGAAGGCCAGGAAGGCCGCCACGACAGGCGGCGGTGGAGATGCCAGGAAGGATGACACGGATCCACTGGGCCTCAATCTTGCACGCACATCCGATCCAATGAAGGATGCATTGAAGTTTTTGGACCCATTGTTGGAGATGTCGCCCAAAAATATCGAAGTGCAAACCGCGGGATATGAAGTTTACATTCGAAGAAGTATGCATCCGAGCCTCGTCATTGTCATTTGAATACGACTAACTTGGATTCTTGCAGAGAAATACCTCCTGGCTCTCAAATGTCTGCTTGCTGCCCAGGCCATTAATCCCTCCGATCCTACATTGCACGTCCAGCTTGCTCGATTCCGCAAGACTCTCAACGAGCTCTCAGAACCTCTCCCGGCCGAAGTTCAAGAAATCGTGACATCAGAGTTCGAGACTCTCCTCCCGAAGTCCCAGGATCTTGCAGCATGGAACGATAGCTACCTCACCGAAAACAGCTCCAGCGTCCCCCACATACATGCCGCGCTCACTGTCAGACGGATCATAGCCCCAGAGCAAAAGGCCCAGACGGAAAAGGACTTAGCATCCTCGATTGACCTAGAAACTGCATCCATAGAATCAGCACTAGCCGGTCTCCATCTCCTGGATGACTGGCGCAGCGGGCCCGAGGCGAAGACTTCGTACATAGGACAGGCAAACACCAGATGGAAAGAAGCTTCAGTCTTCCAGCATCAATAGGAGCGTTGATTGTAGACTACCTTTTTGCTTTTCAAATAGCGTTTCTGAAGCCCCATTAGCAGGCTCTTTGCAAAAGAACTTAAGAAAAATGAAAATCAAGATTCAAGTGCCCTTTGTCCCAGTTCATGCTTCCTTTACTTCCGCTTCTTCATCTTTCCGTCCAATCACATGGTGCTGACATAAGAAACCCATATGTTGGCCCGGCAACCGAAAGCCCGCCAGCAGATGACAACATGCCAAGCCGCCGTGAAATGAGCGTTGAAATAGGAGAGCCCCGTGTGAAAAAAGGCCCTTCACGCGGTCGATGCATCCATACCACAACATTCTCTCAGTCATAAAATAGCTGGTTATCCATTCATCTTGGATGATATAGTTAGTTTATATTCTATCTGTGAATTGCCTCCCCCAACGCCTGCTTTTCACTCTCACTTTTCTCCTTAATTCTTTTTTCACATATGGTGAGCACACCTGTTCTGCAGTGCTTGCGACAATATCTTGCGACTTCCGGCTGCCAGCAAGATGGCGCGTATTTCCATGGACCCTCGAAAATGGTACGTGTCTTCCATTTTCTCCATTCCGCTTGTCCCCTACTCTTAGAGCATAGATCGCTTCACTCGCTTGTAGCGGCGCCGCGCGGCTACTTCCTCCCATCCTGGAGTCCCCTCATACTTTTGACCATCTAAAAGACCAAAGTCAGCTAACTACTGCTAAAACCCGGCGCAAACTCATGCGCTTTTGGGTCATTTCCATTTTATAGCCAGCCCTCCAGGTTTACAATCAACGACGTTGAGAAAACTACGTGCACTGATCAATTCCGCTTTACGCCCAGGCCTATGATTAAGAAGCCAGCTCGACTCTGGGACCGCAAGCCAGCGACTCCGGTCTGCCCTCGTTCTAAGTCTCATAAGATTTGGAAAAGACTCCAACCTTCGATGGGTATTTCTCGATCAGGGGCGAAATCGAGAGATACGGGTGCGGGGGCAATGGATATTGATGAGAATGAACTATTTGAAGAGATTAATCCGGCCAGGAGCTCCGGTAATCGACGTGCTGTGAAGAAGCTGTGTACTGGTAAAGGTGTTAAATCCGACGAGACCGCGTGGGGGGCCTCGTTTGTGGAAACACGATCGGAGACGAATATTTTCACGCCGCGGCGCAAATACGTCATGAAAGAGGGGACAACTAAAGACCACAGGATGGCGAGTGTTGATATTGTTGAGGACGGCGGTGAAGAGAGCTGCGAAGCAGAAGATACGCCCGGGAAATCTACAGAGTCACAGTGTGACATACACAGCCAGCAATTGGCAACAGAAACCGAAGAGACGAATATTTCGGAGAAATCTAATGAACTACGCGTGGACAACGTTTCAACTCCAGTTAAAAAGCCCTCAATGATTGCATCGCTCCTGAGACAACCACTTCTTGAAGAAGACGATGTTGAACTGCTTTCCAATTTCCTATCGGAAGCCGAAGCGAAGCGAACGACAAACAATGCATTGGCGGCAAGAAAAGCAGCCGAGAAAAGGGCATCTATAAAACTATCTCGATCTCCATGCAAGCTCAAGGCCCGTCGAGCCCTCGAACACCTTGATAAGAACTCCCCAACTTCGATGATACGGGACAGATCGCCTTCCAAGCTCTTACAGGCGCCCGCATCTCCTCTACCTGAAACGGGTAAAGAAAATGGGCTCGAAGCCGGAACCAGCAAGGATGAAGAAGAGTCAGCTCCTTCTCCGTCTCCTAGGAAGCGGGGAAGGTCACTGAAGAGACGACTTGTTCCCCGAGTTCCAGATCAAATCCCGCTCCGCCGCTCAAAGGGCACGGAATTCATCTTCTCTCAGAAAACTGACACACAAAAACTCGCTCTCACGACCAAGTCGAATACCAAGCAGAATAAGGCCGGTGCAAAACTGCCTCATCTCGTCATGAAGACCGTGAACGAGACGTATTTGAAAATGATGGATGCATCTCCCCCCTCACCGAAATCGGGAACGAAGACTGTCACTTGGGATGATGCAAAGCTTGTCACTTTTGCCGAAGAAATATCGACTCCAACTTTTGATACTCCCAAAAAGATATCATCGGGAAGGAGAAGCCGGCGTTTAGCATCGCGTCCGCCACGGCCCGCCACGCCACTACGTTCCTTTGTATCTCTATAGTCGGTAGGACAGGGGTACAGCGAATCAGAAACATCTTCAATGTTGTTTTACTGCCGTGAGAAGGGGCTGAGGGTGTTTGCGTGTGGATTTCCTTGGTGGATGGCTCTGCTTTAAGCCACAAGTCCTATGAAGAGATAATTCCCAATTGATCTGACCTGCCAGGAGAACGGCATAATAATCACATGGTAAATCTCAACCCAGCTGGCCAGCATCAAAATCCAGAATATCCTTCATAGAGTGAGGCTCGATTGGCTCTCTCAAGCTTCAATGGTCGAGCCATGGGTAGGGTTCTGGGCGTTGGGTGTCGCGTTGTGCATGTTTCTGGTGATTGTCGGGAATGGGCTGCTAGTGGCTTCTCTCTTAATATTAGATTATACCCAGGTTAGACGTGATTCATGACAATTAAGGATTATTCGCAGATATTCTGGTTATTAACTGATCCGAATGTTTTTGTGTGGTTTTCATCGTGAACTCTTCTCCGGTTGCCATGAGAAAACGACGAAGATGGTGCGGTACCTAATTCGATCCACGATTGTAGTGGCAGCATTGCGGTTTGATTCGATAGGAAGTTTTGAGGCCAGAATATCCTCGACGAGGGGAACGTGACAAGCCTTAGTGAATCCAAATGGCTCTGGCCTCGGTCGGCTGTGGACGCCTCGAAAGTGAGTTTCGAAGCTTTTTGTGACACCCACACCATGTGTAATTAGATCTTAAGAGTCGCTCGATCATCCTTCCGATCCCCGCATCTTTGTGTCTCAAAAATGCATACACATGATGGCTGCCAGACTCGTTCTGATCATCTCGCACCCCTAGAGGCACAGGTACGTATGTAGGACGGGGATAGTCCAAAGCGTCCCTTTCTCGTCGGATCTGCTGCACTGCCCACCCAGATCAGACCCATGCGACTACTCGCGTAGCGATCCGTGAAAATATTTCCTGAGGAGTACGACGGGTCATGTTACTCTCGATCCCTGTCGGATGTCGAAATTTGGGGCTTGATGGCCTGGGGCTATCTGGAGAAATCTGGGGCTAGCTATTTGCGTCTTGTTTAACGCTACTCCTCGGTCTTGATTGGCAGCATATATTTTATCCCCGGTCGCCCGCCCCTCTGCATGACAACTCTCTTGCAGCCAGAGCGGCAATATCGTGCGTGCCCATCTGGATCCGGGCTTGCTATGGGTCGTACAGAGGACCGCACGCGGCCACAGCGATAGCTCATCTTTCTCCGGATCAGTGCTATTACTGATAACTGTCGACCAAAGGGAAAAAAAGATGGGTCGCCGGACTCATGATGGGAGAGACCGAATGATATATATTTTGATCGGCATCCTCATCTTTGGATTTTTGCTTCTGGGCCTACTGTATGGGTCCCGCCATTTTAATATTATTATTTCAAACCTTTTCTTAAGACCTCCTGTCGGGTGACTAACGGATTAAATTCGGTTTGAAGGTTTTTCTACATGATTCTCAAATATCGGCAGAGGAACCACGAACGTCGACGTCAAGAACTACAGCAGCAGAGGCCTGGTGACCATGCAATTCGGGGCGGCGAGGGGGCCACGGCCTTGACGCCTCTGCCCCAAGCAGCAACGCCCGGACAACCAACATGGCATGCGAAAGTTATAAAACTGGAAGAACTGAATGATCTATTTCCCGTAATTGAGTATGGGATGACAAAGCACTGCAGTATTGTTCAGCCAAAGACTGCAGATAGTGCACGCCCGGCTGCTGGTGATTCTAGTGAAGCCAATAAGACGACCATCGCCAAGGATCAACCAGATCGAGCACGTAATGGCGTTTCGAATACGAATACAGATTCTGGGTTGTCTGAGGTATGAGTGGGATTTTCGATTCGCGAATCTATTGCGCCGATGGTGCCCCGCTGATGTCATTTTAACAGAACTTGGTTGAGAGCCAAAGACAAGACGTCGCCAACCCAAATGACTATTGTGCGATCTGCTTGGATGCCCTTCAGGAAGACAGCATGGTCAGACGCTTGACCTGCAATCATATGTTCCACTCGACATGCATCGACCCTTGGCTCACTGGACGTACTGCGCAATGTCCAGTTTGCAAGACCGAGATGATTTGACGCTTTCGATGAGATCGTCTGAGTGTTGCTGTTTCATCGTGTCCAAATCAATCCAGCCGAGATCCGCATGTGCTGTCTGGCAAACGCATCTAGCTGCTATCTTACCGTTCATCATGTGCCACCCGAGCAGGAACGAGAAGCCCTTGTCGTTCCACAGCGTTGGATCTAACAACCTCGGCTATAGATTTTGACTGACAGCTTTGTTTTCGACTTTGCTGATAAGGCCGTCAAAAATGGAGCCGGACTGTATTCTAGATTGACAGTGATGATGATGACGATGTCCTATGGATTGGGTGGAGCCCGGAGTTCCTCATTCCTCACGTTTCAGTACTGATCGCCTGTCTAGCTTTTGACTACTTGGCATTTGTTTGCCATTTGAGGGTCATCCACCACACTTAGCAGCGCACTGATGGGCTCATTTCCCTCTACCTCGGAGCCAAGATTCATTGCAGTACTGATGCCGGTGCCGCGCAAAGCTCCTGACAAAGTTCGCGAGATTGTGCAAAGTTCATAGATGCCACCACGACGACCATGAGCTGACGCACCGGGCACCGGAGCTATAGTGATCCCGCGGTGATATTGGCCAACAGTAATTGGTCATCGAAGGAAATACATTAGGTAGTGCCCAGGCATTTGGAAATGAAAAGTGTGGAGTTCCGTCGCGTTACGCCCACAAAACAAACGTATGACTGAAAGCCCTTGAATGAAGACTATCAACGAACACCCATTTCCGACGACAGCCTTTGGGGCCCCTCTTACACTTCGAAGCAGAGACAATCTCGCATGTTCGCACGCATACCCAACGACTAGCAACCTGGTCGAACTTTGAAACGTGTAGAGGACCTTTCACGAGCCAGCCATTCGTAACATGGCCATTGAATTCCGAATTCTAATGATTCGGGCGTACTGTTGATTGTTCTTTCTTCTCCACGTTTTTTTTCTTTTTTTTTTTTTGGCAAATGCATGCAGTCTCGAGCACAAGAATGGCGTAAAAAAAAAAAAAAAAAAAAAAAAAAAAAGAAAAAGGGCTTCCGTGCTCTGTCATGGAAAATGGACGACTCGACCACTGCATGTGGATCATGGATTATCAGCATCGGCGTACCTTGTGCGGGAGAAGCTACCTACATATCTAATGAGCATTCAAGCGTTGAATTTCCTCTTCCGTCGCTCCGTCGGTTTGCAAGCAGATAGAACCCTCTCCTAAGCCCGTTTTAGATTAGCGCCCTTTCTTAGTTACTCATCACTCCACAGCCAATCAGAGCTCTTAGGTCAAGCGGCCCGTTCCGGTGGCACGCTGCGAATCACACACTCTCTATCTCTTCCCCGGGATTCGCCTTCGTCCACGTTTCCAAAAGCTATGAGCCCAACTTTAAATGGTATACTCCGTATGTCAAATGGCACCTCTGTCTCTCATTGTGGACCACTCTCCCCTCTTCCCCGCTCACTGGTCCCTTTTTGTCGCGCACCCGTCGTGTCCCGAGATTGGCAAGAGAGTTCACGTCGAAGGCAGCGTCTACGCGGGCTTCACGCACGCCGTGCAGCGGAGATATAAGCTTGGCTCGGTGGGAAAGAATTTCAGTTTGCTTGAGCTCGGTGAATTAACGGGTGGGAAGGGAGGGGAGGAGCAGGAGGAGGAGGAGGAGGCCCTGGTGAAACACATTCATGCGAATGCGGATGTGGATGCGGACGCGGCCGAGTATGGAGAAGAGGTGAAGCCTATCGATCGACTAGAGAAGGTAGCTATCGGTGTTGTGGCGCTGGGCGGGAGCTTGAATCATGTCAATGAAGATGGGACGCAGGTATGGGCCAACAATCTTGGAAATCAACGTTGACTTGGTGTATTCTAACACGCATGTCTGTTGTTCGATTGATTTCCTCTAGGCGCCGGCCAGACGCGGTCAGATGAAAAACTGCCAAGACTGGATCATTGATGTCGTCGCGGAACTGGTGCGGAGAGATATGCTCCCGGCGGCCGCCAATGAAGTAGTACAGAATGCTCCAAAGAATTGATACCAAGGATATTTGTTAAAGGTATTGAGCCGAAAAGTGACATGGGTTCGAATCCTACATGCAAATGGTAGTGGAGTCTGCTTTCTTCACGCGCATCCTCAGGGCGCTCACAGTGGCTGCACTTGCGTGTAGTCCAGCAAGGCTTGGGTCGTCTCACGCTCGAACTATCAAAGAACAAAGAATATTTCTCAGATATCGAATAGGCAAATAAGAAACATAACAGAACGACGAAAGACGAATTCCCTTTGGGCCAGAAGCGATCTCTGTCGAGGTATGCTGTATATGCGCATGGAACCCATGCCAAGGACGAGACATTTCAAATTCCAAATTATCATAAGTTAGCTGGCGTGGGGGTGTACTAGATAGCAACGTTAATGCACTTTGCTTGTGAGCTCCCGGAGTCGTCTTGCATCTTTGGCATGAGTATCATGTCAATTTCTTTCGGAGTCCCGACGGACACTCTTAGACTTAACAATCCGTGCTTGAAGGGATGATACATATATATATATCCCGTATTCTGCACTCCGTACTCCGTATGTGCGGGTGGAATTCAGTCAACCCCTTGTCCACTCGATTGAGCCGAGCTGAGTTAGCCCCTGAGCACCGAGGAGGTACATATTGCATGTTGACGATCAGGGGCGGAAAGCGGCGGGCGGCGGTCGTGAAAATGTATCACATGACCCCCTCCCATGTTACGGGTCGGGAGGAAGAGAGGCACGAAGAAGGTTTGTACTCCGTCGCTCGGTGTTGGCTGGCGTGTGGATTTGGACCCTGGTCACACACACAGAGCAAGATTCCAGGGCGTGTCACCGGCATTTCCCCACAGAATGCAGGGATAGGAGCTAGGGGTTCTTTTTTTTTTTTGGGTTCGAACCCCAAAAATATGGGGAGTTTAAATCCTACTATGCTCCGTCTTGGGGAGGGTATTTTTTTTTTATCAAAGCCCCAGATCTCGGGGTAACCTGCCAGTTCAACAAGCCTTAAAAAAAGGCTCTCGCAGCTTGACCGCGCGACGGACGAACTCAAGTCCAGCCAAGACACGTCGAGAGAGCTCTTCCACCGGCCCATCCGCGTCGGGGTTTCCTGCATCTCGAGAGGAATACGGAGTATGGACTACGGATATACTCCCTCTTCTACGGAGTACAGTGCACAGGGGGAGAGAGGAGAGAAGGGAAGGGCGCAAAAGCCGAAGCGCGGCGGTTGAACGCCGAAGAAAGTCCTAGCGCGCTGGTTGGTCACGGGGAAGCAGTCTGGAACCCCGCGGAACTCATAGAAGCGCAGCAGGTGGGTCCGGGTGGGGAGGGCAACGCTGGAAAACACAACTGTGCTGTCCTGTTTCGGAACTACTCTGGGGTTACTCCGTACCCGTCCCAAGAAAAGGGAGAGCGATGGGAGGCTCCTTTTGGGTAAGTTGTGGGTTGAGAGGCGGAAAAGAGCAGAGCTGGAAGAGAAGGAATGATGTGGTCAAGTACCTCAAATAGTCGGCCGGCATTGTCGGGGAAAGCACAATTCCCGGGCTGTTTGCTGTCTTGAGGCAATCGGCAAGCTTGTTTTCCGCCCTCGATTCGGCAGCTGCTGCTATGCTGTCATCGCGCTCTTGCTGAGTTTCGTGACATAATGAAAACCCGAATTGGGGAATTAGGGTTTGGGAGCTCGCCGGTAGCTGCATCCTGATTGGCTGTAGCTTATGTAAGGTTATACCAGCGTGTGCCAAGACCGCGCCTTGAATGCACACATGATGCAACATCCCCACCGCCCACGCCTGGCAGAAAATTTTTGGGCCACCCAAAAAAAAAAAAAATACAAAAAAGAAAAGAAAAGAAAAGAAAAGGAAGAAAGAAAAAAGAGAAGAGAGAGTCTCCAAAAAGCAAAGGAAAAAGACAGCAAAAACAGAGAAAGGAAAAAGGGACAAGAGGGGCAGAGAGCGGCCATCTGTGTTGTGCTCAGGGAAAAGCTGACACGACTGCATCTTCCTATTCTTTTCATAGCATGGAAAGACTCTCCATCTTAAATCCATTGCTTTCTCCTCTACGGAGTTATAGTCACTCAATCTATTAAAAGAAATGAAGACTGAAGGGGGAGGGGGGAAAAGGAGAGACAGAAAGTCACTTTGTTTGGCAGCGGAGTAACTAGTTGTCTTCGCCGCCGGCCGGTGTGCGTGATGCACATTGCTCCATGGCATGACGATGGCAATTGCTGATCATCCCATACATAATTCCATAGCAAAACATGGAGAAACTTTGAATTTCACAGCTTTTACGGAGTAGCCACAAATGTATGTATGCACGTACTACAGAGTATGGAGTACAAAAGTTCGGAGTACGGTAGATGATCATCTGTACGTACGGAGTGGGAAAAAAAAATGAAGCGAACTGTAGCTCAACGACCCTGCCAACCACCCTGTCCGGAGTACCTTGTTTGCCAGTGCTTGTTTTTTTTCTGTTTTTTCTTCTTTTTTTCTTTTTTTTTTTTTTTTTTTGGGGCGCCACCGGGGGGACACGCAGTGGGTTTCAAGGAACAGCTGAGCATAAGAACCTGTCGCCGAGCCTGGGCGTGACTAAACTCTCCCCCGGCGCTTTCTGCTCGTTCCACCGCCAAACAAATCTTCCTCCGCGCCTCATCTTACTCTCTCCTCTCGAGCAAAACGTGGCCTTTCTTTCTTTTCTTTTCTTTTCTTTTCCCTTCCTCAACCTCTGCCGTGGAGCCGTCTTCCCTGGATACTTCGCTACACGGGGTTCCCGGTCCATAATCGCTTTCGTCGCAAAAGTTGCATATAGGAAGCTCCGGATCCGTCAAAAGCTGCTGGTGGGCAAAAAAAAGGCAAAATAGCGAGGTGTGTACCCATTTTTAATTTTGCTGATGCTCGCCATCCTATCTCTCCGTTGCACCGTGCTCTTCCGGGCGAGTCTGCTGGCATGATTCCCGTAGCTGCAAACAGGTCGAGGCATGTCGCAACGCGCAGTTGGGCTGCAGGGAGGCGACTTGGCCGCCTGCGTATCCCTACCCGCCCATCCATCCCGCTTCCGCTCGTGTCTCCTCCCCCTGTCTTGTCCAATCCGCTTGCATCTTCTTGGAATGAGTGATTGTGTGCTGTTTGCTGTCGGTTATAATTAACTGAGGATCTTCATCGGCCCTTTATATATATGTATTAATACTAGCGTGTCAGGCCACCACCACCACCACCCACCCACCATGGATCCTCCGCCGCCTGCAGCCGATGTTTGCCCACTCCACTCGCCTCGCCCCGACCGCATGGACATCGACTCTCACAAATCAGACCTCCCCTCTCGACGCACCTCATCAGGATCAAACTCCAACTCTCGATCGAGCAGCTCTCGCCGTGAATCGCTCGGCTCCATCGAAGAAGAAAGCACAGGTCGGTACCCGACATTTTCCCCAGCCTATATCTCCCTTTCTCCACCTAATCATCTCCGGGACATGCCACTGAAGTTTTTTTTTGTTTCTTTTTCTTCCTGCGTAGGAATCGCTCAATCGTTCGTCGACAAGGAAAGCGCCCCAACTGGCGACCACTCCGGCTCCGCCAAAACGGCTCTCAACGTCCAAAGCCCGACACAGACCCCAGATTTCTGCTGCCCATGCGGTGGATTTCTGGGGTGGAAGCAGATCCGCCTTGGAGGCCGGAGGGCAAGTCGGAGCTACAGCGACCTTCGCATCTTAGGTGGTGTCCATCGCTCGAGGGGCTGGGCGTGGGAGGAGACTCCGGAAGAGCCCGCGCCGGCCGTCAAGGAAAAAGAACAGCCACCCAAGGAATGGCAGCGTGCCCCGATTGAGAACCTTCCCGCTGAGATCCTCGGTATGCACTGTCTATCCACGCAGCAGGACTCTTTTTTTGATGCTGATGAAAACGCCAGACCAGATAATCTCTAATTTGGCTTTGGATATCCCACCCAATGGATACACGCCGCGGAATGTCGACTTGATATCATGTCTCTTGACTTCCCGTACGCTGCACTCTGCTACCCTCGGTGTCTTATATAGACACATCACCATTCCCCATTCAATTATCTTCTCCAAAGCATTAAACCACATTAAACAGTACCCATCCCTTGGCACCATTGTTCGACGGCTCGACTTCTCCCATTTCTCTTCCGTTGGACTGGGTCGAACTCAGCAGATGAATGTCGAGATCCAAAACCTTACCTGGAGGACGTTGCTGGAATGCTTGAACCTGCTTCCCAATTTGAAAGAATTGCTTCTGCAAGAACATGTTGAAGATGACGTGAACGGCGATGTCACACGCAAAATCCTTTCCGACATTCCCACCCTGCGAGCAGTTGACTTCTGTGGCTGCTCGTCACCCACCTTCTCCTCCGGTTTCGTCGGTGCAGTGACGCAAGATCCAAATTTCCCTGCCCAACTCCGTACGCTTCGGAGAGTGTCTCTTCATGAATGCACCAGCCTTCCAGACGAAGCTTTCCAGGCCCTCTTGCCGCGATTGATCAATTTAACCCATCTTGACGTTGCCCACACGCAAATAACCAACAAGACGCTGTTTATGATTCCCCAGAGCGCCCAAATCACGCATCTGAGCCTGTCACGATGCACGCGGCTGACGGGACCTGAGGTTGTTGAATTTTTGACCACCCATCCTGCCGTCACTGACACGCTTGTGTATCTGAACCTGATGTCAGATGCTTCAAGACACAGAATTCTCGAAGAAGAGGACGTCGAGACCCTTCTGCCACACCTCACTCCTACGCTACGCTCCCTCAACCTTGGTGGCGCCAGAATCACCTCTGCACAGATGCCAATGCTTCTCAAACTTTCCAAGCATGTAGAGGAACTAGGTCTCAATTCGGCTAACATCACCATCGACGATATCAATTCGTTCTTCAGGCCTTTCCCTCTCTCTAACGAGCACCAGATGGATGTCGAATGGGTTCGCCCAGCCCTGCGCTATCTCGACCTTACCAAGAATCCACACCTGACGCAAGCGACGCTTCTCAATCCTAAATCATGCCTCCTTGTGACTCCGCAAAGCTATCCGCTGCACGTCATCGAATTGACCGAGCGGATCATCACTCCTCTGCGTCAGCGTAGTCCACGCAATGGCTGGGTGGTGAGAGACCTGGGAAGACGAGGGTGGTACGTTCGCGAGCCGCCGACAAACCCGAACGAAATGAAGATGATGCCACGAGACGACGGTCGACGGTCGTGGAAGATGGGTGCGCGCTGGTGGGGGATGAGGAAGATCCCGGTCTGTGTCGGTGACGTTGGTGGGATATACGGCCATTACATGTTCAAGAAGTGATCTTTTCCACCGTCAAACTGGATCTTTCTTCTTTTCTCCTTTTTTTTGTTGAAGGGTTGTGTTAAATGCTCTAGGCTCCTCTGATTCCATCTGGAATTTTTATTCCCAGCTAGTGTTCGTCGGCCATTTTTTTCCCCTAGTTATTATCTATCGGTCTGGCAGTTCGGGCAGGTCTGGGAGTATTATTGCAACAGTCCACTCCGGTATGGTTGGGTTCTTTTTCTCCTTCTCCCAATATAGCTATGTATGTATTTAATTTTCTTTTTTTTTTTTTTTTTTTTTTTTTTTCTGTCGCACGTTCTAGCCAGCACTGTTAATGTTAAAATGTTTCAAATGGCGGAAAAGTCGCGAGTTTTTATTTATCTTTACTTTGATTGATACCAGGTTTCATGCAAGTATGGATTGACAGCAGGCAACAAGCATCATATTCCCTGTCTTTATTTCAACTGCTTTTCTCTTTTTTTTTTTTTTGTGTTTGTATGTTTTATAAGTATCCATTGAATTTCTGATTGGCTGGTCCAGGGACTAGGGTTGATGTACGGAGTACAATAATTCATATCCAGATATTATTCTTGTTTCTTTGCAGAGGTGATAAGAGCATCGTTTCTGGACTGACTCTGCAGGTGTTCTAGTGTGCGTGGAACAGCCCCGACAGGCTTGAATAGCTGAACAGAGAATGCTCCCAAGCACCATGAGCAATGTTAAACAACTACTTTCACAGGGTCTTTTTCTTCTTTCTTTTCTTTTTTTTTGGGTAAATGACAAGCACGACAGTACTCCGTATGCTATGTGTGTATAAACTGTCAAACGATCCGAGTGCTGCCTAAGCCACGTAAAACTTCCTGCGCCGAGGACGCCATTTTTGAGCCTCAAAAGTCGCGTAAAAAAAGGAGAACAAAAGGATTATTATTAGAGTTTCGGTTTAGGGTCATGACTTCATCTCCATGTCTCGTTCATCAAACGGGTCTCCAAATGCATCTGTGTGAAAGGGAAGTTGCACGCCCGGCCCGTTGTTGTTTAGCAATTTTGATACTAAATTGAATAATTGAGGCGGGGGTGGGGAGAGAAAAGATGGTGGTGATGAAGGCGGAGGATGTATGTGATTTTGGGAAACATTTTCACGAACCTAGATTGAAATCTTTATCGAGCACATTCTCCCACTCCCGTCGATAGTCCTCTTGCGCTTGCTGGGTGTTCCATAACGCTCCTGGTGGGCCGTTGCGGATTAGCTCCTCCTCGGCAGGGGTCGATGTTGTGGACGTTGTGGTCGCCGTCGTCGTTGGCCCCGTTGCTGCGGCTGCGGACATTGTTGATGATGACATCCCCGGAGCTTGGGTGGACGCAGCTCCGCTCGCGCCGGCGCTGGGGGTGGCGAGAACATCTTCTGTTGAGCTCATTCCGGCTATGGGTGGTAGTTTAGATTGGGAGGCGGGTGGGGAGAGGCTGGCTGGAGCATACGTTGCTGCGGCGCTGTGTGTGTTTCTGGGTGTTTGTGGGATGGTGGGTTGGTTGTTGGATGTGGTGGAGGAGGGAGAGGAAGAAGAGACCATCTCCGAGTCGCCGTCGCGGTCTGGGAATTTGTTTGTTTAGTTAAGTTCGCGTTAAGTACGGACGAAAACAGAGTGGGTGGGAGCGGGCGGAGGGCGGGGCGGGGAGGAATTGCTTTACCCATTGCGAGTCCCGTTGCTGTCTGGGGTCCGGGGATTGCCGTTCGACTGCAGACAAATATCCTTTCGGCTATATATATAGATAGATAGATAGAAAGGTATTCTGCGATGATAAGAATTAAACAGCCTGCTGTCTTGACAAGTCCGAAGCCTTGATCGCGGTGGTCCTGCGCGTTGCTCCGTCCAAGCTGCCGTTCAAGTTGCTTTCCGCGGATCGACTCTCGGTCTTATCTTATCAATCAGTCATGTGACACAGCTCTTCCAAGTAACTAACGGCGTGACGGCAATCTATATAGGTAATCCTATTTTAATCTGGGTGTCAGAAAATGAGTCGCTGGTCAAGCCGTGGTGTTATCCAGAGAGTGTTTTCCACTCTTTTGGCTCAGTGATTAGTACTCTGGTGTGTCAACAAGTGCCTGAAGTCCTTTGAATTGTCCCCCTCTGGTGACTTGAGAGGTGCTTGATATGCACACCAGCCAAAAACCCAACGCAGCAAATTCGGGACAGAATAAATCTGACATACAGTCTATAATAAAAAGTGTTCTTTAGGGATACAGACTTGAAGGTATGGACATTGATATCTCTTTAAATCTGTACAAATACTTAAAACATCTCCTGTCTTCTGTTAAATGGGACTATGCCGCCTGGGACTGCAAACAAAGACCGAGTAACTAACAGAGGAAGCAAATTCTACTCACAGGTTTTGCTGCTCTGACGCTAGGATATTTTTAGCTAGTATATCATACTTCCGTCCCGAGTATTCCGCATACAAGTCTTCATTTACTGTCTCCTCATGTGAGATTGGGACTGATTTAAATGCAGCAAAATTCATCCCAATCATTCTGCAAGCAGCTGCTTCATAACCTTTAATTAATAAAGGCAAAGACTTGTTACCAAAGTGCCATCACAATTTTTCACATCCTATATGTCAGTAGGTGTATGAAGAGAGATGGGGTATGAGAGACAGAGAATGTCAAGTATCTCAGTCTTTAATTCAAGCATACATAAAAGCACCATCGACCTCATTCTCTTGATCATAATAATATCTATAGGATATCTCTCTATCTACGGAGTACAAAGTACCGGATTCCAAGTCTGAATGAATCATACATGATATGGAGTACTTTCTACTCTGTATGAGGGGCCTAGATCAGTAAACTGGAAATGGAGGAGGAGGCAATGAGCAAATCTTAATCTTAACCGTGATTTTTTATACCGTACTAAGGTAATTTTGATGTAGTTGTTCTAGGATTGTGCTCTCTCCGGAGATACTCAGACAACACCTCTTTCTCTCGGGTACCCAAGTTCCCGGCCGCAATCAGGAGCCCCAACGCTAGTTAAACCAGTGAACTAGTTAAGCCTTAAGTTGGCCCGCAGATCACCGCATCCTCACTTTTCCCGCTCACTCTCCGCACCATCATTCTTGACCACCGAAGGGACCTAAGAGACAGATACATATGCGACATCATCGTTATCAATCAAGTAGACAAGCAGTTGATCAAGCAGTATATCCACTATTGTCTCTTGTTCCTGCCCTTTGTCAATTCAGATCATTCGCTTTATTTCTTAACAACTCTAGCCGAAGTGGGTGCTTTAATCAATCCTCTCAGCCATGAACAATCCAAAGCACATCCCAGACGCATGGGATGATGATTGGGAGGAACAAGTTGATGTATGTTGTTAACCCTTCACAAGTTCATTCCTATCCATCCCCAGAATCAAATTTTAGTCCCAATCAGCAAAATATAAGAATACTTGCAGTCTGTCGCCGCGGTGATGATAAACACGAACTGAACTAACAACATCACAGAACAAAACTCAAGACTCCCCAGCTCCCACACCCGCTCCCCAGCAAGAATCAGGAAAGAAGATCTCTTCAAGAGCCAAAAAGGCACAACTACGCGCCCAACATGCAGAGTTCAATCGGCAGCTCTGGGCGGAGGCCGAAGCAGAAGCGTACGTCCCCTTTAGCAACCTACGCATCCTCCGTATTGGGGGAAAAAAAAAAAATTTGCCTGCCCAACGGGAATGCGACATATCGTGAGCCGGTGCTAACATATATCTACGTTTTGCTCTTCCAGCGGATCCAACCAAATGTCCCACTACCTCGAATCCCGCTCCAAAGTTCCTCTCAAATCCGAATACAAGCCAACGGTCAAAGTCCTCAGTCGCAATCCTCAATCCTCCCCTGGTCTCAGCGCTGCAACCGCAGGACTACAAAGAGTGACGATCTCGCCTCGTCCCACCACTGGCAATAACGACAATGCAAACGAGATCGAAGACGAAGACAACTCTGATGAGGAAACCAAACAGCCGAAGGAACTCACCCCGGAAGAACGCCTGGCGATAGCCCAGCGCGAAAGGGAAGAAAAGCAACGCAAGTATGAAGAAGTTCGGGAACGTCTGTTTGGAAGCTCCAATGCCGGGTCCGGCGCGTCATCGCCGGGTAGCACGACGCCGCCGCGGCAACAGCAGCAGCCGCAGCATACTAGCGGAGAAAATAAATGGAAGGGAAAGGCTCGATCAAATGGAGCTAATAGAGATAGAGGCGAGAGGAGGGATTCGTCTTCTAGATCCGCGAGAGGCAGACAGCTGTACGATCCGAACTACGTTCCTAAGCCAAATTCGAATCATGGAAAGAGAAGGGAAACCAGACAGCAATTTGGCGGCGGAGAAGATTCAAGGCCGCGGTCTCAGCCCCAATCACAGTCTCCTCAGCCTCAGATGCCCATTCGAAGTCCTAGGGGTCCCGATGGGAGTGGACCTGGTGGATTTGGTTTTGCCGAGCGAGGTAGTGGGGCTGCGCCTCGCTGAAGTTTTTTCACACCGATTATTATCATTATTTCTGAACGCTATGGATATTGGTAGAAGGAAGGAAAAAGGACTGGCCAGTCGAACTGTCATGACTGAAAATCACGGAACCGTTCCCAACGCCGTTACCACCACCGAACCTATTCCAAGATAAACCAAAAATGAAAACAACACCAGAATTGCGCTAAATTTTACGGCAGAGGTCTTCCGGAATTAATGGCGTTCGCCAGCATCGATGTGTCGGGTCGATTTTCTATATCAAACGTCAGAACGGGGACCACCTCCTTGGTGCAGCGGGAACTTGAAATACGTACCGGCATATCTCTGATAGCTATCCAAGTATAGTTCATCTGAACTCGTTGTGGCCATGATCTGGTCATTGGCTTCTATGGCATCCACCCACGCAGCCCAGCGACTGCCTTTCTCTGGATCTGGCCACCCACGATATGGCTTTAATACGCGACTCAGCCTAAGCATCCAGGGTGCAAATTGAATGTCGACAAAGGAGATGTCTGGCCCAAGGAAGAACGGTCCCGTTACATGGGACGCGTTGACGAGTTTGCTAATATCGTCCTTTAACTCTTCCGTATACTCGATCTGTTTCTGGAAATCTTGCTCTTGGAGAAGACGATAGAAACAGGGTATGATATGCCGGTTTACCTAACGCGTGGTCGTTAGCTGTAGGCCAAAATGAAATAAAAGACTTTATACACACATGGTCTGCCCACAATCGGCAATGCGCCCGAAGTTGTGGTTTTCCGGGAGGCAAGAGAGGATTCCCGGCATCGAGATCGTCGAGCTATTATTCGAAGATCAGTACACCAAGCAATCCTCTTCAGTCCAATGGAGAACTTACATATTCCAACAAAACGGTACTTTCGTGACAAGCCCAGTTGCCGTGACGTATAGCCGGAACTAACCCCCGCGGATTGACCTCCAACAGCGAATCCGGCTTTCTATAGGGGTCAACTTCGATGTATTGATACGGTATTCCCTTAACTTCAAGTGCAATCCAAACCCGCTGGACGAAAGGGCTACGGAAAAAAGGGTAATAGTGGTCAATCCCTGTCTGCGAGAACGAGTCGTGTAGAGTCGTTGCGAGACTTGGGGGACTTACCAAAAGCAACTGGCGTAAAGCTTGAGATCGCTCTCTCGTTTATGTTTGTTCACCGTTAGCCAAGCGTAGCCGGACGCCTTTTTGTGGTACGTTTTGAGCTGTTGGCTCTGTTTTTGGTCAGTCATTGCGATTCTGGAGTAGTGTAGAAATCTTAGGAGTAATTTATTTTGCATTGTCTTGTACTCCAGACCAGGAGAAGAGAAATAAGACTAAATATTGATCGATGAAAGTGTCCAATGATGGGGGTCTTGATGTTTGAGTCGAAGCTGCGGTAGTCCTCCAGACGGAAACAGTTGGGAAAACGCGATGACGTCAAAGCCCGGATGTACTTCGCCGGCTTGAACAGCGCAAAACAAAACAAGCTGCTGCTTAGCGAAACAACATTAGGGATACTTACGATGGCCTTTTTCTTTTCCTTCTCGTCCTTTATCAGAAACCGCTGCACACTGTTCTTCTTGATCCGATCGCTTTCTTCCAGAGTATGTCTATGCGATCCACCGGCCGTGACGGACCTGCCATTGGCCCCGTTCCCATTTACTCGTTGAATTGTGTAATATCTCGCTCCTGTTGCGCCCGGATGGCCCTCGGGTAGCATCGTACTCGGTGCCAACACGCCAAACGGTTGGGAAGCCGTCGGCGCATTGACTCCGGACGTTGCAGGTAATGAGTCAACAGCGCCGGCGAGCGCCGAGATCCCCATGTCCAGATCCGGGGCCATGGTCATAGCTCCCGGGAAGTACTCTGTGATTTTTATTTTAACGTCGCATAGATTCCTCTCGCGCGCGATACGTTTGCGCTTCTTTTTGTTTGGGTCGGCAGATTTGGGGGTTCCCGGCGGGCGACCTTTCAGTCGACAGTCCCAGTAATGGGATATAAAAGGTTTGCGTTTGTAGCGCTGAGTAGAGCGGTGGGAGTAGACGTTGTCGACATGTGGAAAATAGGTCTGAAATCTAGAAAGAGAGTCAGCGGGGAAAGGAGTCCAGGTCGCCGGGGTATGTGAAGAGCCGGAAGAACGAAAACTGAGACATACTCCTCCTCACTCAGGACGATAGTACCCTCAACATTGAACAGTCTTTCTCTCCAACGCTGTAGATCTGGCGGCTCAGGAATGAGTTTCATATTCTTAAAATGACTTGCACCGTCATTGCTTAACCCCGGTGCTGCAGGGCTCGATTGGATAGGACTGGGAAAGTGGCATATTATGTTTTGAAGAGTCGGCTGTTGCTGTTGTTGGATCGGCGGCGCGCCCGATGGAGGGCAGGGAGGAAGTGACATCGGGTGGCCGTGGTTACTACGTGGCTGGATGAATTCTGGATGCGCTGGAAGCCCATAATTTGGTGAAGGCGGTGGAATAGGGGGTGGTTGACCAAGATGCTGAGGAGTAGCCGCCTGGCGACTCTCTAGAAAAGTATACTGCGGTGCGGTAACCGCTAGGACGGAATTACTGTCAGGAGCCACGCTGGTCTGGCTTTGACGCGGTTGCCTTTGAATTGAGGATTGGCCAATGCTGCTACCATGATTCTGCGCCTCAGGGGTCGAGATTTCTGGGTCGACAACAATGGCAGCGTGCGCCGGCTCGGTTTGAGCTTGTTCAGTGACGATGGCGGCGGTCGCAATTGCGTCAGTGGTAGGTACAGCATCGACCATTATTTGATCCCATGCTTGCCCGTCCTTCAAGCCAGCGTGCTCCTGGCCAGGGCCCTCTTGCACCCTGGGCTCTTCAGAGTCCCCGGGCAACTGCCCTTGATTATGTGTACCACCATTTTTAATCTCGGCCTCTAGGTCGCGATCCAAGCTCAATCCGTGCTCGTTCAGGGGAGTTCTAGGTAAGGCTCCAAGTTCTGGCGATGGTTGTGGTGGTGGCAATTGGGGTGGATTTGTCGGTGTTTCCGTCCCTGCGTCGTCCATCGTCGCGGAGGAGAGCATCCATAGGGCTCGCGTGGTGGAGCTTGGGGTCCCTAAAATCGGCGCGAGATTTGCTCCAGCGACGTCGACCGGCTGTGGATGGCTGTTTGGCGGTTTGTCGAGGCATCGTTGAAGCGGCGAGGCTTTTGCACGCGATCAGAGTAGTCACTCATCACGTGGCGAAGTACATGAGTTGATTACTAATCACTAACTGGTTTACTAACGTAATCCACATACGACCCGGCCACCAAAATCAAAATATCCCAATTTCCTAACTTTTCTACTTCAACGCGCAATTATGCTACTAGTTCGCAAGAAAAATGCTAGAAACTCTGTCGAGATAGAGGGAAGACTTGAACTTGCAATAAATGCCATCAAAAAGCAAGAAATTGCCTCAATTCGTGAAGCTGCACGTCTATATGGGGTGCCTCGTACTACTCTGCAGGATCGGTTCAGGGGCAGGCCTTCAAGAGTGAATTTACGCGCAAATTTAACCAAATTCACTAAGGCTGAAGAAGATCAGCTAGTTCAGTGGATCCTTGACCTAGATAAACGAGCATTACCCCCGCGGCCAGCATTTGTTGAGAATATGGCTCATCATCTTCTTACCATACAAGATCCTACCTCTCCTCCCCCCCGTGTTGGCAAGAACTGGGTGTCAAATCTGATTAAACACCATACGGAGCTCAAATGCTGCTATTCCAGACGCTATAATTACAAGCAAGCAAAATGTGAGGATAGGAAGGTTATTCAGCAGCTGGATATTCAACTGCGAACCCCTACTCCCCCAGCTAGCCAATCTAGCAAGTCCCAGTCATCCTGGATCCTACAAACACCAAGCAACCCCCGGCAGTTGCATAGGCAGGTGGATAAGATCAAGAATCTTATGGGGCAGGGACTTGAGAGCTCATCTCAAGGCTTGATGGAAGGATTTTATCAAATTATCAAGGCCTGTGAATATGGGATGGTCAGTGCAACCATTATGAAGAAGCAATATCAGAATATATTTGCCGCAAATGAGAAAGAGAAGCAAAAACACAAGAGATCTAGGCGCCAGATTCAACATGAAGGAGGTTTAACCAGAGAACAAGCTCAGGCTCTTATTATTCCACCTGCTGAGGTTGTTGAACTCCCTGCTATTCAACCCTCTGAGGCCCCAGCTTCTGAGCCTGCACGACGCTCACGGGCTCCACCAAGGTGTACGAACTGCCAAATTGTAGGCCATACAAGAAGAAGCTGCCCTAATCCCAGTGTAATCTAATTTAATTTAATTAGTTGTTGTTGAGCATTGATAATTTGGATTAAAATCTATTTAATTACTATACAGTGATCTTGGTGGCCGGCTCGGTGGTGGATTACGTTAACTAACTAGTTATGGAAAACTGCATATTGGTAGTATGCTTTCAACGATGATAACTTGCAATGGTTTGCTCGCTGGACGTGGGTGTCACTTTGGTATCCCTTGAAACGTGCACCTCTTAATTGCAGCGCTAAGTCCAGACATGGCTTCCCATCCGCTTACATTCGCTTTTTCTGCCTTTTCTTGTCTGCCTGTGTGTTGTCAAACGGGAACCCGCTCATCCTCTTATCTGCCCCTGTTCTCCTGCTGATTCGGCCCTTTGTGCTTGCAAACAGCATACACCAGAGGCCTATTGCTGACAGTCCTCCGGAAACCATCATTCCCACCATATAAGCTACACCCCCTCCCCAGACAACCCATGTATATGCATAGGACGCTGCCGTGGCATGGAGCGCGGAAGTTATCATAAGCGTCGGCACGGCGTAGGGGGCTTTGGGGTCGTTTTCTTCGGGGCTTATGGCATATTCGGACGTTAGCGGGATGGACCCGGTTAGAATCACGGTTAGGACGGAGAGTGTAATCAGAGTTAAGCCAAGTGAGCGCGCAAAGTAGACTTCCAATCCTAAAGAAAAGATCCTGGTAAGCCGGGCAGCCCATTCCTCTTGTCATCAGCAGACAACAAGCCTTACCAGATGGGGGGCGAGGCTCGTCAAGGAGCAAGGCGATGATCAGTTTGGGCGACGCGACGAGGGTTAAGCCCTGCAAACTTAGCCAGGCGCCTGTGCCATACGTATACATGTAGAAGACCTGCAAAGCAAAGGTTAGCAGGTGGAGTAGGACCGATCTTAAGGCAGGGGATAGTTCTCACGTCCATGATGGTCGAGAGGGTAAGATTCGACAACGTAAAGCGGTTCGAGACAGCTGTGTACGTTCGAACCCAAGAAGCAGCTTTGCTTTTGTATCCCGGCGCTGGGATGCGCGAAACTTGCTGGGTGAAGGCGGTGGTGATGTCATTGGGCTGGTGGGCTCGCTCTGCCAACAGCACCGACAAGGCATGAAACTGTCCGTGCTTCAGCGTCGAACCTCCGCGTGCTCAATGCAAGATATCAGCTTCGTATCAAATAAGAGTGCAGCCTAGATCTCGTTGAATTTGTACTTCTGCAGCTACTACAGTCCTTACTTACAACGATCCAATTGTTTGCTACGTTCGCAGGTGAGACAATTGGATTTCGTCGGTGATGGCCCTCATTTTGAAGCAATCAGCCATGGTTTAAAGGGTAAGTAATTAAGGATGATTCCTAATTTTATTATCAGAACCGGATATTATCAAGAAGTGCAGACACCACAAACAACGCCAAGTTACATGCAGGCGGCCGTAGAATCAGATATTAAGCAGTTGATACTTTCTCTTCGTGAAATATTTTCAATTTTCTTGACAGTCTATACGTTGCCGGACCGTATATATCTTGTAAAACTGCTGTCTTCATTTCCTGCTTCAGAAGACTCGGCAAGTGCCTTCTTGTACCTCTGTGATAAGTTGGAGTCATCTCGCCGGTCGGACGGGCCAGCAGTCTCTTCGTCTTCATCTGTGTCGCCTTCTTCTTCAATATCTGATACCGTTTCGGGTTCATCTGCCTTCTTTGATCCGGAGACATTCATGTCCTGAAGCAGCTTTCCCAGCTCGACTTCTCTTCGTGATTCCTTCTCCTTTTCCCTTTCAGCCCTTTTTCTGTCCAATTCAGGCTTATAATCCCGATCGAACTCCTTTCTCTTTTCTTCAACGGCCTGAAAGAACTCATCAATACCCTGGCCTGTCATCGAACTCACTCCAACCACGCTGAGATGTCGATAAAACTCCTCGAGCATCAAGCTCATGCTGTTCAAAAAGGAGCCCATGTACCCACTTCCACCACCCATGCCCCCAACTCCGCCCTCCGCACCGCCAAAAGCGCCCCCCTCCTCTTCCTGCCGAAGCGCAGCCTGAAAAGCTTCAAAATCAGACATCCATTCTTTCGCGAACTCCGCATCTTTAACATCAGTCTTATTAAAAACTAGGATCATAGGTAGTTTCGTCTTATATAGGATGCTGCAAGCGTAAAGCATATTGCTCATGAACGTGCTGGTCGAGCTCGTCCGCGGCGTGTCGATAACATAAGCGATAACCGTCGGGAACGAGGATGCCAACGATTCCAGTAAAATGCTGCCCGATGCACTCCATACGAATACTTCGATCTGGCCCGGCGTGTCAACGAGAATGTGCCTGAATTGCTTTGCGGTGGGGTTCTGCGCGGGGTCGGCGAGAGTCCGCTTCTCCAAAATAGAAAGGATCTGATCAACTTTGGTTGCGAAAAGATTCAGCGACGTGAGAATTCCCCCGTTGGGTCCCAGGTTATACTGCTTCATGACTTCTTTGTAGTTAATTGAGTCTCGGATGTCAATATTGCTCTCGAATGGAACTGAGTGTACGGCGGGGTCGAGGTTGACGACGTAGGGAGGCTGATGCTTAGAGTAAAGATGAGAGTTGATGCGCTGCATAAAAGTTGTTTTCCCGGAGCCTAATGAAAGGAATTGTTCATCAGCCCATGTTCCAAAAGAAAATCATTTACGTTGAGAAAGCTCTTTGTGCGGATGTATATGTATACCTGCCATGCCGACGCAGACGACGGCAACCGGTGGCTTCGCCATACTTGCAAATGTCGTTTGTAGCGGTGGAAAAATAGATTATATGTGTGGGAAAGCTCAAGAGCAAGCCCAAAGATAAAAAAGAAAATTATAATGTGTGTAGCCAAAGGAAGGGTCGCGTTTGAGTGAAGTTATGCGACTCGAATTAATTCTGGTGCTTTTCGCGCTGAGGCAAAATTGATGATCCAGCGCCAGACGTCATCAACCAACCTTGCTGCTTGACCACAACACGAACGTTGGAGGTCTGCAAAAAAACAATTTGGAGCCTCTGAAGTCTGAACAAACATAACAGGGGCCAATTAGGACTTGTCATGCCAAAAATACCACGAATGTATCATACACATCCAGCATGACCTTGGAAGACTTCGAACGAGAGCTAGCAGAGAGTCAGCAAGAGAGGGAGAAGAGAGAAAGGCGACGGGAGAAACACGGAGAACGAAACCGTGACCGAGATCGAGATCGCGATCGGGAGCGACGCTCATACCGAGGAAAAAACGAGCACAAGGACAGAGAAAGGGAAAGAGACAGAGACAACAATGGGGATCGATCTCGGCACCATAGCGACAGGCCCCATCACCATCATTCATCGAGGCATCGTAGCAATCACTCCGATAGCGAACACGCGCACAAACATAAGCGGTCGAGACACCATTCCTCCAGCAATGCAGATGATGGAGAACGGAGTCGCAAGCGCAGGCTTCGACACGATTCTCGGGATGAAAGAGACGAGGAGAGATCAAAGGAACATCGTGATCCCGGGTTAGTGCTTCAAGAGGAGCCGTCCAAGTTACAGCGCGATGCATGGATGGAAGCTCCATCTGCTCTTGAGGTGGACTACGTTCAGCGGAGACAACAAAAACCTCCATCACCAAGGGCGAAAATGCTGCAGGCAGACTTCGAATATAAGCTACATGAAAAAGAGTTGAATCGGCATCTACATGACCTGCAAGAAGATGACCCCGAGCGTGCTGCGGTGGAACAGCCAGCGGAGCATGAAGTTGATTATACATTTGGTGATTCTGGATCACACTGGCGGATGACAAAGCTCAAAGCAGTTTATAGACAAGCGGAAGAGGAAGGCCGGAAGCTGGAAGAAGTCGCGATTGAGCGATATGGCGATCTGCGCTCGTTCGACGATGCACGGGAGGAAGAAATTGAGCTTGGTCGGAGAGATCGACTTGGAAATGGCTACGTCGGGAAGATAAAGCCCAATGGAGATCTATACCAGGAGCGAAAACTTGAAATGGGTGTGAGGAGGGACGAAGGCGCAACCATGCAGGGCGAAGAAATTGAAACTACTCTCCACGAGGAGCGAATGGAGACGAACCCTCCCTCTCAGTCGACCAAACCATTAGATTCTACGGCTCTGAATCGTCTCAAGGCCCAGATGATGAAAGCCAAACTACGGGGCTCGTCTAATGCTGCAGACTTGGAGGCACAATATAATGCTGCGGTGGCAGCCGCTGCAAATCGGAAGGAATCCGACGTTGTGGTGTTGGGAGTTATGGAGAACAGAATGCTGGCTGGTCACAGGGCCGAAGTGAAAGCTGTAGAGAGTAAGAGAGGGCGTGAAAGGGGGCTTGTGCAAGAGAATGAGGATATGAGCATTGAAGACATGGTTCGCGAAGAGCGTAGAACCAGAGGTCAAGCAGGCGGAGAAGGAATGCGATTCGCTGAACGAATTGCTAAAGATGCAAAGTTTGATGTGAGTATTCTGCAAATCAACCCTTTAAAAAAAAAGGTATAATATTGACGCGTTATTCGCTTAGAATGATCTCGAATACATGGATGAGAATGCCGCGAAGCTGGCAAAGCGTGTCCAAAAATCTGAGTTAAATATTAAGAATACTGCCATCAACGAATTTCAGAAGATGAATCGCATTCTAGATAACTGCCCATTATGCTATCGCGAGGACACAGAGACCCCGCCCATAGCGCCAGTGGTATCACTGGCGACAAGGGTATATCTGACGCTCCCGACTGAGCCTGAGTTGAGCGAAGGAGCGGCCTGTATTGTTCCCATCCAGCACCGGACCAATCTCCTCGAATGCGACGACGATGAGTGGGAAGAAATTCGAAATTTCATGAAATGTTTAACGAGAATGTACCACGATCAAGGGCGAGGCGTTATCTTTTATGAAAATGCGGCTCGGCCCCAGCAAAGGCGGCACGCCACTATGGAGGCGGTTCCACTTCCCTATAGTCTTGGAGAGACGGCATCCGCTTTTTTCAAAGAGGCTATTCTCTCGGCCGACGAGGAATGGACACAGCACAAGAAAGTGATTGATACACTCGCCAAGTCTCGGCAAGGCCTTGGGAAACTGGCGTTTCGCCGTACGTTGGCGAAGGAAATGCCCTATTTCCATGTTTGGTTCGAGCTTGACGGCGGATTGGGCCATATCGTCGAAGACAGTAATCGTTGGCCACGTGGAGACTTGTTTGCGCGGGAGATCATTGGGGGAATGCTTGATCTAGAGCCGGATGTCATTAAGCGGCAAGGTAGATGGCAGAAGGGTGGTGATCGCAGAGTAGAGGGGTTTAAGAAACGATGGAATAAGTTCGACTGGACGAGAGTTTTGGCTGCGGAATGATAGGGATCCCAAGAAAATTTTGAACCTCGTTGGATTTTTCGAGACTGCTGTGCGTCCGGGGCTACTTGAGATTTCTTTTCGCATGGACGAATTATGGATTTGCATGATGTCGAATCTATTCGTAATATCACCTTACATCAAATCTTTGCTTTAGCCGGTCGGGTCCATGGAGGGATCTGTTAGATTCGGAGCGAGCGTCGGTTTGCGTTCGTTGCATCTTCACATTAAGACACTGTTCTATTTTTGAGACATGAAAAAGCAAAGCACCATACCAAAGTTAAAACCGGTTGCAGTGAGTGCGTTTCGAGATTTGCTGGATATGAGAATACTTCCCGTGTGTTGTATATAATATAATAGTCAAGACATTTTCAACATCAGAACACGGCTCTCGGCAGGATAACCTTGTTGTACGACCGGTTTATTCGATGACCATCATTCCGGGACTGGTTTTCCAGTTGGCATTTCATTCAGGGCCAGCGATATGCCGGCTTGTTGGTCGCTTTCAACCAGACTGGGTCATTGCGCAGGATATATGTATGTCGTCGCTACTCCGTACTCCGTACATAGAAAGCAAATCAACCAACCATCCTTCGCAGCGCCC